TTCCTGGGCCCCGAAGATCGACTCCTAGGCGACGTGGTCGAGCGCGATGCACGAAAAAAATATCAAGACTCCCGCTGGCCACTACTCGACCAACATCCCCGGCGTATTTGCTGCTGGTGACTGCAGGCGTGGACAGTCACTAATCGTCTGGTATGTAAACCATGTTCAAGGCCAACATCTAACTTGCACTAACTCTCTTGTCCACTCCAGGGGTATCAATGAAGGCCGACAGGCTGCTCGAGAGATCGACTCATATCTTATGGGAAGCGCATCTTATCTTCCAGCTGCTGGCGGAATTGTTCGCCGTCCAGCAATCGAGGCTGTCCCCTCAACTTTCCAGAAGGAAATCCGAATAGCCGCTGCGTAAACCGCAAGCCTCGCAAGCCTCTGAATAGCCGTCATCGTCATCGCGTATTTGGTATCCATCTTGTTTTTCTTTTGCGTTTAATTTGTCAACTTGTCTGGAGGAAACCGAGTTTGTTAGCACAGGGAAAACGGCATCGGAAACGTCAAAGCCTGATCCATATGTATTTTATTCATTCTTCTAGCTTCAGGTTACATTAAGCATTTGTTCTTCCTTCTAATATGTGTATGATCATTGTATTATCCATTCTTCAAAGAGAAAACTATTTAATGAAGAAGAATTTGTTGAACGTGGCTGATTAACGAGTTAACTAGTTAGCTCATACGCCGGTCCCAACCCTGCTTTTGCCCAATGAACCATCGCCAGGCTCACGAAAGGCAGCATGACAAATATCAACGACTTCAATTCCATGAATTAAAAGGCCATCAAGCCAGTCTCATGCCTATATACACCCCAGAACGCTCCTGAAATTCTCTTAGTCATAACACCACGGAGAAGAGAAAGAAACGGGGTATTCAACATTCTAATAATACATATAAATCTTAACTTCTAGAGGCAAACCAAACCGTTTGTCAAGTCAATCCCCGTAATATGGTATACAGTGTGATCCAACGCCGTGACGCAACATATTCTCATGCTTCCATAGCATTGGCCCCATTAGCCCTTGCATCATTTTCCTGCTGTTTTAGCCGTTCCATCTCTCTCTCAAACGCGAGATAATTGCCTTGGAATGCCCCCACAACCGGTTCCTTTCTTAGCTCCCAGATATCTTCACTACTAGGACCAGTCTTATACTTAATAGCTTTCCGTCTGTATCTATCAGAGATAGCCTTTTCCCTTTCCTCGTCAGGAAGGGACTTCGAGCGCATACAGAACCAAAAGTCAGACCAATGCTCGCTGCACGACCGTAGTTCACCATATCGATAGACATTCACCCACTGGCCTCCGAACGACTGACAGAAGTATGCGTAATCGAAAGCGGTACGGCAAGACATGGTTTTGGGATAGAGCGAATCCGACTGAAATTGGGTAGATGGAGATTCGAAGTGAATTGATTGTGAGGGCAGCGGCTTGGACGTCCTAGATTTAGACGTGGATGGCGCATGCTGTTCGGTGGATGATGTAGAGTTATCTAGCGACCTTAACAATTCGTTGAACTCGGCCTCTGCGATCTCGTCACGGCCAAGCGGCCGCACTTGAGGTGTGGACTGTTCCGTTGCAGGATTGGATGGTAAAGAATGCGAATCGTTTCCTGGAGATGAGGGTTCCGTTTTCCGTAATGGCTCAGCAGTAGCCGAGCCACTACTATTCCACAGCCAGCCCATTGTTGTATCCTGCGTCCGTACCTGCGTTCGCTTGCCGAATATAAAAGGCCAAACTGCTCATCTGCTTCCACGAACGCAGCTATCAATCAGCAAGAAGCAAAGTGGTAGAAGTTCGAATAGGCTTCACCACGTGACAAACCTTATTCCGGGCCCGCCCCAGCATCAACGCAGGAGGACTGCCAACTTGGACCAACAAATGTCATGACACTGGTGCGCATGAAAGAGCACCAGGTGGCTCGTGAAATGGCCGATCCAGCATTTGGAGCTTAAGTCACATTTCTACTGGGCCTGCAGAGCTCTGATAGTGCTTCCACTCGCTCACAGGATGATCCCAGTAGTCCGTGGTCTACCTCCTAGGCAGGTACCCTGGAGGGGGCAGCTCATGGGCATAGCCAGAAGACGATGTCAGAAGTATCGGAGTATATGCCAGGCCTCGGCTGCAGAGCCGCATAGAGCTGGGTACATAGAAAAGTCGCAGAATGAAACTCTCATCTTCATAAGTAGTAAGTGTGACCACCATTATCACTCGTATAGCGGTACCAGCTAATACTATACCATAGGTGTTCTTCCAGTCCATTTGGGCTGGTTATCGCGCATTCCATACGTAAACTTGAATGCTATGGTCTTGCAGCGGCTGGGAAAACTTGGAGTCAGAGGTGCTGAGCTCACGGGCCCCCCTACTGTTGTCGAGCAAGTTCTTCCTGAGGAACTCCATCCAAGTATCACTCAGGTCATTCCACGCCTCACAGAAGGTGGTGCCTTTGTCAAACTATCTCACGGCCCTGAAACATCAGGCTCAGACATTATCAAGGCCATTACCCAACATTTAGATGAGAGCCCTGTAAAGCCGTGGTTTAGCCTCTTCAGCCCTGCCAGCGCTGCCCTTGTACGTGGGCGTCCTTGGGTGGAGGACCTGTCATACCGGTTTCCAAGCTCAAGAGTCAAGGTTGAATTCCTGCCTGTATCGCCGGATGTTTCGGCTGCAGAACTTACTCAGGAAAACCTCTACTCGCTTGCCAGAACATACGGCAAATTGACCGACATTATTCCCCAGCCCGCAGACTCAAAAGTCGTACCAAGATATGCTTTGCTTGACTTTTCTAATCCAGTAAGCGCCGTAATGGCGAAAAACTGTCTTCACGGGTTCAAGGTTCCTTCAGGTGATATTGGAGGCAAGGCTGGAACTATCCTGCAGTTTAACTACGAGCGGAAGATCAAAGCACATTGGATAAGAGACTGGTTATTCAGCCACCCGCGAATTGTGCTTCCCATCCTTGTCGCCATCTTAGCTGGGGTCACTGTCGCCATTTTTGATCCAATAAGGACGTTTTTCATCAGACTGAAAATATCTCCTCCACTGCAGTTCCAGGATAACAGGCTGTGGACCTGGCTTCAGAGACAGGCAACTAAAGCAAACTCTCTATTTTCTCTTCACCGGGGCCAATATGAGTCGAAAGGCCTTAATGAAATCTGGGAAGAGAGGAAAGAAGACGCCCAGCAAATTCAGAATTGGCTTGTGGAAGGAAACGATACCTTTATTGTTGTACATGGGCCCCGAGGCTTAGGAAAGAAAGAATTTGTTTTGGACGAAGCGCTTAAAAATTACAAGAACAAACTGGTCATCGACTGCAAACCTATCCAGGAAGCTCCAGGAGACAGCACCATGATAGCCGCCGCCGCTGCTGAGGTTGGATACAGACCAGTATTCTCCTGGATGAACAGCATTAGCAGTGTGATTGACGTTGCAACTCAAAGTGCCATTGGTACAAAGGCCGGATTGTCCGAAACCCTGGACACACAGCTCGGTAACATATTGCAAAACACTGCTAAGGCCCTGAAAAAAGTTGCCTTGGACGGGAGAAAAAAAGGGGACAAGGATGGTCACTTGAGCGATGATGAATGGTTAGAAGCAAACCCTGCTCGTCGACCAGTTGTCATTATCGATAACTTCCTACATAAAAGCAAAGACAACCAGATGGTATACGACAAACTTGCAGAATGGGCAGCTGCATTGATATATACCAATATTGCACACGTTGTCTTCCTCACGTCAGATCTTTCCTATTCTAAGACATTAAGTCAGGCCTTACCGAATCAGGTTTTCCATCAGGTGTCATTCACTGATTGCAAACCTGAAGTGGCTAAACGGTTCGTGTTAAGCCATGTGTCTGGTCATGAGGATTCCAAAGGCTTGGACTATTCCGATGAAAAATTTAACCAGGAACTCACCGAATGTATCAAACGGCTTGGAGGCCGTTTAACGGACCTTGAATTTTTCGCTCGCATGATTGCTAGAGGCCTGACCCCAAATAGTAAGCTACCCGCCATTACCATTGAATTCTATTGCTAAGTGCTCTGTAGATGCCGTTCAGCAGATAGTACATCAGTCTGCCGCAGAAATTCTTAAGATATTTATCACAGAAGTTGATCCAAGTTCCCGTGGTTGGACCCCGGAACAGGCATGGTACTTAATCAAAAACTTAGGAACAGCCAATGCTCAAGCAGGAAGCCAGAGCGACTCAGATGCAAATGGGGAAGCTAGCATTCGATACAGCGATATCATTTTATCGGACCTGTTCAAAAAGGATGGCGAGGCTACCCTCCGTGCACTTGAGAAAGCAGAACTGATCTCTGTTATTTCGAAGAACGGACGTCCTTCAATTATCAAGCCTGGGAAACCAGTGCTAGCGGCTGCCTTCCGCCAGTTGGTTGAAGACAAGGTTCTTAGTAGCAGGCTTGATTTAAGAATCCTCGGCAAAATGATCACGATACAAAACCAAGCAATTAATAAAATTGAGGAGGAGCTAAAAGTTCTAGGATCTTTCCCAAAAGAGCCTAGCGAAGCGAGGAGAAGGATTAAGTGGTTGCTAGCTAACTTGGCTCTAAACCAGGCAAAAATTGATCAATATGAGATGGAGAGCGCTCAGTTAAAGCTTGTTCTAAAAACCGAGTTTTAATCCAAGAGATTGAGCTTACCAATTGCACATCATATTGTATCTAGCTTTGAATATGCTATTACAAAGAATAGAAGGGTGAATATTTGTACTGTTTCTGAATAGTAAAGCTCAATGAATACAATTGAGATTTTGGGGGATAGAAGTATGGTGGGTAATTCATCGTAAATGAAATAGTAAACCAATGATTTGACCAACACCACCTCTGAAAAAGTCTATAATAATGTAGAATGGCTTTTTTTTATTGAAATATCATATTGAATACGCATAAATGCATGAGATGGTCATATCAAGGTTGAATGAGAATATCATTATGGATATGGCATTAGTTTGGAGGTATGGTTTGAGTAGACTCGCTTAACCATCTTTAGGTGCGCCAGAATGAAGGTCGGTAGGTTGAGTGACAACATTTCGTGGTTGTTCTTCATGTATATGCTGGTCATGCGAGGTATATGGCTGAGTGAGATCGGATTGGAGCGGTATCGGAGAGCCTTGTTCATTAACTGGCGAAACTGCATGAGTTGGATGCTCAAACAACCCTGTGCTGCCGCTCTGGCCTACTGCTGGTAATGGTTGGTATTCTCTCTGCGAGGCTTCTGGCTTCTGCTCCGCCGGGTGAAGGACAGGCTGCTGTTCTTGCTGTTGGTTATCCAGTTGTCGTTCAGTCTGTTGACCTATCTGGTGAGGTAGAGGTTGCGGGCCAGTTTGTTCAGGTAGTGGCGGCATAACTCCAGAAACCACAGGTTGCTGTGCCATCTGAGGCTGGCTGGCTGGCAGCGGATCGGTGGCGAGGGGAGGTGCTACTCCAAGCATTGGAGGGTAGCTTCTGCTGAATCCATATTTCAACCAGAGGGTGAATTTAGCGGCGAAAGACATAGATTTCCAATTTCTTTCCAACTCCTCTTGTTCTTCCCTCGGTTTCGGCCTGTAGCCTCGGTGCATGCAAATAATGAACAAACACGATAATATTGGGCACAAACAAGCAAAGGACTTGGGTAGGCCTCTGCTTGCCCCGCGGCCTCGCATAAGTTTTCTGAATCTAACAGCACTCTCGATCAGGCCGACAATGAAAAAAAAGCCGAACCAAGAAAAGATGATAATGAGGGATAGTGCAAGATATGCAGACCAATAGGAGCGATAGCACCCATAATACCGGCCACAATAACTATTATAGTTATCGCTGGAGCTAGAACCAGAGCTAGATTGTGAACCGTAGCCGCCGGAACTTGAGTGAGATCCATATCGGCAGTACTTAATTTCACTAGGGGTATGGATTGCTTCTATACTACTGTAAACCCCAGAAGGAAGCTCTGTTGGATCTACAAATGAGTCTGTAGAGGTATAATGAGATCCCGATTCCAGATAATCCACGACAGAGGTCGTTGCAGATGTCACGGTTGGGGTGAGATGACTCTGGATCTCGGTTGGGATGGAAATTCGCGCTGATGTCGTGATGGTGCTCTCCCCAGAGGTCACAGAGCAGCGTCTTGGGTAGGTATACGTGAGAGGGACGTAGTAGGTGTTGGTGCTTTCGTAGTAGTCATAACTCGACGACGTTCCCTGGCCTGGTTCAAGACCTATGAGTATGTAGGTGATAGATGGGTAGGTGATTGCGGTAATTGTGGCGGTAGCGGTAGGAGAAGTGACAGTCGGCACAACAGTTACTGTATTGGTATATTCAGAAGCTGGATAAGTTCCGTAGCGGCCTGTGTTCCCAGGCAAAGTCGTTACAGAATCTTCGAAGTATTTCGTGATAGTCCAATCAGGGGCGAAAGCCTGAGTGACCCTGAGCGCTTGGAGGAGGGCACAAAGACCCAAAAAACGCATCGCGACAGCACTTTTACCCAAGAAGGTCCAGAAAATAAAGGAGCCACTGTTTGTGGGAGATAATGGTATATGAACGAGTAGAGCTTAGAAAAAAGCTGAGGGGTGCGGCGCTGATAAAGTACCCCCTTCTCAGCGGCGGGTACGCGCCTTAACTTTGACTCTTTGACCAGCAGGAAGCTCATCCTGCAAGGGCCCTTGGGCATAAATTTTTCTGTTATTTTACTCTGTACTCCGTGCCCCATCAAAAATTATGGGTAAAAACAGCCACCTTGTCCCCTCGCAGACTGTATGACAGCCTAGCTAGGTGCGGCCAAGTGCAGCTAAAATGGTTTTTGCGGGCGCATCCTCGGACGGCGATTCCATTCCCTGACTCAACTGGCCCCAGGAACAGTTTGCAATGGCCAACCACGGGCATAGCCGACGGCCCCCAGACCCTCCAATAGTTCATTTAGCCCATTTTCCATGTCTGAAGGTTGGCAAGTAAGCGAAAATGAGGCTCTAATCACGAGGGTGTGAGACATCGCGGTGGAGTTGTTAACACCGTGATTCGCTAGCGTGTGCCATTTTGCAGCAGGAACGCTGCATGCGAACACTTGGGTGTCACCTGTGAATCTCCGACAACGCCTCTCTCCTTTCTTTTCTTTTTCTTTGGTGGCTGATGGTCGGCATTTCGGCGGATATCAAAAGCGCGCAGATTCAGGGGGCGCTTCTCGTCGAGGCGTCGCTTGCGTTAAATTCAGCGTTTGTTTTTTTATCTCTCTTCCTTCCTAAAATAGTTAGATAAAGCTAAAAAAAGCACTCCGCGGGAGTGATTAGGGTTTCCCCAGGCACGTGGAGAGATTACATCAGCAAGATCAACGTCATGTGATATGCTTATCTGGACCGAAGACTTCAACGTTTGGCGACTTTGTTAGACTAGGCTCCGGTCAAACTCGGTGGAGGAGAGGTAGAAGAAGAAGAATAAATGGATAACAACACCCCGTCTATCCCTCAGCTCGCCGTAGATGCCCTGCGGCAGCTTTTTGCCCACTTGAGCGGGTGGGCAGTGGTTGTAGTGTTTGTTCTAATATGTCTCGTCACCCGACTCCTGACACAAGTCACTAGTCTACCTCGCATTAGAACAAAATACCCAGATGGATCAATATCTCCAAGCAAGGTTCCCTACTGGCTGCCTTACGTTGGCCATTGGCTCTCGTTAGGTTTCTTCCGAAAGAGATTGCTATTCAATGCCCGGTCAGTTTACGCTTGACGTTCGTTTGAGCCCCTTTTTGACGGAGGTATTAACTTTGCTATCTAGGCTGCCAGAACGTGGAGCTGCATTCAGCTTTTATTGTTGGGGGAGGAGACACGTTGTCCTTACAACTCCCTCGATGGTTAGAAGCTTGTTTAAGCAACGCCAATCCACTTCAGCAGAACCATGCATCAACTACCTACTGGACAACAACTTTGGCTCAAACAGTCGTGCGCGCAAACCTGGCCGAGAAGGCACTTACCATGGTGAATCATCGAAGTGGATGAGGCTTTTGGCAGAAGAGCCCTACCTCACTGATCTCTCATCCGTACTAGTCAAGGAAATTGAACGAACCACTCCATCTTTGGTCTCATTCACCTCTAGTGTTGTAGATCAATATCCATGGGAACGAATCAGTGGCGTTACTCTCCAAAATGAAGCAAGCGGAGAAAGAGTATGCATAACCAAACTGTACTCCTTGATTAGTGGCTTCGTGGGAAATCTCTCGATCAATATTTTAATGGGGAAGACTCTCCTTGATGTCTATCCCAATGTTTTACCCGACATCTCCGCCTTCAATAGCAAATTCAATGCTATGTTGCTTGGAATTCAGCGGTGGATTCCATTTCCCGGTCTTGTCAATGCATATCTCGCTCGCCGTCGCTTGCTAGTATGCCTGACGGTTCAAAATGCCATATTTAGTCAGATAGAAAACGGACAAGAGCCTGAGGCTGTTTGGCGGGATCTAGATGATGTTTCTGCCGCAGTCCAGGCTCGAATGCGGACACGAATCAAGAACGGTTACTCGGTCGAATATGCGGCCGCTGAAGATTTATCTTTGTTATGGGCAGTTACTGTGCGGGCGAACGCCTTAATATTCTGGAATCTCGTTCACATACTAGCTGACCCTAAGTTACATGCCGAAGTGTTGGCTGAAATTGGCCCTTATGCAAAGCTTAAACCCTCAAATTCGGCTACATTCGGTCTACCAGAACCACCACAGGTGTCATTGGATATTGATAAACTCATCGGGTCTTGTCCATTGCTGATGTGTACCCAAAGGGAGACCAGTCGGCTCTACTCAACCCCTTATACTTACCGAAAGGTTACCTCTAATATTAACCTCACCGAGTCAGATGAGGACGCATCTTTCAATTCTCGAGAAGCCCAGACTTATCATCTATCTGAGGGTGATTATGTTGTGATACCTCACTCTTTGCGAAATCGAATCCCTCTTTACAACAGCTCACCTGACAGCTTTGATCCACGACGACACCTTATCAAGTCTACTGAGGCCGATGACTTGGAAGACAAGAAAGGCCTACAACATGTTGTGGATGAGGATGAGCAAGATTGCTCAGAAGGTTGGGATGACCCAGCTTCCGTTTGTTGGAAGTTAGAGCAGAGAAAAGTTATTGGAACCTTGGCCGCCATATTAGTAACATGGGATATCAAGCCTGCCGGGGGAGAGGACTGGCAAGTTCCTAACCGGAGGAGCGGAAGCTTGATTGACGAACCAAAAGACATACAGGTTATGCTAAAGATGAAATCCTAGCGCTTTGGTCTTGTACATCTCTTTACAAATTAGCTAAAAGGCCCAGATAAATGTAATATTAATATCATATTTTTTTTGGCTTAGCGCTAACTCCGGCTATCTTATCTTATCTCCATAATTTAAATTTAACGTTCTTGATGACTAATAATCACGACCGCGACGCGCTTCCATTTCGATATTCACATCACAGCTTCGGATTATTCTTGGTCTCGATCTCCAAAGCCTGTGGCTGCTTCCCGCATTATACCAATTATATTGCATTCGGCTAATACCTCAACATGGCCCCGGATAGCAACACCTTGAGGGGTAGACCCGCTCGTATGTTTTTTTTTTTTTTTTTTTTTTACAGAATCTCGTCCCTAATATAGATACTGATAGATGTGAATGCTAGACACACCCGGCACAACAGTGCTAACTTATACTCCCAATGGCAAACAAGTAATTACTGGTGGATCAAACTCTGGAATTCGAGTGTTCTCAACTGGAGAGCATGGCGAACCGAAGACAATCGATGAAGGGATGGAGAGCCATTTGGCAATCGCAGCAACTGTACGTCCGATATCTCACTATACTGAGCCCCAAAGGAAGAACCGAAGCGGGCCACTGCTACAAATCGAGCCTTTCTAATGAAATGCTAGAATGAGTCCATAATACTGGGGTCTGAGGATGGGACAGTATGGCTTTACAAACTGCAAGAGGCCACAATGGATAAACCATTAGCTCGTTGTGCATTACCAGTTCGAGACCTGGCGATTTCCAAGGACGAGGAATGGATTGCTGTTGCTAGCGAGTAAGTCGAAATAGCTGGTGATCTTAGTTTGCAATCATTACAAGTTCGATTTAACTGATTCTAATTTTCGCATAGTGAACTGACTGTCAAGATCGTGAATATTAACGATATTACGGAGGTCAAATATTTACGGGATCAAACAAAAGGAGTCAAGCATGTAACATTTGATCCCAGCGGGAGATTTGTCACAGTGTCTTGCGCTGATGGAATTATCTATATTTACTCGTTCACGGAAACAGAACCTACGTTGCTGCACAAACTTGATGGAGTGATTCGACAACTTGAAACAGATAACGAGGCAACATCAAGCGCGGTTTGGCACCCAGATGGAACTGCATTCGCCGCAGTAGAAGCCACAAGGGATATCACAGTAATATCGAGTAGGGATTGGACTAAGCAACGGAAATTCTCTGGTGGTCATAATGGAGATGTCACCTGTCTCGCGTGGTCTCCTAACGGGGCATTGCTTGCAAGTGCCGGAGCTGACCGCAAAATTCTCCTCTGGGAAACCAGGACCCAAAAAGTCATAAAGACATACGACATTCCAAATGTTATCAATTTCCGCTGGCATCCCACCCAGAATGTTGTTGCATTTACTACCTCCGATGGAGAGCTGTTTATCTACGATGATTTTGTCCCATCAGAATTTCACTCATTTCTAGCGAAGACCTTGGAAGTGGCGCCGTTACTCTCAATTGGCTCACATGAAGAGATCACAATCTCTCATAGACCCCAACGACATGATACCAATATTTCTGGAAACAGGCAGAGAGGAGGAAGTCCGGACTCTCTTGATGACATACTAGGGCCAGCGGATGATGAAGATGATTTTGTTGAGGATGACGATGGTGCAGGCTACACCGAAAACGTCAATGGCCTTGGAAAGAGAACTAACACTCATATGGATGAGTTATTCGGTCATGAAACGAAACGGAGACCAACGGCCCCTTGGAAGACTATATCTCATGAACCCTTTCAGCCAGGTAGCACCCCATGGAGAGGCAACAGAAGATATCTAGGTAAGCTTGTAATTGTTTACTTCGGCAGAGTCCTTATTAACGAAAACCCGTAGCGTTGAATCTTGTTGGGTTTGTATGGACTGTTGATCAAGACACGCACAATACTATCACCGTGGAGTTCTACGACCGGGAATGCTATCGTGACTTTCATTTCACAGACCCATATCTCTATGACAAGGCGTGTTTGAGTACGTAAACTCATCTTTACCTTCAGTCTGAAGTTTTTTGCATATCGGTCTAACTATCTATATTAGACGAGAAGGGCACTTTATTTTCATGCCAACCTACCTCCAGCAATCCAGCAACAGTGTTTTACCGGCCGCATGAAACGTGGACAACAAGAGCAGACTGGCGGACAGAACTTCCACCGGGAGAGAAGATTACTTGTACGTTCCTTCCATGCCACTCATCATGTGTCCCAGTGTTTCTAACTGCATCAAGCCATTGCATTGAGTAATTCTTACATTACGGTGACTACTTCGACGGACTACGTTCGGATTTATACACTGTTTGGCACTCCATATCGGGTATTCCGACAAAAGAGCCAAACAGTGACCTGCGCGGCATGGCGAGACTATGTCATTACCATCGGGAATGGCCCAGCAGGTAGTGATGGAGTCGCACAATTGAAGTATTCCATTGAGAACGTTCGACGTGACGAGATTTGTCAAAACGAGGACGCTGTTGCACTAGCAGGAGGTACGCGGCTGCAGAGCGTATTTTTTTCAGACAAGGGCGTATGTATCCCTCCAGGAAACCCTGTAAACCAACATATTGACTAAGAGATATGATCCAGGATCCTTGCATTTATGACAGCTCGGGAGTTCTTCTTGTGTTGCAACATTGGCGGAAACCAGGACAGGCCCGCTGGGTCCCGCTTCTTGACACAAAACTGCTTGAACGTGTTGCCAGTGGCCGCAAGGAAGAAACCTATTGGCCAGTTGCTGTTGCACAGGATGTTTTCCACTGCATAATCCTAAAGGGTGGGGATAGATATCCCTACTTCCCACGACCATTGCTCACCGAGTTCGACTTCCAAATACCGATATCCTACATTTCATCCAAGGAACAGAGCAACAAAGATGGAGACATGGAAATGGAAGACGCTGAAGAAGCCGCGAGGAACAATAACAGGAAATTACAAGAGTCTCTTGTCAGGGCGAATTTAGACTATACTCTTCTGGAGGACTGCATCACGGCGTCCGAGATCGGGGCAGCTGGAGATGCTGAGCTGAGGAGGAAAGCGCTTGATATTGACAAGATTCTCCTGCAGTTGCTTGCTGTCGAATGCCGCGAGGGTGAGGAAAGGGGCATGAAGGCCCTTGAACTTGTCACCATGCTCCGAGACCGTTCTGGGAAGATGCTAGATGCTGCTAGCAAGATTGCACAACGCTACCACAGATCTATACTCGATGACAAGATTAGAGCCATTGCAGAACGAAGACTGATGGGTGAGGATGATGATGACATCACCGGGGATAACGACGATATGTAACGAAGCCGGCCTTATACTTATGATCTATGAACAATACATTGTAATATTCACTTATGCGTTGAATATAGAGGAGGATCAGCGGCTTTTTCAGCCTGTAGACTATCAAATAGGTGTAAAAGAGCATATCTCGATGGCCACCATCATCACTGCGGTCCGAGCCAATCACAGGCCTCCTTTATTTATCAGGTAGCTCCAACTTCTTGCCTGTCACTGCTTGACCACATTCACAAATTCTCATTCTTCTTAACAGCTTCTTCTTTCTGCAGCATATCATATCTTGTTTCTCTAACTTATCTATCTAGGCTTGCTGCATCTCTGGAATAACTACATGGAATGCATGCCGCCCCCTGCCAATAATGGCTAAACACCTCACGCATCAAATCGCTTTTCCACCGTCTCTCAAGCCAAACCCAGGCCAGCTCAACAGATATGTCACCCGAGTCTCGTCGCAAACAGGCTCTCTAGCTCAAATAGCACAAAGATCCTCTCGCTGGAACCATGAGCCACTTTCACACAATCGCTCGTTAGCACAGCTGTCTCCCATACAGCCCGATGGGCCGTGGATTACAGCTGTTTCCTCTACACACTTCTCGCAATCGAATCTAGCCGCGCAATATGGCGAACCACATGGGGATGGAGATCATAAATCGCCAGATGAAAGAATAGTTAAACTGGGAAAGAGTATGTTTTTGAAAATAAATAAATAGCTTGAAAGGGTTTTCGATGCTAATGGCATGATGAAAGCTCTTCGTACCCTCTCGAAACAGCTGCCTACAATCCTCGTTAACGCACTACCGCAAGAGATTCTTTCGCCGAGTATATCTCTCCATTTATTCCCATCTACACACCCACATCTTCCTACCGTTAAAGGACGAGTTCCCTATCGAGCTGCTTTATGGACTGCTCCTGTGGCATGGGGCAGTGTTCCTATCATCGGGAACGTCAACTTACGAATAGTAAGCGAGCGGGTAGTCCCAACAGGTGTTGCTAATGAAAGCGATCGGAATGATAGTCCTGGTGGTGAAAAACTTGTTGTACGCTGGGTGACCGAGGGTGCAGACCGCCCAGCTTCTAAAGTCGGCCGCGGCTCAGAGGTAGATGATTACATTACACCAGACCGAGCGCATCGGGAACAAAGCACAAACAAGGAAAGCCCCATGAGCTCATCTTCCGCTATAAGTGGGACAAATAGGGGACTCAGCATGTTGCTCGGCGGAGAAATGCCTATATTCAAACTTGGAAAAGAGGAGCAGTTTACCGGACTTTTCATTTTCACTTTCGACGAAGAAGGCCGGATTGCTACGCATACGATTGAGCATGCCGACGAAGGCAACGGGTGGGATCGAACCGCCAAGGTGGTCACTCTAACAGATTGGCTCCTGGGAAAGGCAAAAGGAAGCGCCTCCGGACAGATTGTTCCTCCTCAACCTGCCTTTGTAGCAGGAAAGGCTAGGGAAACTTCTCGGCCACGTTATCGCTTCGGCCCGTTCGAAATTTAATGTCAAAACGGGAGTCCCTCTTACGAACATCCTGCTGGTTGAGTACTCATTTCTTTCCTTTTGACATCTATATTACGCGAGGAGTTATGGTTTTTACAGATTTCGTCTGCCCTGCAGCAGCGGAAGGCCCGCCCTAGCCAGCTTTTCATGTGCCGTCCGTCTGTTCTATGATTTATGATACCTATGCTAATGCTTGGCCATTGACAACATTTCATTTTTTTTGTTGGCTTTGTAGCGGGGGCCCGGGGATCTTTGCTCTTTTCTTTCTGTATAATACACATTCCCAAATTTGAATCTACATTGATAGGATTAGACAAATAGTAGAAATCTCAGCTCACCCTGCTACTAAATGTGCCGCTCTATGGGACATATCTCAATACCATAAACCATGCCCATCTATGCGTTTAAATTTAAATTACCCCGACAAATATTTTTCTATCCGAATCCATTCACTTTGTTTTAGCCAGTATGGGTGATTTTAGCAACCCAATGGCAATTGCACAAACGCCAACCATAGCCAGAGCACCGGTTTTATATGCTACTTCTCTACCCCCCCACCAAAACAGGGAGCAGAAAAGGACTGGCCCAGTAGCTCTGCCAGCTTGACCCCAGCTTCGTAGACGGCCCAAGGAAGCACCGCGTTCAGCCTCACGAGCTTCCAAACTACCCAGGCTATTCAATCCAGTGACCACAGTTGCACTAGTGACAGCGAGTAGACAGCCGGCAGCATACAATCCGGTTATCGTTGTAATGTGAGCGAGCAAAGCGAAGGATATGGTGCAAGCTACTACGCCTATTCGGACGGTAAGAAGGGGTGGTAGCCGACGTGTCACCCCGCCCTGCAGAATTGAGGCCAATAATCCCATCACTGATAATAGACGCCCATTAAGAGCGGAAGGGCTTGCTGCGCCAGCATTTGCTGCAAGGGAAGTTTCGTAAAGGTTGGCCGTAATAAAGGGAAGAGAAAACTCTAGGCCTGAAAAGGGTAGAAGGAATAAAAAGTGTGTTATGTTCAAGAGAAAAGGGCTGTTGGTATAGCCCTTAGGAGCTTCTATTGATGGTCTGTTTGCCCCTGGCTTACTGTCATGTTCCTTCCCGCTGATGTCACCAGGTGTAGTGGGTTTATAAGTTTTAGATGCCAATCTGGGGTGTGTTTCCGGCAGGCAGAAGTAGATGTAGATTGTTTCCGTGACAATCAAAAATAAGGAGCATGCAGCAGCTGTTGCAAATGGATTCGCTGCAAATGTGGTAATGTTGCTGAGCGCTGCACCGATAGCAGGGCCGATCGTAAACGCAACACTGAAGCAAGCTCCCACCAACGCCATGGTTGAGCCACGTTGGCTAGGATCGCTGATATCCGCCGCGATAGCATTCGCAATCTGAACGTTTCCTTCACTTAGCCCACCTATTATCCTACTCCCCAAGAAAGTGCGGAAATCCGTGGCAGCAACCCATAAAGCAACACTGGCGATGTTTCCCGCCATCGACCAAAGAAGTGCAGCACGACGGCCATATTTATCAGATATAGAGCCAATTACAGGTGCTGCGACAGCCTGTAGGAGCGAAAATAGAGATCCCAGCGCACCGCCGAGAAGTACAACATCGTATTTCGAATCTATCGGTTTTGAGAATGCATTCTTATATGCGTTGAGATATTGGAGAATACGATTTAGGAGTGAGTTTGGAGAGGGATCTTTTTCAAGATAAAATCTTATAAGCGACGGAAATAGTGGAAGAATAAAGGTAAATGATATCTAATAAAGTAGTAGTTCAGTTAGTGATATTGGCTCTTGGTGAACGAGGCTTGTAAGCGTGTACTTACGAGGTCAAGTAAGAGGGAGATGAAGAGTGTCTTGAGGATTTTTCGTCGTCGCTGGATATTGGACGTATTTTCTGCCATTTTTGAACAACCTTTTTCTGCCAGTTAAGCACCATCGACTTTTTTATCTTCTATAAGGCTGTTGCCATTATTATTCTGATCTCGTCGTGCTCTTATATATGGAGGAGAATTTTGGTTTTGGTGGTCCGTGCCAAGCTTGCTGTTTCTAAAAATAGCTAATTGGCTAATTAACTTTGTTAACAAGGGGCTCTTTTAACTACGCAAACCTTAATACTTTATTTGTATCGGCCTATTGATGTTGACTACGAAGCATCTAGCTAGGAAATTATACAACACATGTATGAATTGTGTGCTTAGTTATTTAATAGATATATAGCTATGCCATATTGGCCTACCTTGGTACCAATTGAGACACGGCTCATCTGAACTCTTAACCCGTTAAGTCTCCATCCTCCTGTAGAAAGATAACGCAAGGAGGAAGCATTACAATACAGGCCTTGGACTTCTTATAAAGCATGTGACTAGGTAAGTATAACTACAGTCGAGGGAAATGGTACTTGTTGGTACATTGAAAGGGTGGAAAAATCATTCTCAGTAAAATCGACTATGTCAGCTTCTCCTCTGGATAATAACAACTGGACGCTCCATAACCAACTGGTTGACCTGACTAGTGAGCATGAATTATAAGGAGAATCTGCAACATACGTTGTTACGAGTGGGATATATGACTAGGCTATTTCCAGGGATATTACATCCTAAAATTTAAATAAGGAAGAGAGGGGATCACCTAATGAAGACATGAAAGATATGACTGACTTAACTGGCCCATGGGCTAAGAACCCTAGTAGCTTGCAAGACGGTAAGATTGTTAAAGTGGAGCATCATAATATATTATGCGGGTATACTGCCTATAGAAGAAGCCCCTGTTATTTACAGGAGATAACATATTGATATTGAGGAGATGACCGGGTGTACATAGCTCTATACAGGCAATCTTCAGATTCGTAGCTCCTACGATTAGAATTATCAATGCTGACGTGTATCTATTATCTGCAAAGCGAATAATTACTAGATAAAAAAGCATAGGTATCTTCAAATCATTGCTTTTGTTTTGCTGGCTGTAAAAGATGACTGCCACATACATAGCTTCCGTCAAAGGAGAAAGAACCAAAGAAGAAACAAACACCCCATATTCATACCCCTATCCTTATCCCATCCCAATCTCCATTTTCCTTCCACACCTCCTCGAGCTTAGGAAACCGGCAAGCATAAAACACAAAAAGTAGATAGTGACGTATGAATTGAGAGTAGGGAGTAAAGAAGAAACGACCAACCAATCAATGGATGGAAGAGGATGAAGATGAAAAGGAGGACGAAAAAAAAGAGGGCAATAACAAGAAGCCCATATGCACGCTAGTATTTCGAAATAATTAGGTCGTTAAGTTTTTTTGCGGTTGGTAGTTGTGGTTCGATTTTTTGTAAGTGCCGTCCGTCATGACATAGCAAATTGTAGCAACGTATGGAAACTACTAAAGAGTTGAATGGGAGAGAGAAAGGGTAGGAGCGGGAATAGAGGGTGAAAGGGGCGATGAACGAAACTAAGCCCGCAATGCAACGAATGACCAAGCTTAAACAGAAAGCAGCGTGAAGATAAGAATGTTAAGGGCTGTAAAGGGAGTATGACGGGTCCAGTACTAGCCTTTAAGCGTCGCCTGCAGTAGCAGCAGCGGGAGCGGGTCTTCCACCACGATGGCCGTTTCCATTTCCTCGATATTCACCACGACCACGTCCACGGCCACGGTACTCACTCCCAGCACGGTGGTGATAGCCGCCACGACCGCGGTGTTCTCCGCCACCACGCTGGCCTTGGCCTCGGCCGCGATAACCCCGTCCACGCCCACGAGGATGGTTAACCCGTTCAAAGCCGTCGACTTGTTTGTTGGCCTGAGGCTCTTCTACCCAAGTTCCAGAGGTGAGCGGTTGACGAATAGCAGCTTCAGCAGCAACAGAGGCCTCGGCAGCAGTACCAGGTTGGGGAACTTGCACACTAAGCCATTCCTCTGTGGAGGCACTGGGCTTATAAGGATTTGGATCCCATTCTACTGATACGGTCTGCGCAATTTCGTTGGCTGCAACATTCTCCTCGGTAGGTTTAAGGGGGGCTGCTTCTTCAGCAGTCGGCTGAGGTTTAGGTTGAAAGCTATCTGCGGCTGCAGCCTGTGAGACAGTAGGCTCTTCAGCTTCAGTAAGGCCGGCATTGGCGATTGTTGGGTCAGTTTGGACTGCATTGGCATCGGCAGCAGGGGCGGTGGTTGCTTCCTCAGTTAAGACAGCTTCACCGGTGGATTGAGCGTAGTCTTCAAGAGAAGTGCGCTTAATTTGTGCGTCTACAAGAACAAACTTGTCAGTGGACTAGGATGAGAGAGCTTACTATCAGCGAAGGAGGTTCTGAACTTACAGGTTATGTCAAGGATCTCGGACTCAACACTGGGAACCTTGTCATCTGTGCCATCAATCAACTTGATCATGGCATCGACCGCCTGTTCCGTTCCACCATAAACCTGGTACAATGCTCCTTCAAACCCACGAGCCTGGATAGAGTGTTCATCAGCAACTCCCCTCATGGCAGCAGCTGCGCGCAAGAAACGGCTGAGCACAAGCAATCGGTCCTTAAAGCGTTTCTCAGCACTCTCTCTGGACTCGGTCTCGAGGTTCTTCTTCAACGATTCGATTTCGTCTTTGTGCTGGGCTTGGATCTTTGCTACTTCTTTGGCACGTTGTTCTTCATAATATGCTTCGAGTTGTTTGTATTGAGCGATCTGCTCTTCGATGTGAGCAATAGTTTCCTGGAGAGCGGGTTTCTTAAGGGCCTGGGCTTTCTGGTCTGCATTGATTTTCTTGAGAGCTACAAGCTCCTCGAGGGATTTCCCGGGGTTTTCAGCAATAATTGCATCGACTTTGGCGGTTGCGTTCTAAGATGTCTCGTCAGTCTGGCTCCGGTAGAAACTGCAAAGGAACAGCGCTTACCAATTTCTTGTTGGTGTTTCGAAGGGTTCTAGCAAAGAAAAAATCAGCATCAATCGCATCACACGGGGTTCAGTACGGACGTACTTCTGGAGCTCCCTGAGGAAGCTTGGCTCATGGTGTCCGTTGGCAGAACCATCAGCAGCAGCCGCAACACTAGGCGCGTCGGTATTTGATGCAGCAACAGAGACTGGAGCAGCTACAGCAGCAGATGCCTCCGCCTTGCCGCGTCTCTTCTTAGTATTCTGAGTCTGTGAAGGGTTGCTGGGAGCTGTAACGGCGGACATGGTGGTTGAATAGGGACTCGAGAAGTTTGGTCGTGTGACTGGAAAGACAGCAGGGAAACAGGTGGAATAATGAGACGAATGAGCTGAAGAGTCGTAGAGGAGACGGAAGATCGGTCTATTCGAGTAGCAAGACAGAGATCGAGTGAGCGCAAGAGAGAAGCGGAGATGGAAGAAGTTTTGACGTTGGAGTTTTGGAATTTGGGTCGTTGTTGGTGTAAAAGGTTTTTTTTTTTGTCCTAACTTATCCCGCAGGATGAGCACCAGCCAAAAAGGGCATTCTACAACCACAGACAGCACAACACCACAAGCTGATACTCACCTGTGCAAGGTAAATTATTATCAGGAAATACTCATCTTGTGAGCAGTTTCCTTTTTATTTTACTTTTCAGTTTCTTCAGTTGGTATTAGAGGAATCGTTTACAGTTGTTCTTCCGTTTATATGGTAGAACGAGACGGAAGAGCAAAGAAGCATCTAACTCAAGCGCAGGCAGAAAGCAATACAAGAAGCCATCAAATATTTATACTTTGCTCCATACTCCAGGGTATCTCAGCCCTCCTAGACGTCTTCAGACGGACGCCATCGATACGTTTAACCTAACTAACGCCGACCGAACCGATTATAATAACGCCTGATGTCAAGTCTCGAGCCTATGGCCTGATCATGTCGACCAACAGAAGACACGTTTCGCCTATCCCTTAAACTTGCGTAGAGCTCCCTAGACGTGTAATATCCATGAGAAACGGTCATCTGCGCCAGAGGAAGGCCGTTGACCCCAGGGCTGCTCACCTCGGTAACTCGTCGCACGGTTCTGGCCGTGATGCCCTTGTCGCCGCGCTTTCTTCCCTGGATCGAGGCTTCGCGCATCAACCTGCAACAGTGAGTATGGGTCTGGCCTCTAGGAGTTAGATGGTGCGGACTCTTGTATGAATAGCATGTAGTCTAGGAATATCTGTACATCGTCAGCGGAATCGCATATGTAGATGTTGGGTTCTCCCTCCCGTGCCTACCAGTATGTCTGCATTCTTGGTCAGGACTTTGTGCGTATGAGACTTGACAATCCGCTTCACCGTCGCCCGCGGATACAACTTCTGTACCGCCATTCTCGTCGTCTCCTTGCCCGTCTCTTCGCCGTCTCTCTGTCTCTGCTATTTTTCCTGCGGTTTTTCCTGTCTTTTGTTTACTTTCCTTTGATGCCAAGAATAAATATATCACGTGACCTTTAGATATTATATAATATTTACAGAATTGTTATATCACGTGGCTTGTGTGTGTCGTCATTGCACGTGGGGAGCTAGTCCCAATCGGGCGCATCTCCGAAGCTGGAGAAATTTCGACTTTTCTCGCCGCTGGCGTTGATCTTGGTTTATTTGCCCTGGTTTTATCGCGATCCGCCTCGCAGCCAGACCAAGGACGAAGCCATAGCCGGAGTGAGAGTTCAATTGGACGCTGCTGCTTCTGTTGCTGCGAGAGATACAGCTGCTGAAGCGAGCTGCAGCTTGTCAGGATGCGCTTCGGCAACACCCTCCAGACGTCGGTCTATCCGCCATGGAAGGACCACTACATCGACTACCGAGCTCTCAAGAAGCTGCTCCGCGAGCATGAGGGATCTGAGGATGGCGACGATGGCGAGAGCAGGCCGTGGACCGACGAGGACGAGGAGAACTTCGTGCAGGAGCTAATCAACGTCCAGCTCGACAAGGTCAACTCGTTTCAGGTCGAGACTCACAAGAGACTGCGGGAGCTGACAGCCGAGTGCGAGGCCACGTTGGAGCCAGTGGCCACACAGCAGGGCGAGACAAAGCTGGAGAATGTGAAGAAGAACGAGGCCGTCGCGCAGGAGACTCTCAGCAAGCTCGACCGCATCACCGAAGAGCTGGGCGAGCTCGAGAAGTTCAGCCGAATCAACTTCACCGGCTTCCTAAAAGCGGCCAAGAAGCACGACCGCAAGCGCGGAGCAAAGTACAAGGTCCGCCCGCTGCTACAGGTCCGCATGTCGCAGCTCCCATTCAACTCGGAGGACTACTCGCCGCTGCTGTACCGCTTGTCGGCCATGTTCTCGTTCGTCAGGTCCATCCTGGGAACGGAGGGACAGCCAATGCCCAAGGATGGGCCCGCGGTTGATACCCAGACCGGCCGTGAGACGTATACCTCCCACAAGTTCTGGGTCCATGCCGACAACCTACTGGAGGTCAAGACCTACATTCTGCGCCGTCTGCCCGTGCTTGTCTATAACCCGAATACCTCAAAGGAGCTCGATGTCGCCCAACGGGACCCCTCTCTCACCTCGCTCTATTTTGACAACCGCTCGTTCGACCTGTATAACCAAAAAGTGGCAAACAAGCCCGCAGCCGGTTCCCTTCGCCTGCGCTGGACTGGCCACCTCAGCGACCAGGTTGAGGTCTACCTGGAAAAGAAGATAATGAACGACGGCGACAGCAGTCGCGAGATCAGAATCCGCCTCAAGAAGAAACATATCAATGCCTTCCTCAATGGATCCTATAAGATGGAGAAAGTCATCCACAAGATCGAGATTCAAGGCAACGGCGATCCTCAGCGTGCTGATAATCTCAAACGAGATGTTGAAGAGATCCAGGAGTTTATCAAGAGCCATGGGTTGGAGCCCATGGTTCGTGCAAACTATACCCACACCGCATTCCAGATCCCTGGCGACGATCGCCTCCGTATCTCCCTGGACACAGATCTAGCCCTTATCCGTGAGGACACCCTAGATTTCGAGCGTCCATGTCGTGAACCCGAGGATTGGCATCGTTCAGACATCGATAGCCGAAGAATGGAATTCCCCTTCTCGGAAATTCCTCGCGGTGAGATCTCGCGCTTCCCGCATGCGCTTCTGGAGATCAAGATCCGCAACACCAGTGGTAAGCGTCGTGGAAAGCAATATTGAGGCCTGGCTCTCCGACCTCATGTCTTCTCATCTTGTCAAAGAAGCGCCACGCTTCTCTAAGTTCGTTCATGGTGTCGCCCAGCTGTTCGAAGATCACATTAACAGCTTCCCCTTCTGGCTCAGCGACCTCGATACGGACATCAGGCAAGATCCAGAAACTGCCTTCCAGCAAGAACAAGAACGGATTGCCAAGCAGGCAGAGGACGAGCTCGCTGTCGGCAGCTTCCTTGGTAGCCGCCAGACGATCCCTAGCATCCAGCACCTCGTCGGCTCCCCTATCAGCCACATGATGACAGAAGAGTCAACTCCCAAGACCCAGATTCGCATCCAGGGTGTAGTTCAGCCTACCTCCCCTCGTCCCGAGGCTCTATCCCAGTCCCAGTCTGAGTTAGCTCCCAGAGCTCCCATTCCCGAGCTTAGCCTGCCTCCATCTACCGAGCAAGCCAACGGAGCCCAACCTCAACCGTCATCCCGACCAACATCCTCGTTGCTTCGCATCCCCTTCTCCATGTCCCGCTATGCCCTTGCCCATCGCTCTCCTCAACCCCAGCTACCCTCTGGTGTCTCTATGCCAAGCTACTGGCTCAAGGACACTGGCCCCGTCCGTGTGGAAGCTAAAGTTTGGCTCGCCAACCAACGTACCTTCGTCAAATGGCAGCATATTTGCATTCTCCTCGCTGGTATTTCACTCACAATGTATAATGCCGCCGGGCCCGACAAAACTGTCACCCGCTACCTTGCCCTCGTGTATACTGGTTTCTCCGTCTTTACTGGAGCCTGGGGATGGTGGATGTACGAGTCTCGTTCGCGACTGATCCGAGAACGCAGTGGAAAAGACTTTGATAATGTCATAGGGCCTCTCGTCGTCTGTCTGGGTATTGCAGTCGCTTTGGTGTTAAATTTCTGGTTCAAGGTATGCGTTCATCCATTCCCCTCCGTCCCAATTTTAAACCACAAAATGAAATGTTTGCTCGATAAATTAGTGGTGTGACATCACCTCTCCTTATTTATATCCCAACGCATTTCCCTATTCGTGTAACTGTCCACTAACTCTCGTTCGTATTATAATAGTATGCTTCGATTGTCTGGGCAGACCCTGCTCCGAACGCACCGTCACCAACCGGAAACATTGCCGAAGCTGCTCCATTTATGACAGCTCGGCCTCAATTCCAGGCCCAGCCAAACGTCTAATCTCTACATCTCGTGATCACTTTCCCATTTCTTCCATTACCTCATTGTCGATTTAAGGACTATTCATGCCTTACGTTTTGCCTTTTTTTTTTTTTTTCGTTTACTATTGTTGCGTAGAAACTGAGCGGCATAATACAATACACTAAATGATATTTATCTCGCTATATGAGTTGGCCATCGTATGATTGATTGGTCTTATCTTTATTTCTGTCTTGTTTCGGACTACTTGTTTCTTTGGGTGTTTCGCGGGGACTTGTATGTAAATTCGCCTGAGATATGTGTACATGAATGAGAGTATTCTTTCCTAAGCCGTATGTATGTTGCTTTAGACTCGGAATTGGCGTTTAGCTCCTTGAAAGGAACCGCATATATATTAGGATATGTACATGACTGAGAGGGGATAATTATTCGATCATTAGCCATCATAACATCGATAACAGCAAGCATCCACGTAGAGGGAATGAAAAATACAGGGCAGCAATAAGCTAGAAACAACAGGATAGTAAATATGACACAAAACAACAGGACTTCAAACAACATGGAAGGGAAGAGGAAAAAGAGATGTTGAAATAAACCAATACCGCCATGATTGACTCAACTCGAACCGAGAAGGTTTATGCGCCGTATTCCATCCGTGGAAATATGAAATAGTAACAAACCCCATACACCGCAGATGAAAAAAGGTGGGACTCGGACTAAAAATAGTGCAGACAAGAAATAGAGAGAGGGAAAGGATAAAAGTGAGTTGGGAAGAACAATGCATAAGGAGGAAGGAAGCATAATCGTGCAAGGATGAGCAACATGCGTAAGAATTTGTGTACTACCAGGCTTATCCAAGTGTGTCTGCCGCATGAGAAAACGATATCGAATTAGACATATTTAGTAGTAAGACTTTTGGCCAATTTTGTAATTCGGGAGCTCATCGAACCAGCAGGCTTCAGGATCGTATTGGTAGACTTTATATTCAACACCATAGGGTTTCTATACACAGACGGTTAGTTCCATTCGGGAGCGGAAACTATGTGATTAGAGAGATAATGCTTACCGGCTCCAGAGAGTAGATCATACCCAGAGGCACTGCAAGATCAGTGAGATCCTCTCTCTTCAGGCCGAGAAAATAAGCTAGCAGTGTTCTGGCAACGGATCTAGGCCCAACAAGAAGGACATGGTCCGTCATTCGCTCAACTTCAACGATAACGGCACGTAACCGGTTGACGACATCGAGGTATCCCTCACCACCGGGGCCAGGGAACCTGTAATGCAATTTCTCTTTCCTCCGGGTTTCGAAATCGGATGGGAAGCGTTCTCGAATCTCGTCATAGGTCAATCCTTCCATTACCCCCGCATTAAGCTCGTTAAGCATCCTCATCTCCTTGATATCATATTCCTCTTCATCGAAGAATTGCGCTGTCTGAATGCAGCGGGTAAGCATTGAGGTCCAGACGCAGAAGTTTCGTCCGCCTTCCATGATTTGAGCTGCATACTGAGGGTTTGGGGGAGTACTGTCGCCTGGCCGGGGTGGGAAATGAGTTGATAGGGCCTTTATCTTTTGGTATTCTTCCCAGCGTGCGCGTTGGTGGTCGATGAATTTAGCAAGGGCTTTGGCATATTGAGTCCCGTTTTCACTGAGCGGTGCATTTCCGCCTATTCTTCCACTGACGTCGTCCAGACTCTCACCATGACGAGATATCCAGATTTGGCGAGGGGATAGGTTGAAGTTCAGTAAGTAGGAGACAACTTGGGAGGCCATGAAGCCGGTGGCTTGATGGGCAACGACCTTGCGGCAGACATCGATTGTCTGGACGTATGGCATGTTATGTTGTTCCTCGTACTCTCCTAGAGGCACATAGCTGCGTTCGTACAGCTTGATACGCTTTTTAAAGTCTTCTAGAGCCACAACTGGCTCCATGTCCTTGTAGTCAGGCCCTGAGAGTTTGAGTCGCATGTTTGATTCTAGTAGCATGGCGTCGTAACAACAACTTTCCAGGAAGAGGACGTTTAGTTCTGGTCCGGCTCGTTCACGAATACGTGCCATGACGGATTTCCGTCGTTCCAGGGTGCTGTTGGTTGCATCTAAGATGCCAGCGCTTCCTCCTTGCTCGAGGATGTAGTCCAGTAGTTCGTCAAGAGTAGCTAGAGCGACCTGCTCTCTTAACTGGACTGCACGTTGGTTATCTGGGTCGAAAAACTGGGCAGACTGGTCCATTCCTTCTTCAGCTTTAGCAGCTGTCGCCAGCTCCCCGTTAGCACTGCCGTCTGCCGCCGTGCCTGGAGCCGGCTCAGGCTGCGCTGACGGTTCATCCTGAAGCTTACCATTGACGAATATTTGGGCAGACGGAACGGAGCTTGGTGGCATATCAAGAGGCGGTATTTCGCCCGACGGTACACCATTTTGAGACTTGTTTATATTCTCCTCCGCAGCATCGAGTTCTGCCTGTTCCTCTGGAGGGAGCTCACCAATGCTGAGCTCTCGCACGGATTTTCTCAGTTTTTCATCAACAACGGGGCCAATCTTCTTTGGTTCGCTCTGGGGTGTAGAGCTAGCCACGACTCGACGGCGTTCTCCTACATTGAAGATCTTCGTGTCGTGCTGCAGCCAGTTGAGGTAGCGGCAAAGCTTCTTGGTGATGTAGCTTTTGCCTCTGGCGGGAAGGCCGACCATAACAATCACGAGTTTCGATCCAATGTCACGCTGTGCGATGCGGCCATCTGGCGAGACCTTGGACTTGGTCAGCCCGGGGATATCAAGAGTGGTGGCGCGGTGTTTTCCTGGGGTTGAAGCTCCGGAGCCATGAGATCGAGGTGTCCTACTTCCCCGGGCGTTAGACACTAACTAGCTCATAGTACGCAGGATAAGAGCTGAACAAGAAAACATAAGTTTAGGACTCACATCTGCGGCGATGCTGGGGCGCTGGGGAGTGGAGTATCGGCCATGGAGAGGCCACAGCCTGGTGCGGCCAGGCCACCAGGAGCAGCAGAGTCGCCGCTGGTCCGGCGTTGCTGGGGCTCTGAGAAGCGATCTATGCCCAGGGCCCTGCCCACGACCGTTTTTGCAGGCGGTGCCAGCGTCGAGCCATAGTGATGCTGGTGGCCTCCTGGAGAAGTCGCTGAAGGAGGGCTGGGAGTGCCGGCGGGAGGATGCTGGTGCTGCTGGTGCTGGATGTCCGTCATGCTGGGGGAGGCGGCGGCGGCAGTGCCGTCACCATTAGACGCGAGAGGCGACGACGACGACGACGCCGACGAGAGGGAAGAGGCAGACCTACTACTGCTGGGAAACCCGTTCTTCTTCGGCCTGGCTGCGGACGCTGGCGATGCTGAGGACGCTGAAACTGACGCTGGCGGCGGCGACGGGCTGAAGCTGGAGTTCCTCACCACGACGGCTCTAGCGAGATGCGAGTGTTGGTGCTGGCATGGCGTCTGCTGTCCGGCGGCCATGAAGCTGAAAGCTGCCTTGCCGGGACCTCTTTTTTGCCCTCTTCTCTGCCCTTCGCTGTTGATGTCACTCCCCTCTCCCCGGTCGGTAGCTAAGTATCTTCGTTTCTTTTACTAATCGCGGGCTTGATGGCGCTGGTGGACGGGATGTCACTGGCCGCGACGTGCAGCTCTAGCAGAAGGTTAGGTCCACCGATGACCTCACCGGACAGGAGGAAAAGACGCAGAGAGAATGCGGACGGATGCAGCTGAGGACGGACTGAGGCCCTTGGGATGGGATGGGAGTCGCTGGATGCTGCGGATGCGCGCTGCGATGAAGTATCGAGGAGTTACAAGGGCGAAAAGGAGAAGAAGGTCGAAGCAGCGGCGCAAGGAGATACTTTATACGAAACCGTAGTTACTGGCTTTCTGCTTCAGACTTAAAAAAACAGCAACAGTCAGCAGGGAGGCAGGCAGAGAGCGAGTCAGTGGCGTCGTCTCAGCCGTTCGAGGGAGCATAAAAAGGGCTGGAGGAGCGATGCAGTTATGACTATGTATTTTATGTGTAGATGGATGTTGTTATAAGAGGCTGTCAGTTATGTAGATACGGACATCTAGATCAACCGCCCTGGCTCGAGACACCAGGAACCACAGCGAGTTGGACCACGTTAGCAGGCAGTCGCAGGCAGGCAAGGGACGTGTTTCTGTCCGATGGTCAGAGGGCGTTTCTTGCGCAGCCTGTGCAAAAGGCAGCCAACAGCAGCCAACAGGTCAGCATCGTCTATCGGGCGGCCTGGGGCTGATCGAGGCGGCAAGGTAGGGTTGCTCAATGTTGGCCTGCCTTCCAACGCTCGCGCCTCTCGACTGTCCAGACATATTTCCTGGAGTTATGAGGCGGGCGCAACAAGAAGCTACTCGGAGCCAGGAAGCCGGGAAGATCGCCAGGCGGTTCCGCCCTGCCACACAGCCTGATGGGTAGGACATCCAGTCCGCCTGACTCGGAGTCCTTGGCCTGGCTGAGGAATGATGACTCTCTCCTGTGCATCCTCATCCTCCGCGGCCCATGTGCATCTCTATATCCGCTCCAACAACGCCGTGCCGTCCAACCCCGTACCTGTACCAAATAATACGCACGGAAGACCCGTCCCACTCCACGGTAGAAAGAAGGTGAGAGTATAGATGATAATCCCGAAAATAAAGTAGTCGATATCGTAAGATGGTGAAGCCGCGGATCGATCGAATTCGATCGCCGCGTCAGAAGAGTAGCGGTCACAGCGAGTTACACGTCCAGGTTCAGCGTCAAGGCAAGCAAACACACATACGCCGCGATGCTCAGCGCGGTCAGCACGACCACGACGTTCCCGCTTGTCCTGAACTTCCGTCGCTGCACGCCGTCCTCGTCGACCTCGGAGAAGAACTGCCTGTTGCCCTGCTGCCTCCTGAACAGGCCGATGGTCATCACGCCGGCTCCGTAGACAGCAAACAGTGCTCCGATGCTGTAGAACTCGGCCGTGAAGATCTTAAGGATGATCAGGGCAAAGGAGAACTGTGAGATCGAAGTGCGGATGTAGGCTCCTTCGAACGTCCGCTGGGCGGCGCGCACCTCGACCATCTCCTCCGGCGTGAGGACGACGGACCGCGCGCGATGGCGGTGCAGGCGGTAGCGGTCTGCTGCTCGACGCTGGAGGGAGACATGTTAGCCGTCTGCTCGTACAATCTGGACGTCCTCTTTCTCTACTGCCCAGCAGGCCCTGGAAGCCATGGCGGCCCTGGGTCTTCGCGAAAAATCCGGGGTTTTTTTTTTTTTTTTTGGCTTACCTCGAACATGATGCCTGGCCGGTCACTAAGTCGAAAGCTCAGAAAGGGGGAAGTTTCGGCTGTCAGGGTAGGACACGCGAAGATAGGAGAGCAGGAGGGACTCGGTCGCCCTCAGATTCGCATCCCAGCCGTCGTCTTTGTCTCTTCTTCGTTTCCTCCTTCGTTTCTTCTTCTTTGCTTCTTCTTTGGCTCCTGGCGGTTTTTTGGTCAAGCTGGTCGATCACCAGATGGGTCACGTGTCTATGTAGATACACAGAAAGATGGAGATGAAGATGAAAATATCAATTGTTTTATTATTTAAGGCTTTCTATCAGTCTCAGAAGAAGAGTCGTCGCTGGGCAGGAAAAGCCCCAGTAAATGTGCTAGACAGGTAAGTCTGAAGGTAAGTCTAAAAAGGACTCTTAGCATAAGAGGCGGCAAGCTGTCTGAGCTTCACCAATACAATCCTCTATACTCCGGTACACCGGGTGGCGCCTGGCTGGCATTCCATAAATGAACATGCATCTGCTGCAAGTGCCAGACGCGTTCCAATGGTAACCCTCATATTCTTCGTATCCGCGGCATCTCGCGCAAACGATGCCATATCCATCGACTTCGGCTCCTCCAAAGTAGAAGGTTGTTCCAGGGGAAAACCGGCCAAGTCGAAAACAACACTGAATACAGACTCGTTTCGACCGTTGCTCAATGGTGCCTGACCCAACCTTGCCTCTCTTCCCCTTCATCATGGCGTTTGTAAAGTGTCGTGCGCGCCGGAGTCTGACACACTCCCCACAGGCGAAGTAGCCGTGTGCCATCCGGATATTGTCTTGTTCCAAGTATCCCGGCCACATCTCCATTTCAAACAGGTCCTTGGGCTTGATAACAGGGCATAGGGACTGTACTAGCCGTTCAGAAAGAGGGTTGTCACACTTCTTCGAAGTACAATATGGGTTGTCGATCCAGGCATGAAGTGTTCGACAGGTGAGAGAGAGAGCGAACCGGGATGAGTAGGTTAAATAGCCGGTGATCTCGTCCAGTAGCTCTACCGGGATCGTGAGTAGCCCCATGGCTTTTGGATTCAGTCGAAGTAATGTTGTATTTGTGTGTATGTTGATGGTATATCAAAACGCGCAGTCACTTCGTGAAGGCCCCTCGAGAGATTCCAGGCATACCGGTAGTAAAGATTAATCAAAGACTTGCAGAGCGATCAGAAGGCTGCAGGGTAAAGAAAGGATTCCTTTCGCATCTGCAGTGATGGAGTGTAAGCCTTTGTGCTGGTTGTGTGGTTGTTGTAGTAGAATTGGACTTCTACTACAGCAACCACTAGCCAGTTCAGTTCAAGATAGGCTGTCAGCAACAACTACGACTACAACAACAAACAACAGCCTCTGCAACCATAATCAACATGTCTTTCTTCAACACACGGCACCATGATATCAAGATACTTCCCATCTCCATTTAGCCGCGCCCTAAGCCCTCGGCCGAGTCGCTTGAGAGGGTCCAGCCTCCAAAAAGTCGCTTTTATTCAGTGGAGGGAGATAGACCTCGACATGGTATTTTTCTAGCAGCCCGCATAAATTATGTCGTCAGGATGCTAATAGGTTCAGTGTACGGAGTAGGATGTAAACAGAGAAAGCAACAGACCTGCCTTGCCAGCAATCAACCTGCGAGACATGAAGTTGGACGCTTTACCGAGCTACAGCCGTTTAACTCTGGCTGGGGAGCAACCTCGCGCTGAAAAAGCCCCGGATCATTGGCAATGTGGAGAGAAAAGGTCATCAGCATTCGTCCCATAGGGCGGGAATCGCAGGCAGTGGATACGTAGAGCCGGCTGATTTGCGGGTTTGAGAGAGCAACCGAACTGGTGCCGGATGTCGGCCGGTGGCCTGTTTTCCCTCTCGCTGCAGGCCTCCTTTATATTCATTCATCGTCGTCTCGCCTCTCGCCTGTTTGTCAGGATCCTGCTACGAGTCACTAGCTACTGGGCAGTTTGCCATCCGGTCCGATTATATAGTTATATTCCTCAGGGTTGAGCAAGGGGATTCAAAAAGGAACTTCGGAGAAACCAACATCGAACTAACTAGTTAGCTGCACCATCTGCTATCCCTTGCAGACTGATATTCAACGTCGTCCCTCCTGCAAGGCCGATCCGAAATCCAGTGGAACCATGGCATCCTCGAGGATGATTGATGCAGAAGAAGGTAACAGGATCTCCTCTTTTTATCCCACCATTCTGTTATTTTTTATCTTTTTTTTTATTTTTATTTTTATTTTTATTTTTTTTTTTCAAAGTTATTATCACTTGCAAGACTTCTTCTATCATTATTGGCTCAGGTAGACGCGAATTGAAATCAATTTGACTGACTTGACTGGCTTTGCTTTTTCGTTGCTCTTCCTGCAGTTGCCAAGCACAACAGAACGGATAGCTGCTGGGTGGTTCTCTACGGGAAGGTGTACGATGTGAGTGCTCCCCATCGCTAGTTACATCTAGACCGTTTATCTTTCCTTTTTCGCTTCATCGTCCCTTGTTTGCCCTGCGTGATTCCGGGGCGATCAAAGCGCTGGTTGAGAAGCGAATTTACGAATGAGCATTGCTCGATTATCAGAGGCACTACGGAGCAATTGTGCCGGAATTGACTGTCTGATGAAACAGCTGGTTGGAGCTGAAGCCAAATATTCCAGTTCTAATGACGTTAAAATGCCTTGTCTTGCTCATATTCGCTTATCTAGGTTACGAATTTCCTCCCCAATCATCCGGGAGGCGCGAATATCATCCTGCAACTGGCTGGGAGGGATGCAACCGAAGAATACGATCCAATTCATCCTACCGGTACTCTGGAGGATAGTCTCCCTCCAGAGGCCCTGGTAGGCAGAGTAGATGAGAAGTCTCTGGCAAAACTTGCCCCAAAGCCAGCCAAAGCGGAAAAGACCACCGAAGGGCCTCCTCCGTTATCGACTCTCTTGAACATGGATGACTTTGAGGCGGCTGCTTCAAAGCAGCTAACCCACAAGGCTTGGGCATATTACTTTTCTGGAGCGGATGATCTGATCTCCAAATCATTGAACAACAGTATCTACAGATCTATATTACTTCGCCCAAGAGTCTTTGTGGATTGCAAGAACTGCAGTCTGGCCACTAGTATGTTGGGTTACAAGCTCAATACTCCTATCATTGCTTCACCTACTGCAATGGCGCGACTTGCGCACCCCTCAGGTGAAGCTGGTATTGCTGCCGCATGTGCCAAATTCGGTGCTATGCAAATTATCTCCAACAATGCCTCAATGACCCCAGAAGAGATCGTCAAAGGGGCTACCCCAGATCAAGTGTTCGGATGGCAGTTATATGTACAAATTGAGCGAAAGAAGAGTGAAGCCATGCTGGCACGCATAAACAAGATCAAAGCCATCAAATTTATTTGCCTTACCCTCGATGCACCCGTACCGGGAAAGAGAGAGCTTGACGAACGCACAAAGGCTATTGCATCTACCCCTGCCGTCGCAGACATAGTCAAATCGTCGGGAGGACACGAGATTACTGGTGGCGGTGGTCTAGGACAACAGTTATTTGCTGGCACAGACCCGTCTTTAACGTGGAAGGATACCTTACCCTGGCTGTTGAAACATACCGACCTTCCCATTGTCCTCAAGGGTATCCAGACCCATGAAGACGCTTACATTGCTTCTCTGCACACCCCTCAGATAAAAGGTATCATTCTCTCGAACCACGGCGGAAGAGCGATGGACACTGCCCCGCCTTCCATCCATACCTTGATGGAGATCCGCAAATACTGTCCTGAAGTTTTTAATCGAATCGAGGTTTGGATTGATGGTGGGATTAAGAGAGGCACTGATGTGGTCAAAGCACTGTGTCTGGGTGCCAAAGGGGTTGGTGTTGGTAGGAATGCACTCTTCAGTCTTGCAGCTGGTGGCCCCGAAGGTGTTGAACGAATGCTTGAAAGTACGATTACCTTTTTTTCTTCTATTGTGTATTGATATGATATACTGACATAACTGGCAGTTCTCTGTGCGGAAACAATGACAGCAATGCGGTTGTTAGGGGTTGATAAGGTGGAAGATCTCGGTATGCAGCATGTAAGTTGGACTATTCACCAGTCCACCTTTGCCATCGTATAGATAGCTGATAATTGCCTAGATCAATGCTCGAGCTGTTGAGCAGCAACTATACGATGGCGGTGCTGGCCTCGACATCTTGGGATCCCATATCAAAGCAAAGATATAATCTCGGGTAGCTACAGCATTCACCTCGGTAACCAGGCTTATTGAAGATCTAAGTGACAATATATATATATATATATATTTTGGATTCTTGCGATCAGCAGCTTTGAGCGAGTCATTTCAACAGCTCTTTCATTCCGGGCTTGATTGGCACTCGGCTAGTTAGTTATCGAAATCGTCCATGTTGGACCTATGATGAAATAGTCTCTGGACACCAAATATCAACCTCTTATTCATGAGCTTCGACGAGTAACCGCAGCCTTGCACACAGATCGAAAATATCATCTTGCTCTATTGTACTCCGTAGAAGTAAGAGTATCCTCTTGGACATGCCTACATATGCAACTGGCCCTGGATGTTGAGCTAGGAGGTATAGCTAAACCCAGGTCCCTAGCTCAGCGTTTAGTTAAGGCGTTTAGCCCTGCGGCTGACGTTCCCGCCCGCATACTCCGGCTAGTTAGTTAAACCACCACCGCCTGCTGCGGCCTAAAAGCAACCACCAACTCTGGACTTCCGCCTTAACTGCTCCAACGCCAGCTTTGTGCCTCAACAAGCATTAGAAGGTCGCTCGCTTGCGGCCTCGAGGCAGCGTTATCTACCCTGACACCGGCTACCGGCTTGTTCTATGGAACTTCCCTTCAACGCTGCCGTCGAACCACCTACACGCCTCGTTCTTGTCTGCATGGAGCGGGGTACCTTGAACTCCTCCTCACATCGATAGCAAGGATAAAACCAGCAGCAGGACGTTCTCTGGCTCGCCTCGAGACGATCAGAGAACGCGAGAAACACCTGTCTACCGGACGAACTGCACCCTGATGAACTCGATTTGTCGCATTTCTCTAGCCCTTCGACTGTCATCCACAGCATCTCCGAGAATAAAAAGATCAATAGACGCAATCTCAGAACTCGCAAAACCTTTCCTTACGCTGCCTATCAACCAGTTCGAGCCAGATATGTCGTCAGTCAGTGAAAATGTAGCTGCTGGCACCAAGCGGAAACGCAATGGAGAGCCAAAGTTCTACGCAGTGAAGATCGGGTTTCAGCCTGGAATATACAACCATTGGAACGAGTGTTTGGCTCAAGTTACGGGGTTCAAAGGAGCAGTCTGTACGTGACATTCCAGCGGCTTCCGTTCTTTTTTATTTTTATTTTTTTATTTTGTTACTATCCTGGCTGCGTTGGAAGGGTGAGTGAAGGGGTGTGCTAATGAGATGCGCGGGCCTAGTCCAATCCTTTCCATCGCGAGAAGAAGCAGATGCTTTTCTCACAGGCAACAGAGCTCCGTCCCCCCAGGACGGTTCGGCTTCCGCATGTACGAAATTTTACGGCATCCAGAAAGGCAGGGTACCCGGAGTATACACAGACTGGGCGAAGGCGCAAGACCAAGTGAGAGGGTTCCGAGGACCTCGATATCGAAAATTTTCTACCCGAGAAGCGGCTGAGGCGTTTGTACGGAATGGCCAGACAACATCTAATAAGGATTCGTTACCGGGGGCACCGGGATTGATGGAGGGCAACCCAAAGGACAATGCTGGCGATGAATATGCTGCAGGAACAGGACCACTTCCGCCTGGTGCGGAGGACGGATTTGACCCTAACATTCTACTGGATCCTACGACTGGAAAGATAGTGTATAAAACACCTGAACAAAAGCAGGAGAGGAAGATCCAGCCTAAGCCTTCCGGGCCGCCGGGCATGCTGAAGATTTACACTGATGGAAGCGCTTTGAGGAATGGAACGTCTCAAGCTAGGGCTGGTGTAGGCGTTTACTTTGGACCAGACGACGAAAGGTACGTAGTAGCAAGCGAATCTCCAAGGCCGTTCCCCTATTTTTTTTTTTTTTTTACATCTGCTTTGCTGACACAGTCTGTTCTCTTCTCTCTCATCTAGCAGAAATGTTTCGGAACCCCTTGCAGGAAGCCGTCAGACCAATCAACGGGCTGAATTAACAGCCATCTCTCGGGCACTTGATATAGCGCCCAAGCACCGCGATGTCACAATCTTTACTGATAGCAAGTACTCGATCGACTGCGTCACTGTATGGTGCATAAACTGGCAACGGAATAACTGGGTAACCTCGACTCAGAAACCAGTCGAGAACAAAGATCTCATTCAAGCTATCCTGTCTAAGATCGAAGAACGCAAATCGCTAAAGGTCAAGACGTTATTTGAATGGGTAAAAGGGCATAACAAAGATGCTGGCAACGAAGCTGCTGATCGGTTAGCTGTTAATGGTGCGAATATGGAGGACGTGAAGACTGAGGAGTTGTCTGAGAGTGCCGAAAGCGCGAAACACAGAAGCAAGGCCAAGAGTTGATACAAGGGGGAGAGTGACTAACCAGTTGATATAAGCGGAGCTGATGTGACCATTTCTTAGCACTTTTTATGCTGTTTCTCTACTATTTCAGGCTTTCTACTAGGCCAATGGCCTTCTTGATGTTGCATACGGTGTATATCTTTTTACACTTTATGGCGTTTGGGTTCCATTTGAAAGGCTAGATAAATTGCACAGTGTATGTATACATTACATCTATTCTAGCGAAGATCTCTTCTATCTACATTTAAAAACCTTTGATCGTATGTCACTAATAGCTCAAGGTATTCTTTAGACGTGTTTATCAAGAAGAAGTGCATATATAGTAGCCGGTTATTGAAACAAAAAAGCCTGCGTTAGTATCGAAGGTCAAGGTCATCGGTAAAGCGCAAATCCTATAGCTAGGGCAGCAAGCAGTATCTTCCTTAGGCCCAGAGGCTTTGCTTGAACAGCACTGCTTGGGCTAGTGGTAGAAGCAGCAGCGTATGTATAGTACAGACTGGCATCAGTTTGCGTACCAAGGATAGTTGATGCAGTGGTGCTTTGCAGAGTTGCAGCGGGATCCGTCTTCGCCCACTCCTTTATAAAGGCGAAGAACTCAGCTGGTGCTGGGACCTGCCCACAGTATGCTTTTGATGCAGCATCTACATAGCTCTTGGGGAACCAGTGGTAACCTTTTGAGCAATTAGCTAGAGCTCTATCTGTAGATAGGGAAGCAACGCGCGGAACGAGCAATTCACGTACCCTCAATTCCACCATGTGTCTCAAAACACTTCATACATCCAAGAGTAGAGTCAAAAAAGGGGTATTTCTCGCAGTAACATTGCTGTTGTACGTCAAAATCGTTGGTATAGGGCTCCAAGCCTGAGAATGTGCCGTTGGTATTTTTGAAGTGGCAGTTGGTATTGATCGCCGCTTGCCGCTTGCATGGCGGGTCGTTAATCAGATATGTTGGGCGTGGTGCATTGGAGTCTGTATGGGAGACCCGTCTCTTGTTGATGTCAAACGAGGTCCCGACATCGAAGGGGCGGTACGGCAGATAGCAGACATTGTAGAGGTGGTAATCTAGGTCGGTTAGGCCGGAGTACTGGCCCGAGACGAGATAGAATTTGGATAGGTATTTGCCATTGGGGAAGACTGGATAGTTGTCAGAGCCAGGGAAAGCGGTGATCGCACTGGTGGTGGTGGTGGTGCTTCGGCCATAGGGAGCAGTGGAGGCCGCCGTTGGGGCCTGCGTAGGAGGTGATGTTACCAGATCCATGCTGTGACGCTGTATACTTCGCACCCTGTCGAAAAAAAACCCTGATTCTCTGTAAGCAGCCTTGCCCCAAGACTGGCACTACGCTCTGCCCTCCAACCAAGTCTTCCGGCCTTTGCACTCTGCTTTTTTCTCGCCGTCGTCCTGTCGACCTTTTTTTTGTCCCTTCGTCGTCGCCTAAGAAGCTTTTTCCCACGCGAAGGATTGGCTGAGTCAGCTGTCATCGGCTACCTTATCTCCACGTGATAATTTAGTTATCCCGCAAAAAGCTTGGCACACTAGGCTTATTTTTCTTGGCATAAAAAACACCGCGAGAAGGCGCAAAAGCTCGACTTTTGTTGCCGGGAGCAAACTCGGGAGCAGCAGCAGCAGCAGCGTGCTATACTGGCTGCACCGAACGAAAGGACCGTTGGTAGGGCTATACATGAACTGTAGTCGGCCACAGAGATAGACGCCCTGAGCTCTATAGTCTAGCCTTTGGCTCGACTCAAGGCGGTAACTGAAGGGCTCATGCACTCAGGGAGTTCGTCAGGCTGCATATTTGACTAGGGAACGGGAAGATTCAAACGAACACGAAAATCGCAGGAGGGAACTGTGCGTCATACTGCGTGCCGCTAATTGGCCGTTAAGGCGACCCTTGGGTTCCTTGCAAACCCTCTGGGTCCCGGCTTGTCATCTGGAGATCGCAGATTGGTGGAGAAATCAACCACCCACAAGGTTTGCTGTAACTAAAGGGAAAAAAGGGACCCAGTGATGCTGTCGGAATCAGCAGTGATTCTCGCAGAGAAAGTATTTAATGTTCCCTGGATCCCCCGTTCGCCCATGTGTCGTTCTCACCGACAGCCAAGTCCGTTGCGTACAGCATACCGTTCCGGGATCTCGTGGCCGTTACTGACAGTTCTGCGTTTCAACAGTGAGCCCTCCAATGAGCGAAGGAAGACATCAGAGCGTTGTCTGGAGTATAAGAATGAGCCTGATTAAATAACACTGCGCCTCCGCTGTCGCCTTTCCGCGGCCTTGTTTCACTACGCAAACCCCTGGGTATTTCTTCACCTTTTCTTAACTAGTTATTGTTGGAGCCAGTGTTGGTCGCACCAGCTTCTCCCACATCTTTACTGTTTAGCATCCTGAGCTGAGTTATACCCAGATAGACCTCTTCACCAGTGTCAATTCCACTCCCCAGCTTGGCCATCTGAGCGAGATTGCTCGTGGGGCCTTTAAGTTTGCTTCCGCTATCCAAGCACTCGCTGCGTTCCGCTCCGCCCCGGCGGAAGTTGAGTGTGTCTCGGCAGGCCATCCACAGCAGTGGAACCAGAGCCTCCCAAGTCTCGACACTTTAGCAGAGGAGCCAGTGGGAAAGCCCGGAATGCCTACTCTTGCAGTCACCAATTTCAACGTTGTATGTGCTACCTTGGGTGGCTTTATCACGCTCTTTGGTCTGGTCTCGTACCTGTTTAAAGAACAATTCTATTTGTCGGAAGCACGTAAGTTACTCAGCCCTTGTGTCACCGGGCAAAAGCGCCATCTTTTAACATTACTATGCAGTGATCTCCCTTCTTGCGGGTGTTACCTTCTCCCCGCATGCTGCCAATCTCATAAAGCCGATAGACTATGCTCTGGGCAGCCGAGAAGCCTTAGATGACATCACTCTTTACTTCAGCCGGCTAGTCCTGGGAGTCCAGCTTGTTCTTGCTGGTGTCCAACTACCGAGCCGCTATCTCCTTAAAGAATGGAAGAGTCTCTCTCTTCTCCTTGGCCCGGGGATGCTAGGCATGTGGATATGTAGCAGTCTCGTTATCTTTGCCCTCGTGCCAAAGCTGCCGTTCCTCCATGCCCTAGCTATTGCCGCATGCATCACCCCCACAGACCCAGTGTTATCTAACTCGATCGTCAAGGGCAAGTTCGCTGACAAAAATATACCACGTCCCTTGCAGAGAATTATCATAGCTGAATCCGGTGCTAATGACGGGCTCGGGTACCCTTTCTTATTCTTTGCCATGTATCTCATCCAGTACAATGAAGCTGGAGGAGCACGCAAAGCGATGGGCTTGTGGTTTGGTGAGACATGGGGATACACTATTCTGCTGAGCGTCGTGTACGGAGTCGCCGTGGGCTGGGTAGCTAAAGAGTTGCTCCATTGGGCGGAGGAGAACAGATATATCGATAGGGAGAGCTTCCTTGTCTTTGCTGTCGCGTTAGCCGTAAGTTTCAATCTTCTATTCCTGAAAAAAAAAAAAAAAAAAAAAAAAAAAAAATACTTTCACTCCTGCTGATACATCAGCCAGTTGTTCATCATCGGTACCTGCGGCATGATTGGGAGTGACGATGTGCTCGCCTGCTTTATTGCGGGAAACGTCTTCACCATTGAGTAAGTCTAGGAAGGCTACTGAGTGTTCCTGGGTTAAGATCTAACCCGAGAGACAGCGACTGGTTCCGCCTTGAGACCCTTGATGACTCTCTCCAGCCAACCATTGACATGCTACTGAACTTGTCTGTCTTTATGTGGTTTGGCGCTGTTTGCCCCTGGCCCATCTTCTTGAACAACAACATTATTCCTATATATAGGTTAATCGGGCTAGGGATCCTGGTTTTATTATTCCGCCGGCTTCCTGTTGTTTTTGCTATGCACAGGTATATCCACCAGATTGAAGAGTTTCGCCAGGCTGCCTTCGTCGGATTTTTCGGTCCCATTGGTGTCAGTGCCATCTTCTACCTATATGTTAGCCTGGAATACGTCAGGCATAACCTTATAGTAGATGGGACGGTAAGAGAAGACGGGGAGCGTCTTATTGAGACGATGTACATCGTCGTTTGGTTCTTGACTATCTGCAGTATTGTAAGTGTTGCTACCCTAGGCTCACTAATCTACTCATTTTTGCTTTAGGTAGGCTAATGGTTCTCCTAGGTTGTCCATGGGCTGTCCATTCCAATTGGAAAGCTCAGTTTCAGCATTCCACGGACGATTTCCAGTGCCCTCAGCACGAGCATCGATATAGATTCCGAGCGTGGCCCACACTCTGGAGTTAACACTCCGGGTTTGCAACATACAGCAAGTATAGCTACTTCTACTCCTGCTCTGAGAACTTCAAGTTTCATACCAGCTAGATTCCGCAAGCAACCTACAACAAAAAGTGGCCGTCCGCGAGACGATCCCCCAACCCCAGTGGCATTTCGCATTGGTCGTACCGTCATTCCAGAACGCAATGATATGGGTGGCAATGGACCTGATAATATACTGCCCTCATCCGACACGACCATTGCAATCCCACAGAGGGTCAAAGACTAAAATTGCATCAGGGGAACATATGCTAAAGCATAGGATACTGCGTTTTGCTCGCCTATGAACAGCGAGTGTCAATATGTAAGATCGAAGGACGAAAACAACAACAGTAGTAGGTCAGCTGCAGGAGAAGGATATGGGTATGGGTAAGTTGAGTGTAATTCACACTAGGTGTCTGTCTCCAATAGTGGACCATATACTTCGGTTTCACCAGCGGGTGATGGATGAATGGTGGAAGTGGATGATTGTCCAATTGGAAAATAGAGAGAGTAAATATATAAAACAGATTGGATACAATTAAGTTATGTCAGAACTTTTACTACATCGTCACACTTACTGGATAATCTGGGCTCTCGAGTAGTCCTATCCGTTGGACTTCTCGCTATTCCCTAGCATCTGGCCTCTTTCACCTGTTCGAATCTCCTCTGGATCCGCTCTAGCGGGCATTCCAGCCTCTTTGTAAATCTTATCAATGCATTCCACGTGATAAATAACGTCGTCATTAGAATGCAGCATATAGGCTCCTTGCCTCTGACTTTCTCGAGAAATGCTTCCAGTTGCCATCTATATGTGCTCCAGTAACTCTTCCCCCCTTTTCCTCCCGTTGTCCACCTTTCACCCCAGAGAGGGCCCCCCGAGTTCTGCGTCTTGTATTCTGTGATCCCAGTCCGCTTATCAGTGATGGAGAGGTAATGATAGATATGGGGCATCATTGCGTTGTAGAAATAGATTATTGCGGCATCTGTCTCCACCTCAATCGATGGTAGTTCCCAGACACGAGGGAGAATACCACCTAGTCTGCTGCGAGACATGTCTGTGTAAATCCGGCTTGTAATGGGGTTACCTTTTTCGTCTTCAAAGAGCAATATTGCATGCATTGCAGCGTCAACGCGGCTATCATCCCTTGATGGACGAGCAGCTGCCGAAAGGATCCTCTTTGGACGTTTAGACCGAAGCACATATTGAGTGAACGATAAGGCGTATGATCCGTCCATCAAGGAACCGCCTACAAAAGGGATCATGATGAGCAAAAAAAGAGTTAGGAATGGAAGCGCAATGGTGGTGGTAAGCCTACCGCCTTGATCATACTGCCATCTTGGATCTGCATTGGGCACAGCGGGGCTAGATGTCATCCAGGCATCAGTACGAATGATTCTCCCGTATCTCTGCGAATCTACAATCTCCTTGAACCGATGAGCGGCTGGATGGAATTGCCAGTGAAACTAGAAGAGTTGCGGTTACTAAAGGTGTTTTATAGAGAGAGGATTAGAAACCTACGGCATCTTGGAGGACCAAGCCCCGCCTCTCTGCATCATCGATCAATGCTCTAGTCTCCTCCACATTTGCTGTAGACGGCTTTTCGCATATAACATGTTTTCCGGCGGTCAATGCATTCGTAGCCCACTCAAAAAACATGTTGGATGGTAGGGAGATATGGACAATATTGATCAACGGATCATCCAGTAGCTCATGAAAGGAGTCATATGACTTTGAGAAGCCGTATTTCTCTGTCGCGGCCTTCGCCATTTGCGCATCCGTGGACGCAATTCCATATAAATTCACGTCTGGGTGGCTTCGCGCAGGGTAGACGACTGATAGTCATCGGCATCAGTTGATACATCAGGTTAAAGGGGTTGGGCTGGAGGTATTTACCAGTAGCAGCATTTATCTTAGCGGTTGATAAGACACCTAGTTTAAGGGCCCTCTTAGAGGGCTGGGATGTTCCATGGAAAAGGGAGGATGTATGTTGCCGAGCAAACTCACAGCCTTGCAGGAACAGTGCCATGTTGATTGATTCATTCGTCCCGGTCAGCGATATACCAGACAGTCTTCATCCTCGACAAGGCTTTGTGATCCAGCAGATATATTGATACCTAGCTGGCCTGACGTCATGCTCATGTCATACTTTAGAGAAAGAGGTAAGTTTGCAGTGTGTTGGTAGATCAACGGTCAATTAAATTGGCTATAGTATAAGAAGCCATGGGTATAATCCAGTAGGAGTAAGTAGCCTGCACCATTTAGCTGTCATTAGCGATGAAGCTGGGCCCAAGTAGCCCCCAAGTAGCCAAACGGACTAGACAGGTCCCCGCGTCTGCATTGCATCGGCGTATTAGCTATGTGACTCCCTTTTACTCCGCACACGGCTGTGAGTGGCTCGCCGTGGGAATCCGAGATTTCAATGTTGATCAACTTGGCCACCTATACCGTCCGCGGATGCACCAGACTGCGTCCTGTGTATCGCAGTGTACACCATGAGTGACGAAAACAATCAGCCAACACGCCATCCAGCCGTAGAGCACCGTCGAGTAACTCATCAGTCAACTGACTGGCTCACTGACTGATGTCTGGTTACACTGCGGGCTGCCACGGGCCCCAGGCAGGCTGGCTACCCAACGCAGGCGGGCAACTGCGCTGCTCGTACCGCACCGCCGCAAGGACGACCCGGCGTGCTGGTTCTTCGGACACATCGCCTGCAACTTACCAGGCTGGCGGGAGCTATTGGCTCGTTGGTGGGGATCCCAGGCATGGATGGAGCAGGCGGACTGAGAGCTGCCTGGCTGCTTAGCGATGCTGGAGGTCTCGCGCGGTGGTGCGCCCCTGAGTTCCCAGCTCGTCATTCTGCTCTGGATATTTGCCACAGCGCTGTTGGCGACAGAGACAGCTGCGGACGCCCACACGCAACCAACTCACCGTGCGGCCTGTATCGAGGTAGATGGTCACCCTTCGGCGGTCAGGATCAAGGGTTGAAGGAGCTGCGAACTGGCCTCCAACCCGACCAGTGAGTGTGTTGAGAGACAAGACAAGCCCAGGCCTGTTGAAAAAGCAAACATAGACCAGTCTGTCTGCAGTGCAAACAAGGAAGAGGGAAAAAAATGGCTCTCGCCTAGGTGCTTTTCGCCCTGTCTTGACCTTTACGGGAGAGTGCTCTCTGTGATTTTCCTTCGTCTTCGCCGGCATCCAGCTCCTAGAATTTGATATCTGTCGTGCCAGTACTCCATAGCTACTTATACAATACACTTTAGACGGCAAAGCAGCCAGCTATATATATATATTTTTCTTTTGGGCTAGTTTTACGGGACAAGGAGCCTGTCTCGTATATACCCAGCATCTCGAAGGTTGCAGATAAGAAAGCATGCCATCCGAAAAGACTTTCTTTTGACCTTGAGAGCGCTCGATCTGATACTCGAAGTCCAGGAACCATACCCGTCTCGAGTCTTTTGCCCCATAACTAGTTAATACATCATAAGCCCCTCTAGAGCAGTTCATATTACAAGACACCATGAGTATGGACGATATAATCGAGGTGGACAGTGTAAGATGCCTGTTTATCGTGGCCTTCAGTCTGCATTGTGGTGCCTGACTCGGTGTAGGATAACGGAGACCCCCCTACGGAGTATGAAACTGATATTTGGTCACAATCTCACCAGTAAGTAAACCGCCATCATTAAAGCACTCTGAACAGGAGCTGGGATTCTATGCATCGAACTGCTCTGTGCTAACGTCATCGTGTCCCTCGGCGCAGCGGAACTACATCTCTTTCTTCAACTGTATACAACTATAGGTGACTCCCCATGACAGTTCCAATCTTGAGCCCTGCTGACTCTAGTCCTTGTGTGACCACATAGATATGAAGTAGGTTTCTGGACCCTGGTATAATTACCTCGCCTTGGGCCTGTTTGCGGTGTCAGACTTGGTCGCAGCAGGAAATACACCGTCCAGCCGGGCACTGCTGCTAACTTTGACTTTAGAATGAACGGCGATACCACGGCTATCGAGATGGAGCATACCTTTTGGTTAGTTGTCAAGGATATACAAACACCTGTCTATCCAGGTAGAGAGCCATGAACTTACTTATATACCCCTGGAAAGCCAAATGACAAGAGAGAACAGGATCGTATGGACTTAGTAAGTGTTCATTTTTTATGAACCAGGAACAGCTTCCCCATGCCCCCTTACTGATTTGATACAAAGGAGCATAGGATATATTATCTTCTTCTAAACGGCAAACTACATCGGGCTCCATTGAAGGGAAGTCCAGAACGTGTACTTGACCTAGGGACTGGAACTGGTACCTGGGCGTTTGAATTTGCAGAGTGAGATAGCCAGTTTAATTTCACCAGAGCTATTGCTGGGGGAGAGGCATTGCTAACCTTACATCTATCAAAGGCGCCATCCTCGTTGTGAGGTCCTAGGTATGCATTTCAGCCTATATCAAACTGTGGTGGACGTTGCTAACATGGAATTAATCTAGGGACGGACCTAAGTCCAATTCAAAGACTATGGTAAGAATGCTATTAGAATATAGAAAGGCTGGTCAAATATACCCACTGACCTCTATTTCTCAATTTAGGATGCCGCGTAACTGCACATTCGAGATAGATGACTTTGAAGAAGAATGGCAGTATCCAGAGTCATACCACTTCAGCTACATCCATGCCCGCAACCTGGTAGGCTCCATATCAGACTATGAAAAGTTCTTTGCACAGGCGTACGAAAACCTGCTTCCAGGCGGGTATCTCGAAATGCAAAGTACCGAAGCAAACTTCTTTTCGGATGACGGAACCCGTGAAAGGGCCGTGACCGCCAATCTGTGGCAAAAATTACTAGTAAAAGGGTATCGGAAATTTGGCAAACCGTTGAACGTCGAACAAACCTGGGCGGAAAAGATGCGAGCAGCAGGATTTGTAGATGTTGTTGAAGAAGTAATTAAGGTGGGTGTGTTGCAGTTGGTGATACACAAGGCTGGTGTTGTGCAAGTTTAGCTGATCCTCCTATGCATAGGTGCCTGTGGGACGATGGTCACCAGACCCAAAGATGAAAGAGATAGGTCATTATCAAGCAATGAATGTTCGGGAATGGCTGGTGTCGGGTTCAGTGGCAGTTTTTACTCGTGTCCTTGGTTGGACCATGGAAGAGCTTGATGTGCTTTTTACAGCTGTACGGAACGACTTTACTGACCCTCAGTCACACCTCTATGTTCAGATGAGGTTTGTGTATGGTCGAAGGCCGAGCTAGTCGAGCAGATTAGGATGGGAGACCAGGCGAGCAGATCAGAGAGTGGGTGCATTTGCAAGCAGATAATTCATTTCTTCTTTACACATCTATGTATAATGTAATTCATTTTTATATCTTCACTTTCGTTCGCATTACTTTCCCTGGCCATTGGGAAGGTAAACAGGCACCTCCAATTACATCAAAATGATAGTAGAATAAAGACGTATATATGTAGGGGAGAAAAGAAAAGAAAAAGAAGAACGAAACCAAGGCCAAGCGAAGGACGCAAGACGCAGACGATAGAATAAAAAGGGAGGAAGGGCAAGAAGTCTATGCGCTAAAACTTTTGGCGACGGCTCGACTTCAAGTGGTTAATGTAATGATAGTCGGTCGCTTAAATCACGTACTGGAATAAAACAGGTTAGTTTGGTTTAATCCAGTCATAAAAGATGCAGGTGGGGGACACTTACGGGGATGAAGAGATAAGGGACCTGCTTCTCATACTCTGTCCATGCCTCTCCATACTTGGCACGGCATCGCTGGATATCTCGGGTAGCACGATGGGTGATCATGGCAGCGAAGAAGACGGGATAGAACCAAGGGAAGGGGCTGGTGAATCCAGTAATCAAGCCCCAGTTGATAGCGAAGTAGAGATCACAAGTGTAGTGGATTTTTCGGGCGTATCCGTCTGACATTACCGTTAGCACAACTATGATAATAACGATGTTTATTTGATTTCGCAGAACTTACACCAGCCATCGGCAAGGATGGTATCCCCTTTCTTGGAGGTAATTGTCTTTGGGTTCTTGACGGTCTGCCATGGGAGCTGCGGGAAGGTGTTTCTGATCACAGCGAGACCACGGGACTCTTGGCGGAATCTATTTTTCTGACTGTTGGTAGTGTCCCAGACCCAGTAGACGAAAAGATAGGCGATGTAGAGGAAGGCAAGGGCGTATTTGTTCCAGGCATAGGTTGAAGGGTGACGGTTGGCCAGGAAGACAGTGCAATGACAGTAGCTGAGTGGGACACCAGCCAAGTTCCAGAAGATAAGCATGAAACCCCATTTTTCATAGTAAATGTCCCTAAAGAATAAGTGTTAGATGTTATAGGCGAACAATGTATTATGCATCAAAGGTTCATACCAAGTGGGGATGATCAATTCCTCTCCCTTTGAGCATGCGTTGGCATACAAAAAGTGCGCCATGAGGATGAAGCCGACTTCTCCAGAGACGTATCCGTAGAGCTCATACTGTCTGGCAGCAGCACCCATGGATACAAGCAAAAGGATGTACCATGGCAACCGGACCTCGAAAAACATTTTGAAATCCAAAATTCCAAAAAGTCTCGGGTTCAATTCTGCGCCCATAAAGAAGTCGTAAATGGGGTAACCGGTCACGCGATGCTGAGCACCGCGAGCAATGGCAGAGAAATAAGCGATGATAGAGATGACGAAGCCGGTAATGATGGCTACGCTCATGATGGGACCAAATTCATCCATGATGGTATACAGCTTGAACACCCCGGTGACATGAAGGATAACCGCCAGCACGATGGTGGTATAAAAGGACGACACGGCCGAGCAGTAATAGGTCAACTGCTTTCCTCCCAGGTGGTCCAATGGTCTGCCCTTGACGGTGATTCCGGGCAGATACATGTATGCAAGGGCCTCGAAGATGAAAAACCCCCAGTAGATCGCCCATGCCTTGAGCGATGGGAATGCGCCAGTATATACCAGGTTAAGGAGGTGTTGCAGGAAGTCAGATATGGACTGGCCCTCTGAGGGAGTTGGGAATGCGCCGTCGTAGTAGGTCGCTCCAATCCACATGTAGTACATCAGCGCAGGGAATCCTATCATCATCGCTGTCACGCCTGGAGTCCCGCCAAACTCGATGTGGTCGGTGATCTTGTAGTCTTCTGTAGCCTGCTCTGCTTCGGCCTTCTTCTCACTGTAGCCATTCGCAACGGCACCGTTGGTAGCGCCGTTAACAGCACCGTTGGAGCCATTGGCAGTCGAGACATGCTCCTCGACCTCTTCCCTGAGCTCCTCCGCCTTCTTTGCCGTGGCTCTCTTGCGAGGACTAGACATCTTCGGCTTCTCGATCGACTCTGCGAGATCTGAGCTCACTTCGGGCGTGGCAGAAGAACGATTTCGTGTGATGCGCCGCGGAGTCTCGAGATATGCGTCCTGCTGCGCTTTCCTAGAGGTTTCCAGTAACACTAACCGTCAACCATGTACTTGTTTTCAATAATTTGCCCTCTGCTCTTGTCAAAGAGAAAAGAGATCGAGGCCAGCTATTTATCGATCTATCGCGCCTCAGACTCTCACGGGGCGCTCTTGTCCTGCAGCAAAAGGCTTGGGGCCACTTACTTAGGGGTCTTCCCGGTCTGTGATCGTGTCACCGTCATGGCGAAGCTGAAGCAACGGATACTTGAATATTCCACAGGCGCTTCTGCAATAAAAAAAAAAAAAAAAGGGAACGGAACAGACGGTGTGCCAGCAAGATTAAGAGAAGGGGGAAGGAAAATAGGGGGCAAATCTGGCGGGGGAGAGCGAGAGCATTCAGGCCTGACCCTGCAGGGCTTGCTTGCCAACCAGAGCCCCTGAGGGTACCTGAAATTAAATGGAGAAGACCAGAGGCCCAAATATTCAGGCAGATCCTCAGCTTTTCTTTTTTTACATCTTCCCTTTTTTTTCCTCTTCTTCCTCTCTTTTCTTCTTCGTCCTTTTTATGGGTTTTTATTTATTTATTTTTTCCTATGTTTATCAGAGTAGAGCCGAGTGTCCAATTGACTTTGCTGGTCCCTGGATCTGGCTGCAGCAAGCAACTAAGCTGGGGAATCCCTGGCAAGCGAATGCGAAGAGGCTAAGATGCGCACTAGGACAGCGCTAGACGCTAGACAGTAAGGTAGAGACGATGCAGTTAGCCAGGGCGCGGCTGGGTTTATATCGACTGGACGGCTACTACTGGTCGGGGGGTGGAGAAGGGAAGATATATGGAAGTAGGACAGGGGTTTGTGGTTCTGAAGGGCCGCACTGCCATTGCACTGTCTGTTTGATGTTTGATTTATTATATACGGATGCAAACCTGTCTCTGTCGACAGACGGATTCTATTAACATTTGCGACAAGGAACCGGGAGATGAGGCTCGAAAATACCCCGGAAAGGCTGAATCTGTCATTTATCACCAAAGTAGAAAGATACTGAAGGGGTGGTTAGTATTATTTGAAGAGCGCTCTGACTCGTAGCCAGGCCTCTTGCGAACAGCTACGCTGCTCGTCGTGCATTGGTTGACATTAGTGTGATCTTCTTAGCCTTCTTCTTCTTACCCGGTGTGGCACCGAGAATGTGCTTACCAGTCCCGCTACTATTGCCACTATTGGAGTTGGTGTCATGCATGATGACCTCCCGCTGCTCGGCCAGGAGCTCTGCTTCCCAGTCCTGAAGCCAGCCATCATCATGGTTGGGAGGGCAGGGCTCCCGACTCGAACCGGCAGTGGGGGAGCTGGATTCGACCATAGCTGTACCCCATACTGTCCGGCGCGAAAGGGGGCTGTTAGACGGCGTTGCTAGAGCCGCAAACGACTGGTGGTTCTGGTTGTTGCGGCTCTGCGAAGAGGACCACGGCGGCGAGGCGGTGGAAACAGTGGTGTCTACATGGTCGTCGTTGGTGGCCAGGCTGCTTGCGCCGGGGCCAAGTGGCTGGAAGTCACTAGCGCTGAAGGGTCGCTCATTAGGAGACGACAGGCTCGACCTCTTTCGCCGGTTAGCTCCTGCTAGCCGCTTCTCATCTTCCTCCCGTTCAGCACGGATACGCTCTTTCTCTTCACGGGCTGCTTTCTCGCGATTTCGCTTCCGGCGGCGTTCAATGTCGACACTGAATTTCTCAAGAACGCTGGGGCTGACCAAGTCGGTCCAGTCGCATTCTAGAAAGGTCAGCTCACAGCCATGGGGTAGATGGCTTAGATACTTGACACGCTTGCGTAGATCATCGTCCATGATATGGCCTGTAGATATGTGCTCAACTCGGGGTAGTATGGTGGATGGGAACATTGAGAAGTCGCCAAATGCAGATTTTAGAATTCGTATGTCAAGAGACGAGAGATAGAAATGGGGTAGAGCTTGGTAGAAATAGTATGGCACATCGGGAGGATGGCCTCTTTCCGATTCGTTGGCGGTCGAGTGGGATGTCCTTTCATCCGATGATGGAGCTGATTGCTTGGTGTGCGGCTGAGGGTGTATATCAAGCTTAGACACCCTAGACAAGACATCCTCAACTTCAGCTGCTTTTACTGGATTGCTGCTGGGTGTCGTATCATGCCCTGAATGTGATGATGTTCCAGGCAAATGCGAAGCCGGGGTCCTTTCTGTAGGTGGTGAGGTAGATAGAGATAGATCCTGTTCATGTTTGTCCTCCTCTCCGTCGTTTCTATGAAAATGAGGCGGGTTACCAATTCCCTTGATCTTTTCTTTGGCTTCTCTAATGGCAGCCATGGCCTTCTGGGTCCATGTTGAGTCCTGTCCAAAAAGAAGCTCGTCTTCCTGTTCTTGCCTCTCAAGAGCCTCGAGCTCAGCATCATACTGAGATATCATGTACTCCTCTCCGCCCTTCATGAACCGTGCATAGTCGGTTACTTCTGCTGCATTATACCACGGGAGATCGTCCTCGGGTCCGTGAGGGTGTCGGTCAGCCCCATCCCGGGGAAGTGCAAGAGTACTGCCAGGGTGACGCATGACTAGCCTGAGAAAGACATCCCCGCCTTCCATCAACGTATCGATCTGCTGTCCAGAGTACCACCGTACACATCTAGTTTCGGACATGTAAACCGGATCCCAGCATATTGGACATTTCTTCCATCTCGCCTTTTTGACAGGAGGTGCATCCTGGTCATCAACAGTGTGTAGAAAGCGGATAAGACAAGGCAGACAGAAGATATGTCCACATTTGGCCATCCGTGGAGCTACAGGAACACAGAGACAGATGGGACAGCTGGTGGACTGGGAGGACGATGTCGATACCAACACCTGCAGCACGGTGTCCCAATCCAAGTGGACGTCTGCATTAGTGGCTTGTGCATGGTAATTCTTCTTTGGGTTCACTATAAACCGGTAGTTTGCATTGACGTATCTGCATGGTAACCGTCAGTCAGCCTATCTCGGTCCCCTGACATTGTGTTGCTGCGCCGCAATTTAGGAGTTAGCCGTACCTCGCTTTATCAACACGGTGTGAGCCAGAATGGTAGGTTACGTGACGATGGGGCCGGAAAGGAGATGAGTGAGGTCGTGGAGGTAGCGAAAAGTTCATCAAGTGAGTGATAGAGGTTTGGCCTTTTCTGCTGGAAGTTGACCTCATGGCTGCCTGCATCTGAGTCAGTACGGGAGGGTGTTTTCTGGATAAAACGATCTCAACACAAGAGACAAGGACTATGAAGAACACGCACGGCTTCAGCAATAGCATCCTCGTCCGCCAGACGAGGTTTCCGCTGACGCTTGTGGTTCGCCTTCTTCGACTGATTGTTCCTAGCTGAAGCTAGGTTGCTGGACGACTGGCCTCCCACAAGCGGGCCCGAGACACGACGAGCTGGTGAGTCCGGGCCAAACGAGTGCGAGTGCGACTGCGACGGCGGATGGTATGACACCGCCTGGCTGGAGGTTCCGGTCAGTTTAGATGGCGCAGAAGACTGTCCTGGGCATGCCGACATTGTTTGCGCCTATCCAGGGGGGGTTTCTCTCAGCTCCGGCTTGACGATGACACTGAAGCTGCCAGTACGGGCCCGTCATGTCACTGCCTCTGCTGCCTCCCTAAAGACGCCGACGCTGCAGACTCGGGAGAAGATGCACGCAGAAAAGGTGGATGTCGCTCTTCGTCTCCTCCGTCTCCGTCTCCGTCTCCGTCGTCGTCTTCGTCTTCGTCGTCTCCGCCGTCTCCATCGCGGCTTTTCAACCACCAACGGACGAAGAGGGGCGAGGTGGATGCAAACAGGACAAACACAGCCGCAAACCTGCCGACACGCAAAATAACTTAACTGACAGGCACAAAAGCCAGCGCCGCCCTTCTTTCCCTCCTTTCTTTCCCTCGCCTGAGATAGAACCTGCAAACCGCCTGTAGCGAGCTGGCGACACCCATTGGCCCTTCTTCCGGCCCCGAACCTGCGTCTGAGAGCAGCCAGCAAGCCCGCCGCCGCCCGTCGAGCTCGCCGTCTCTCTCTCTCGCTGCCCAACGCGAGCTTCGCCTGGGCTGGCGCTGTGGTCCCGTGACCTTATCCTTGCTCGGGGACAAAATTTCCCTTTTTGGGAATTCTCAACGACCTCAGATCGAAAAAGCGACGCCGCAAAGAGCGTTTTATATACAGACACATTCCTGCCCGCCCACGCCCGGTAGAGCGAGATACCTACGAGCTCCTGCGGCTGCCGACGTCTGCGAGTGCTGCTCGTCCTGCGCTGGCCGTTGCCCGTCGTCTCTGTGAGTTGTGTGCAATATTATTTTTTTTAGTGGAGCGTGGGCGAGCCAGCGATCAGAAAATACCTGACTAACCTCACTTCAGCGACCAGATTCCCTTGACCAAGCGGCCAACCGCCATCACTGCTCGACCGACAGACGGGCTCCTCGATAGATAGAGCGTCGCCTTCTGCCCGCAAGAACTGGCCTGTCTGGTCGACTACTATGCATGGCGTCCAAGCAGAGCGCATTTTGACAGCCAGTCAAGCCGCCTCCGAGAACCGCTGAAAGGGACCATAGGAAAAAAAAAATTACAGAGACACCACCGGTCCTTTTGTGCCCGCGATGAACCATCATCCCCCTCCTCTGCCGCATGGGCAGCCTCCCATGCCCCCTCCGCGGCGGCAGCACGAGGTGCCGTACTCTTCGGCGCCGCCCAACGCCAGGTCGCCCGGTTACATGGCCTACCACCACCCCCATCCGCACCCGCACGCACTTGGCCATTCACACGGGCATGCTCACGCTCACGCCCACGGGCCAGTGCCCATGCCGCCGCCGTACGGACCCCAGAACTTCCAGAGCTGGTACCCGTACCAGCAGATGCCTCCTCACCCTCCTCCAATGCAGCCTTACCCCCAGTATAATACCCCGTTGATTGTTTGCTCATATCCTCGGCCCCAACCCCCGAACCACGCGCCACCTCCACCACACATGTCCCCAGCCCTCCGGACACAGTCCAGCACTCCCATTACATCTCACCCGTCGGCTTTCTCGCCCACGCCTCCTGTTTCCTTGTCTACGCCGGCAATCACTGAGCCGCAGGAGGATCAGTCTGCACAGCATTCTCTAACCCGCTCTGGCAGTGAAGTGGGCAGCAATGCCTCAACCAATGCTTCAACCAACAACAGTGCACGCCCTACACCCCCTCCAATCACCGCCAGAAGACCTGAGGCTCGGTCAGGCGTAAGACAGGTATTCCAACCTCCAGTGAGTTCCGGTGCATTGTCTTGCAAACCCTCTATTTTTTTCAAAACGAAAAAATTGGCAAGCTTGTAATTATATCAATATAGTTACTGACAGGTGCTTTTCTACTAATAGTTACCTTGGCTTTCCGTTCCGGAGGCTCCCTTTCCTTCCAAGCCTCCTCGACGTCGCCGTAAGAACCGTGTTACTCAACCTTCTTCCCTCGCCGTAGAATTGCCTTCCAAGGACGAGAATGAAACTGAAGACACCGAACCTCAGGGGATTAATGCCGAAGATCAACCAGCTAAGCCAGCTTCCGTGGCTCAATCCGAAGCAGATACTCCGTCTCTTCCCTCAGCCACCGTCGCTCAACAAACTCCAGCACACGCCCGCCATGCTAGCACTACAAGAGCCGGTGTTCAGGTAGTTCCCGTCGTTCCCTTAGTTTCCCAAAGCCCGTCAGCCTCCAAGCAATCCAAATCTTTAGCTCAGCCTACTCCTGAGAAAGCGGGTGCAACCGAGGCTGTAGCTCCAACAGTCATTGAAAACGGACATGGTCCAACTGAGGAAGAATCACAGCCGCCAGCATCCTCCGAGACTACCAGCAACACAACCCCATCTCCAGCACCTCAACGAGCTGCCCCAAAATCTTGGGCTGATCTTGTTCGCTCAAAGGCCGCTGCAAAACAATCAACTGCTGCTTCTCCTCAAGCTGGTGCCTTGGCGCTCACTCGGGGTGAATCTTTGGCTGAAGCACTCAACAGCTTTGGTTCGAATGTTGATCAGTACAGCGAAAAAATTGCTTTCTTAGAACCTCGTGGCCTTGTAAATACGGGAAATATGTGCTATATGAATTCTGTAAGTTACCCCCTTTTGACACACATATCAAATCAACCAGCACTGACAATTCCACTTAGATCCTACAAGTTTTAATCTTTTGCGTTCCGTTTTATGAATTTCTTGATCAGATTGGCCGTCGTGCGGCCCATAGCTTCAAAAGTGACAGCCCTTTAGTGGATGCTATGTAAGCTGTACTCCGTCTGCTCTGACCAGTTATTTCTATTCCTTGCGCTAATATACTCTTTAGGATTATGTTTCTACGGGAATTCAGGGTTATTGATGCGGCATCTTCGGTGGAAAAATTAAGGCTTCGGTTGAAACAAAACGAATTGGAGGAGTACGGTGAATCTTTTATTCCAGAATATGTTTATCAAGTTATTCGACATCTCCCGCGTTTTAGGGACATGAGAGTAAGTTTGGCCCCTGGCTTTTAATACGCTGTCAGCTTCATTAACTCCGTCATAGCGCGGTCATCAGCAAGATGCCCAGGAATTCCTTGGCTTTCTTCTCGAAGAGCTCCACGACGAATGCCTCCTGGCCACTAAGAATGCCATGGCAGACAAATCTGACGTTTCTACTTCTTCTGATGTGGATGCTCATTCCATTGCAGATGACTCTACTGGTGACGGGTGGTTGGAGGTTGGCCACAAACAGAAAGCATCGGTCACCAGGTCGTCCGGTGATAGCTCTGGGGAGTCGCCCATTACACGTATTTTCAGCGGTAAAATCCGATCAGAGTTCAGGGTACCTGGAAACAAAAACTCGGTAACTCTTGAACCTTATCAGTCTCTTCAGCTTGACATTGGCTCCCCTCAGGTGAACAACATCATCGACGCACTCAAGGGCCTTACCAAGCCCGAAACCATGCACGGAGATTTCCAATCATCCCGCGGGCCCAAAGTCAATGCCACCAAACAAGTTTTCATTGAAAATCTACCCCCTGTCCTTATCCTTCACCTCAAGCGTTTCCAGTATGATAACGTCACCAATGGCACGCAAAAGATCTGGAAGAAGATTGGCTACCCACTTGAACTGGAGATACCCAAGGAGGTCTTTCCCCCACACCGCCGTAATGCCCTTTCCGCTCAGAACGGCAGCCTCCCTAAATATCGCCTCATTGGAGTTATCTATCATCATGGCAAGAGCGCAAGTGGAGGACATTACACAGTTGAAGTCCGCCGACAGGATGGACGTGAATGGGTCCGTTTTGACGACACCTACATCCGTCGTGTACGAAGTGAAGAAGTAGCCTTTGGTGGTAGCGAAGAGGATCCAAATCTGCTCTCCGCCGCCCTTGAGCGCCACAATAATTCTAGTGACCAAACTTCCAGCAACAACATTTATGACCAATTTGATGCTGACGAGCAAGACCACCCAGATAACGGGAGAGGTTGGAGCCAAGTCAATGGCTCTAGCTCGGGCAGCCACTCTAGGCAAAAATCTATGGCCGCCGCGGCCGCGGCTGCTGCTGCTGCTAGCGGCAATGCCTCGCCTAAAGCCGACTCCGGAAAAGGCACCCCCACAGCTTCCAGCAGCGCCCGTTTCGGCGCTTCTCGAGATAACAAAGTTGCATATCTCCTGTTTTACCAGCGTATTCACAGCGCTTAAGCGAATTTTAGCATCACTAAAAAAAATCTACCCAAAGAACGATGAATGCACGCTTCGCTTTATACTACCATTTACTACTAACACCCATGCAATACTATTATATTAGTATTACTAACTCTTTTAAAAGAAACCCCTCAAATCATCAAAATAGCCCCTGCTTATTTGTATTACTACATATGTTCTGCACATATCTGCTTGTGTATAGCTTGTGGCAGGATATATATGGTGCACAAAATGCACGGGATTCTGGCTCTACCCAGTCTTTTCTTACTTGCCCAACCAAAAAACCCACCCTCACACCCTCAGACTCCTGACCACCAGCTTACCCTATCCTTTTCCTCGGCCTTATGAACTTCTCAGTTCTTCTGTGTCTTCTCGATCCACCTACCTACCTCTTTTCTACCCGCATTACTTCTCTTATATCAACTCATGTATTGAGAAACGTATCAGCAAAAAAAGGGGTTCCTGTTCTAGCTTTATTTTCCCACCTCTCCAGCTATCAAAGCTACACCGAATAATCAAATCACTCGTAAGCTTGTGCTTGAACAGCAGCAGCTTCCCTAGGCGAAATACTTTTATATACAAGTAGCGAGGTCAAGCATGCTGTTGTCCGGCCTAAAAGCGGCGTTTGATTTGGCTGATGGACTAGTTAACTAACCTTCTAGCCAAACTCCATCAACACCAAACTCTAGAGACTACCACATAGCTCGCAGCTCCGGTGGCAGAGCTGATTGAGATCTAGCCAGGTGGCACTAGTTAAATACAGAGATCCGGTAACGCCCGCCTGCAGTCGCAATCATGCTAGTAAAGGAATCTACCCACGATGTGAAGACGACTGTCGCCGGAGAGGGGCAGATGAGTGAGTCTCCAACCATTAACTAGCAAGGCCGCAGCTAACACGAACATTATAGGAATATACGTCTTCCATCCCACTATCCCAGGCTATCCCAGTGCAAAGTTCCCGGGAGTAGTAGTCTTCAGCGAGATATACCAAGGTATCTGTCAAATCGAACCGCGAAACGCTCCATTCTAATGTCGTATGTTCTAGTTACTGGCCCGGTTGCACGGTTTGCGCGCATGATAGCTGGCCAGGGATATATCTGTGCTGCACCATCAAGCTACCATGAATTCACCGGCCCCGAGCCACTGCAGTATAATGCCGAGGATACGGATAACGGCAACAAATGGAAGATCACTAAGGTAAGCATACCATTTGCAAGATCTATGAGTTTCTGGATTAACTTTAAGGGCTAAAATGTAGAAACTAGCCGCGTATGATGAGGATGCTCGTCTTTGCGTGGACTACCTGCTTTCCCTACCTACTTGCAACGGTCGCGTGGGTGCCACTGGAATGTGCCTGGGAGGCCATCTGGCGTACAGATGTGCACTCGACTCACGTATCCAGGCTGCCGTGTGTTACTTTGCAACCGATATCCACAGTCATTCGCTCGGAGAAGGGAAAAATGATGACTCTCTCCAGCGAGCAGGTGATATCAAAGGGGAACTAGTAATGGTATGCCTGATAACCGCGAATTTTTTTTGTTTCTACTATAGCTGTAGAGATACTAAAACTAGCGGCTAGATCTTCGGCAAGAATGACAACCACGTCCCAGCGCCAGGTCGAGATTTGATTCGTAGCACCCTACATGAAAAGGGTGTCTGCTTCAGTTTCTATGAAGCTGCTTGGGCACAGCGTATGTTCCAGCTGTCTATCCCCTGACTGCAGCAGCCACTTTGTACCTCTACGGAGAATTAGGTTAGCTGACCGTCGTCAAAGATGCATTTATCAGGGACGAGCTAAGCAAAGGTCGGTATGATCCAGCACTAACCAAGGTGTGCGCCGAGATGATGTTTGAAGTCTTTGGGCGTACTTTGAAAGTTGAGCTAGGCGAGGGAGACGGCAAGGAGCTCGTTGTTGAAAACGTGTGCTAGAAAGGCGCTACGTGGACCAAGAAGAAGCGAGATGCCCGCTGTATGGCTTGCTACCGACGCCACGAGCGAAAATAGAGGCTGATATCTAACTTCTATGAAGTACTCCGAGTACGCCGTTTGTAGCGTCGACAACTAGCTGGCATGGCAACTTCCGCCCCAAGCGATGGAAACTGGCAGTGTAGCATGGTTTTCTTTACTCTGTACGGACACATTATTGAACGTCGAGTTACCTACCTGTCTTGCCATCTTGTCTTTGTCGAGTAAAAAGACCAGGGGAATTTTGGTCTTCTCGTATCGATGCAAGTTAAGCATGTAACTAGCATCTCGCATCTTGCGTCCCGCACCAACGTCGAGCTACCCTCATTCCTCGAATTAAGGACTCTTAACTCCTTTACTGAGTTACCGCACTGGGTAGCTCCGAAGTTTCATCGATAGCACCGCGGCCTCCAGCTGTTTCATGCATAGACTCCCTGTCCTGGCCTCCATCTCCTCTCCTCTCCCTCTCGTTTGCTACGGGCTCCGAACCACGGCTGGCCGTCTCTACTTACACTTGCTTCATCCTGCTGCGGGCCCCCTCGTCCTCGCCGTCCTTCGTCGTCCTCTTCATGAACAAACATCTTTGTCATCTCCGTCATGCATGATCAACCTGCATGCACCTTGCTGGACTGATGTATCATCTGTAACGCCGTGAAAACGCAAGGCACCGCGGATCGTACCGTCGCGTATCAACCTGGCAGGTAAATTACGCTTCTTCCGCCAGGACAGGCCTTGGCTCCACTCACCGCCTGCAAAGCCACCGCCATCTCGGCCTGTCCCGCCGTCTGATTGGCCAGAAATAAGCCGTGCCTGGTTGCTTGATACACCGCCGTGACAATACCTGATACGGCGGTACCTCGTCACTGCAATACAGCGAAACTCACCCAAAAATACGTCCCCTGAAACGCAAAAACAACATCGAGAGAAACGCTTCTTCTGGCTGCGTCTTTCTGCGTCTTTCGGCTTCTGCTTCTCGACATCGCTGTCGTCGTCGTCGCCGCCAGCGTCTTTCTTCTCGTGCTGCTGCTTGCGCTCCGTGATGGTGACAGGGAAAGGCAATCGATGTTCCCGCCCTTATCGATCGATCGCAGGCTAGTCTCAGCGTTACCCAGGAAAGAAAAAAAGGAAGCAGACCGAAGCTTGCTGTGGCGTACCAGGAAGTGGACTCTCTCCACCAGGAACAACTCCATCTGACATTTTTCCTCCCTCTTGTCAACAACCTCCCAGCCTGCCACCTCTCGCACAGAGACTCCAGACGCCGACAACCTCGCCCTCGAGACATTCGACAGCGCCCTCTTCCTCGCTGCGACACCTTTTTGCACCACCGAGTTCCTGCGCTCGAAGCCACTCCCAACCAGGCTGTTGAGCGCTTGGTTGGCCTTTATCGAATCGCTTGCCTTATCACACCGACCAGCAACTCCACATCAAGACTGAATACCACGAAAACCTCGGTTTCTTGCTTTTTTGCTTGCTGAATTGCCATTGCTGGATTCTATCGACTGTCGCTACATACTTGTGTTTACCCAAGGGGGGAAGAAAAGACGCATAGGCTCGCTAGGGCAGAAAAGAGTCCCATCATGGGGTCGACGCAGTTTGGAAAGTTTCACGTACGCACACCACCGGACCTCACCTTGTTGCTTCTTCCGGGACTGCTTTGGACAGCGCTGGAGCTCAGGCACCCCGGAAAATTAGGATGAATTACTGCGAGGACATGGCGCTGACTTGGGAGTATAGGATTTCTGCCGGGACTCGACACTTCCAGTGTGCAATGTACGTTTTCCAGCCTTGGCCCTTTATCGATCTGGGCGTAGCAGGTTCTATATACCATGTACTGACGGCCATGACAGCTCTTCATCCGGGACAATCAACCACCAAATGAAAAGTATGGCGGGTGTGCCTTGACGGGAATTAATCTTAGCAGTGGTCGACATATCGGAAACCTGGGTACGGCTACGATATATCCCTCGAAAGCTATCTATGGTCGAACATCATGACTTACCAGATCCGATTAGGTTCCATATTACTTTGCTTCATCGCCATCTTCTCGACACTGTTTTTAATATGGCGGTCGGAAAGAAAAAGGGCTGCAGTCGGACGAAGGTGAGGCCTTTTTTTAGTTTTTTTTTTCTGTTGGATCAGCAGAGTTTTTGACTCTCGACTAACTGTGAATGGCAGGGAAATACAACTGTTCCTGATCGGCTTCATCATCATTTCTATTTGCGAGATCTTTTCAGTCGGCGCTTTCCCACTCAGCGACTCTATTAGAAAGGTGCATATATCTACCTCCAGATATGTTCGAGTTGCTTTCCACTGACTATTGTAATCTATATAGGGCTTTTCCGCGGCTCATGTTGCTGCCATCTGTGCCACTGCCTGGCTGCTCCTTCTCAATGCCATTGTCGGCTACCAGCTCATTGATGATGGTACCGCCGTCTCACTTGGCCTTCTTGTCACCTCGGCTCTCATCCTCTTCGTCGGTACTGGGTACATTGCCCTCGATACCGCCTTTGCATGGACGGACCGCTTCCAGTCCAGCCACCGCACCCCCAACCAAAACATAGGACTATACATTCTATATCTTCTTTTCCCACTAATTTGCATCGTCGGATTCTTTCTTCTTGAGACCTTCTTGGTTGTCAAGGTGCTCAAGGAGAAGAGACCCATGCGTAAGTTACTCTCTAGTCCTATCCACCCCATAGCTTAGGCTAACTTTTCCTAGTATACCTTTCTATTGCTGGCCTACTCTTTGCTCTGAGTCAGATTTTCCAATTCGTTATTAGCACACACCTCTGCAATGCCACCGACGGAAAAATCAACGGTGCCTTCTTTGAGACCCTTTTCAATCTTGGTGCCGTCAATATGGTGTGGGTTTTCTGGAGCAGCATTACTGAAGATGACTGGCCAATGAACGTTGGCGGAGCATACAGTTGAATTTGACTTGCCATGCCTATCTCGAATTAACGGATATCGCTTATTACTTACGAGTGAGATGCCGACAAAGATATCCCTTGACGTTTCGAACCGGAAAATGCAAATGAATGAACAGAATGAAGTATTTGAATATAACGAGAGACGTGAAAGTAAAGAAAGAGAGATTGAAAAAAAAAAAAAAAAAAAAAAAAAAACAGACGTTGGTTAATTGCCGAATGTTCGAACTTTGTCTCATTTTTCTGTTTATTATATCTACAGGCCATTTTCTATCGCAAGATGTTTGGGATGGCCCCATATACCCAACCCCCTCCCCATACCGTGTCCCTACTTACCGACTTCTACATATCCAAAACCTCCACGCCGTTCCTTTTCCACCTCTATGCTCTTCCCCTGTCCCCTTATCCTTTTCCACTCATCAACATTTTAATTGATGTCCAAACCGCTCATACCACACCATATGGAATGTTAATCTTATAATTTCAACCCTCACCCTGGTACCCTTCTCTCTTACCTCGACATCCCCTATCTGGCAACTATTTTTACCTCCTGCTTTATGATACTCACTTTGGTTTAGTGTACGCTGGTTCAATTTCCTCTACTGCTCTACGTTCCTACAATGTTTCAGTCAAATATGTCTTTCTGCGTTGATGAATCTCCTTGGTATCTTTTTCCCTTTTTTTTGCTTTCCTCAGTTATTGATTTCCTTTTCTCGTCTTTGTCTTGCACTCCTAGCTTGTTTAAATGCTTTCTCTATTGGTTCCACCGTCAGGTATGTACCTGTACTAGCTAGTATTGTTAACGTATATAGAATAAACAGACTTATAAAGTTGACTGGCTCCCTTCCCAGACCTCCCATCTACTCAGTCTTTTGTCTGCCAAACACACCCATGCCAAACCAGTACTTCCAATGACACCAGGCCGGCCACAGGCATACTGTTTCGATATTATTTCCTGCCGGGTCAAACACAAACGCAGCGTAGTAGAATCGTGTATACTGAGGTCGTACACCAGGTCCACCATTCGACTTTCCGCCATGCTTCAGCGCAGCATCATAAAATGCATGAACTAGTTCTCGATCTATATCATGGTAGACGGTTAGAACCCGCCCTTTTGCATATACCGAGCTCCTTGAAAAAGATAGAAGTATCACTTACTCCCCGTGCTGAGCGCAACATGCGTACTACCAAACACAACATTCTTGTTGCCAGCAGGTACATCAACACCGGCACTTGAACTAGGCACCGCGTTCGAAGAGATCCAGAACTCAGGATAATACACGCCCATACCAACTACTTTTGGATGGGGCCGGAGATGCTCTTTGAACCCCAGCGGAGCTAGAGCAGCTAAGTAAAAAGAGACCGTTTCCTCGAACTTGTCGTCTGGGACTGTCAGGCCAACGTGTGAGAAACCCATTGTATCTGTTTGAGCATTAATCCAATGAAAACAAGTATAACTCGCTTGACTCTTTTAGTCCAGTCTACGGGAGGTTTCGTGTCGACTTTATACCTTCAAGTCGAGCATCAACGCTAGCGAAAGAAGGTTTGGCTGCCTAGCTGGGTGCTTAATATAGCCCATTCTGGATTGGTCTGGCAGAAGCTTGCTTTCTGGGACGTTTTTTATAACAAGCCTAAGGAGCTTGGGTGAAAAGGCCCCAATTGATGGAACAAAGTACAGGTCGCGGTATACATTAGTTGTTAGATCCGTGGGGAAAAGGGGGTATTAAGTGAATGCGCAGGACCAAAGGGAACAAAAATACAATATAATGATACGCTCTAACCGGCCGTGCATCATAAAAGACATGAAGGTTGCTCATTGTAAAAAGAAAAAAAGTAAAATAAAAAAATTGCAAGTCCACAACCGCCGAAGAAAGCACGATATAGTTGCATGCGTATTCAAATTTGTCAGAGTAACGAATAGAAAAAGGTCTCTCTTGATCTACAATCTAACCTTCACGTCGACACACGGGAGAGTCCACTCCCTGCGTCCCAGTAAACTCCTGAACCACTCGAGGCCAATACCAGTCCATTCTGGTTCGTTGGCACTCAAAGATGCGTTCGGCATGACACGGCGTTTTGCTTCTTCAAACGCAGCCCCCATCAGGGCAGTGGCTGTTGTATTCACGGTATCAAGCACATACCCGGTCAACTCGCTGGAAGTCGAGTTAAGAGCCGGAGTCGTCGCAGTTGCGTTCATCGTCGGGGCTGTTACTGGCAAATGAGCGAAGCGCGGGGCAAACCAATCTGCCTTGAGGTCAAAGAAGCAGCGGTCCGACCAGTGACATGATGAGATGAACAGGATCAGAAGGAGGGCAGAGCAGTATATACAGGGTCGATGGAGGATGTAAGTGAGGGTGACGAAGGAGAGGATAAACAGAGGGCTTGCGTTCGTTGGAATGAAAAGGAGGGGAAGCCAGCTGTGCAATATAGGTTAGCCGTCGTCGTTCCAAGGCCGTACATAGAGCACTCCAAGCATGGGAATATGTCTGCTTACCTTCTAAGACAAAACATATTTGGATATCGGGGCCGCCAGCCAGTAGAAAGGAACCGATGCCGTTATAAAGCAGGTGTGAACCCTTGGTTAGCAGCTCACCATCGGATGTTGCAGCCGTCACTTTCTTCTTCTCTCTCTTTCAATATCTCTCTTGTTTTCTTCCTCTTCCTCTTTTCCTTTCTGCCTCTTCCTAAGCCTTGATCCTATGTTCCAGTCTTCTATCTCTCTCTCTCTCTCTTGCTCTCGATCCCCGGCAGCATCACCGTTCGTTGCAGGTCCAAAAGTCGTTCTTTTCTTCGCCTGCCAACTTTCTAAGTCCGAAACGGTCGCTGACTAAGCTATTCTTGCAAACAGTGCAAACAGCTCGACCGCCAACTGAAACCGACCAAATTATTATTATTTTCGCTTCTTCAACCTCCAACCTCCAACTTCATCTTCTTCATCTCCATCCCGTTCAATTCACCTCCCTCTCTCTTCCATTTTCTCTTCTTCTTTCGTTAGAATTGCATTAGCACGGTTGTCTACCAGTTTGGTGTCGCGTTTTTTTTTCTCCCTTTCTCGCCTTCTCTTACAACCTGGTCCCGGGTAGCTTGAGCTACCGTCGCTCCTTGCCATGGCTGGTTCCGGCTCCCCTGCAGACTTGCAAGCTCTGCTCGCGAGAATAAAACCTCGCCCGTCTCCTAGCGGACCCTCTTATGAGAGTCAGTCGCCCTTTTATACTGGGCAGTTTGCTCAACACCAGCACCAGCAACGGAGCGGGGGATCGCCTGGCATCATGTCGCCTACGCAGTTCAGCTATGCCGCGCCATACGCTTCCTCGCCTATCCTTAGCCCTCCACCCCCTTCCAACCCTCCTCATCATGGATCGGACGTGATAAGCCCCAACAATTCCACCCCACAGAACGAGGTTAATCAGCGATCCATGAGCACCGATCGCGCCAACTTGCTCAAATTGCTGAAATTTAGCCAGCCTCCAGGCGGACAGAGCTCCAACCCGCCAGCCGAGACGGGACTCCCATCCGGCACCCCAGCGCGTGTTGAACCAATTGGGCATGATGGTGCTAACGGCAATGGTTTCCGTATGCCTGGTCAGCGCAACATTTCAGCTTCTGATATACTCGCCTCCCTCCGTGGTCCACCGACTTGTGCTGCTTCTCCTCCTCCAGGCCCGTCATCTGCCGTGCCAGGGAGACACAGCCCAGCTGAAAAGCCGGGTGTGGCTCCTACGCCTTCTGGGGACGCAACTCAGGAGATGCTGCTGAGATTGTTGAACCAGCCACCCGCTCAAAATCCAAAGGGGGGCGATCTAACATCTGCTCCTCAAACCTCGGGTCAAGCTATGAATAATACCAATATCAGTGAGGTTCCAGCGGATCTCTCCGGCTCTTCGACTGAGGAACGTAAAGACCCTTCGGTCCGGAATTTCGGCTCGGCTGATGCTATCGAGGTTACTCAATTTGATCCGTTGCAAACCAAAGCAGCAAACAAAGGAACCATCTTCAGCCATGTCAATCCCTTCGAGCACCTTGCTGCGGCATCTTCGAGGAATCGGCCCCCGAACAGCCAGCCGCAGTCCGGCCGTGCCAGCCCCTCGGTTGGAACTGGCACAGCAGGAAAGGAGATTCCAAAAGCCAAGCGCAATTCACCCGAGGCTTCGAAGCCTTCTGTTGCTCAGCCTACACCAAAGAGCGTCCAAGGGCAGCAAACTGCGACTCCTGGGCCCAATGAATCTACCGATCGGGACAAAGGAGGGGTTTCTACTCCTGAAGTTGCCGAAGGGGTTGAATGCACTTCAGTTGCTGTCTCAGATACTAAAGTGGAGAAATCTGCACCGGTACCTGAGAAGCTCACCGTTGAGCCTTCTGCTCCTGGAAGTGATATCCCGGGAACTGCTACGGTCAACTCGCCCAAACTTATGCACGGTGCCTTAGAGCCTCCAGAGGAGGAAGATGCTAAGAAACCTGCCAAAGTTGTAACTATTTCCGGTGACGACGAGACTGCTAAAATTACCAAATTGGAGACTAAAAACGAAAATGTGGCGGATAACTGGGAAACGGAGGCGGAGGTTGATCGCATTGTCCCCGTCTATAACTTCCCGTTGAAGCCATTTGTATCCATTACGTGGAAGACAAATTTGAAACCCGTTGGCGTTCGTGACGATGGAGTGATGGATATTGCCCGCCTGAAGAAAGGCTTTGACCAGCTTGATCGTTCACTCACCTCAGCGACCTCTGAGTATATCGTTTATGCTCTTGCGAAAAACGGCGGAGCCCGTATCATTCGCCAGGATGATGGCCATGACCGACAGATCTTCCGCTCAACCAATGACAGAATGTTTAACGTCTCCGTAGCCCAGGCACCGCCCGGTTCTGCTATCAAAGAGCAGGCTTTCCTCGGTATTGGCGTTAGCGGCTCCGTTTACTGGACTACTATTTCCCGTGCGGATGATGATTATTTCGAGTCAGACACTCTTGAATCTCAGAGCTTGATCTTCCCACCCTTCCCAACATCTGACGAGAATACCTCTGGCGGACAATTGAAGACCCGCGCGAAGCAAAGCTCTCGCCATCCTGAATTTTTCGCTATAGGCCGTGGGAAGTCTATTCACATCGTTAGACCTCGTGTCGCTTTGGCCGAGTATGGTTTCACCTCCCCAGGTAAAGTTGACACCGAAAAGTACTTCAAGGAGAAGTCTATCAAGATTGCTACCGGGAAGGCCGGTAAGGACTTCGTTTTCAGTGGTGATGATACCGTCATTGCGTCGCTCGACAAGACTGGCAGGTTGAGATTATGGGATCTCCGTGACATTGATGAAATGCTAATGGCCAACAAATGCGATATTCGCATCCCTCTCCTGACTCTTGTTACTGGTTCCTCCAATGAAAAGTGCTGGCCAACCTCTGTTGTTTTCATTGACAAACAGAGGCCTTATCTAAAGGCCCATGCCCTGAGATACATCCTTGTGGGTTTGAAACAAAACCATACTCTGCAGCTTTGGGACCTAGGCCTAGGAAAGGCCGTGCAGGAGTTGAACTTCCCTCACGGTAATGAATCGGACGCAATTTGCAGCATCGCGTACCACCCAGGTTCTGGCATCATCGTCGTTGGCCACCCCACTAGAAACTCAATCTACTTTATTCATTTGTCTGCACCCAGATATGCACTTCCCCCAATGTCCCAGGCTGCTTTCATTCAGGCTGTGACGAACAAAGATCCTGACCTTCCCAAACCCGACTCAACTGCTTGCATGAGCGGAATCCGAGAAATCTCTTTTGGCTCACGCGGTCAATTACGAAGTCTTGAACTTCTCCCATTGACCAAGTTGCCGGGCCAGGAGGATAATGGTTTATTTGAGCTGTATGTTATGCATTCGCGAGGAGTAACCTGCCTCAGCATCAAGAAGCTTGACCTGGGCTGGGACATCGACAACAAAATTGTTGAATCGGTAGATGCATTGGAGAAGGGGTATGTTGAGATCAGAGATATCCAACCTGTCCAGCCAGCGGATGATAGCAGCCGAGGTGAAGAAGGCAGTACACTTTCCAAGAGCCCGCACCACGACAATAAAGAAACGAAGAAGGAAGCTGCATCTGTTACCAACTTGTCTGTTCCTGAGTCTCCAAAGAAGAGATCGGTAGTGGAATCCGCGTCTACTACTACCCAGCCTCAGCAGGAACAGGCCGCAGGCGAAAAGCCAGACAAAAAGAAAAAGAAGAAAGAAGTTGCAGCGAAACTGAAGGAAACCACGAAGGCAACAGAAGACTCTTCTGATGCCCCAATTCTGTCGCCTGTTAAGCAGGTCATTGGTCGAAAACATGCCCCAGTAGAGCAACCTCGGTCTCGCCAGGTCGAGGCCGAAATACCAGGCGAATCGATTATGTCTATGCAAACTTTGTCTAAGGAGGTGCAGAAGATCGAACAGAATTTGACATCGATGTTTACTGCGTCTCTTAATGGTGGACTTGATACCGTATATCGCCGTTTCGAAGACGATCGTCGCGCTCAAGACAAGCTTGCGACTATTCGACAGGATGAGGTCTTACGCCTAGTTTCTAAGACGTTGTCTGAAAATGTTGAGAAAACACTTGCCCACATTGTCTCCGAAAGCATTAAGCAGTCTGTGCTTCCAGCTTTGAAGGATAATACCGCTTCTGCGCTTGATAGACAAATCAATGGTGCAGTCAAGGCTGCCTTGCCAGACGCAATTGCTAAAGCTATGCAAACTCCTGCTACTGTCCGCGCCATGACTGACGTTATGCTGCCCTTCATCACTAGTCACCTTGACAGGGGGCTTTCAAACACCGTTAAGAATATTATCTCGGTATTCAAGGAGGAGCAAGCTCATACTGCGGAGAAGGTCGCCAGAGATGTCGAACGGAAATTCGCTACCAAAATGAAGCATCTTGAAAACCAACAAATCAAGGACAGCGTCAAAATTGACCAGCTTGTGTCATTGGTCAGCAACATGAATGACTCAATGTCCACAATTGCCCAGGCTCAGAACAGTTTCGGCGCTGAGATACTCAAGCTCCACAAGCAGATGCCTGTGAAGGAGCCAGAGCCCCCGCAGAAGCAAGCCGTCGCCGAACAAAGCGACGTTCATAACGTCCAACCTTCTGAGGAACCCAGCGAACTTACTCAGATCGGCCAGCTTATGGAGGAGAGAAGATACGAGGAGGCGTCTATTAAGGTATATCCACACGTGCCATGAAATAACTCCAGTTTGAAGCTTGTTTAATACTAATGACATATTTCGCATAGTGGCTTCAATCTTCCCAGCAGTCTGAACTCTTCAGTAACCTATTTGTGAATTACAATCCATCGTACCTCGGAAGCTTGTCACCTGTAGTTGCTCTTTCTGTCAGTGCAGCAGTGACCGCTTCTATGGACACCCACGTTATGGAGCGCTTGAATTGGTTGCAGCACGTTCTTCGCACTGTCAATATTTCGGTAAGCCGTTTGTCATCCTACGGATATAACCTACCGTTACTGACTTTGACATCCAGGACCCTTCCATTAGCGAAATTGGACCTCGCATCATGGATATTCTGATCCAGCGCCTCGAAGCATTGTTCATCTCCATTGCTCAAAAAACACCTAATGACCCCATTCTCCACCGAATCCCACCAATTACTCAGTGGGCAGCCGTTCTCCGAGACGCAAAGTAAAAGACCAAGAGGCTTAACCCTCTCATCCACCCTCTCCATCTCACTTTCGATTTATGTTCCCATTCCTTAATGTGGCTATGATGATGACCAACGTTCTGTTGTGACACATCTACGGCCTGGTTCACGGCGGCAGAATGGTATTACTCTACAAAATCAGCTATTGGGATTATGATGCATGCTGGTGATTATGATTCATCTCATTCTCATTTAATGGAGGCGGGCTTGTTTTTCCTTTTTTTTTGTCTTGTCATTTTTTTCCGGTTATTTCTGGGGGTTGGGGATAAAATAAATCGGTCTAATTGGCATTTCGGTTCTATTCTATCCTACCTATGTACTAACTAATTACCAACCACCCATCTGTTTTCTTTTTTATTCCATTGAAAAATAAAAGCTCGAGAAAAAAAAAAAAAAACACCTATTCTTGTTTCCACATATTTTAACTTGTACTTATTTATTTCATGCTCTTCAAGTTGACAGGCCAAGCACCACACTTGAGTAAAAGCTGTGCTATTTATCACCCCCCCTTCCCTAAGCGCCATGCCACAAAGCAGGCAAACGAGCTCAATTATACCAACGAAATGCGATGCCTGTCTATCCTTCCCCCGTCCGTAGAATGCAACAAAAGCAATATGTGACAATGGCTCAAGCGTTAAACTCCTTTTCCCTTTCAGCCTTGCCTTCCCCACCTCCTGATTCGAAAAACTCGAACCCAATGGCTCTCCAATTAAGCTCTTCTCTCCAGTGCAGTCCGTACCCATTCACAGCGTCCAGCGCATTGCTCTCCGCGGACCTTCGCATACCGGAATTCAAAACGGTGATGCTTCGGAAACGCGAAAGTAGCATCCCCATCGAGCAGCATATACATGGCTCATGCGTAACGTACAAATCGAGGCCTGTGCACAGATACCCACCCTTCGAGGACTTGAGTAGATTAGGCAATTGAAAGAAATGCGATTCAAGTGAGGTCAATGATATCGGGGTGGACTCTACTTCCGAAGGAGCAGAGACTTCCAGTTCATCGGTGGCAGGCTTGTTAAACGCCATTCGTTTTCTCGACACCATGTATATGCCCCGCATAACCGCATGGCTTTCGGGCCCAGCCTCATCGTCAATAGGATATTCCTTTTCCTGATGTTGTTTGCGCTCGTGCTCATGTTCGAGCGAAGCTTTCCACCACCTCGTATCCCCTGAAACTGCCACAACGGCATTCAATAGGTCGTTTGTGTCATCTGGCTTCCCGACTGTGAGTTCAGGGTCGACGATAACCACGCCTACACCACGGCCTCGACCGGATTGTAGGGTCTCATTCGCTACCTCCTTTGCTAAGGCTAAAAAGTAGCCTGCTCGGGAATATATTGAAGCTTTGGCTCGCACAAGCTGGACTTGAGGCGGTGCGTGGGCTGCAACTCGTGCTGCAGGGTTATATATCGTGGACCATTTTGTGCGGGACCATTCGAGTGCTTCGGCAGGCGTTGTAGGTGGTTTGGTGGAGATGAATGTCTTTTGGATCCGGACTGTAGGTAGCTTTTCTAGTTCTAGTGACGATGAGGGTTGTTCCGTGGTGGTGGTGGTGGTGGTGGTGGTGGTGGTGGTGTCGGATCCACTGTGACTGGGCGGTGATATTCTCGGGGTATACGGTGCCAGTAGGGATTGCAGCTCTGATATCTCTGGCAAAGGTGGTGGGATGAGCACATGGATTGAAGCAGTGGGCTTTGGTCCTTGGGCCTCCTCAAGCTCCTGTCTCAAAGGGTCCGGGAGATTTTCTGGCCGTAGTAGCCTGCGCAGATGGGACCGGCTGACTTCAGGGTTTCTCGGGTAATGGGTATCAAGTAGTTTGACGACTACATTGGACGACTTTATGTCGATCTCAGCGACGTATGCTTCTTCTATAGGTCTGTTAAAACACGGCCTGCTTCAACATGGTGGAGGGTGAGGCGATTCTAACCAAATGAATCAACTGGCCGAAGTTCCTGGATAGAAGGCAGAGTGTCCAGTTCTCCCTGTAAGGGTTTGATACCCCTTAATCTTTCCTCAACTGCCATGGTACGGGTATGGAAGCCGGCTTTGATAGAGTGATATGACTATATGCTGAGTTAGTCATACGGCAGTGTATCCCGGTAGAAGGAGAAATGGGTCTGTCTATGTACCTTTGGGCGGAAGATTAGCTGTGGCAAGACAGACTGCACAACGGCATGTTGTAGTTTGTAGAATGTTCCAAGTACTACCATCGACATGCATGGGCCGTCAAGTTATCGTCCGTAGCTGTCAAATGTTGTGTGCAATGCTATGCTACACTTAGTAGTCGCGGTTGGGAAGAGAAGTTGGAGTTGAATTTTGTGCCAAGCCCTGGTTGCCCTTAACTAAAACTCCACTCATAGATCGGCAAAAAGGGGGATGTTGAACACTCCAGTATTGTCATGGTGATGCATTGAATATTTGTAGTAGTAGGTGTGAATAGGATACAGAGAGCTATGCATGGTCGCTTGTATACTGCAGGTAGTATTGATATAGGCGGGGGGGCCCAGACCAGAATAGAAGAGGAGAGAGTAGCATTAACTAATTGCAGCGCCATGTGAAACTGGCGCTGTCTGACAGTTGACTCTCTTTGCGTGAGAACTATTTACCACACGTATGTATAGATCAAAGATTGAACGGAAAAGCCCAGTAAAGCAGCTCCAGCCGTTTTTCTAAAATTATCTATTTGCATAAAAGAATAAACACGAAGAGAACAAACCCAAACGCCTGAAGCCCGCCAGCCGAAAAAAAAAAAGGGGGGGGGGGTTGTGAAAAGAGAATCCCGAACCAAGCATTGCATGAGCTAGAACGTGAAGAGAACGCGGAATAACCCAGTATTATAGCGTTGGGTTGATTATTATGAGCTATGTGGAAGAAGATGGCGTGCTCTGCGTCGAGACTGGTTCGGTCTTTTCAGTAGTGGTGGTGGTGGTGGTTGAAGGCTCAGGTTTTACGTGGGATTTGGGTTGAGAGTCGGTTGGCGCAGAGGAAGCAGCTGGTGCGGGTCTCGGGACAGGTGCAGAAGCAGCAGGAGGAGCAGCAGCAGGAGCCCGGATTGAACGAGCACCTCCGGCTGCCGTGACTGCCGGGGGGATGGGCGGAGGAAGCTCTGGTTGCATCTCGTAGTCGTCGCAACGCTCGACCAGGCTGAGATAGTAGTCAACAAGGACCTCTGGCTGGGGGACGATACGCCATTCCACCCGCCAGAGAAACTCTAGCTCCAGGAGGGCCAGTTCCTCCACGCTGATACCTCCCACTCGGGCGTATGTCTTGTTGGTCCAAAAGCTGTCACTGAGCCCCTTGCTGGCGACGGTGGCACTGCTGATGAGGAACCGGTGGACGGTCAAGCTGGAGATGGTGAAGGCCGGGTACAGCGCGCAAAGACGGTCTATGTAGTACACCATGCTTAGCAGGATGGGAGGCGAGAGCGTTGCGTGAGTGGTGAGACGCTGCAGGTAGTCCTGGACCGATATCCGGGGCGGAGAGCGGGAGTGAAACCGAGTCAGCCTGCCGTCCCGGAGCGGGATCTGGTCGTTGAAGCGGATGAGCTCCATGATCATGCTTGAGATCAGGACTACCAGGTCCCGCGGGTCTGCAGCTTCATAACGTCGAGGGAGAAGCTTGACCGGGGGTTTGGCAGGCCTTAACCTCTTGGAGGCCGAACCTTCCGGCGGCCTGTCATCATCGTCCAATTGCTGCCGGCGCTGGTTCTGCTGGCGTGCCTGTTGCTGTTGCTGTTGTTGCTGTGGCAGTTGTCGTTGTTTGCTGTTGCTGCTGCTGCCGTTGTTGTTGTTGTTGTTGTTGTTGTTGTTGCTGGGAGTGAGTATTTCTGGAGAGAGCTGGAGCGGACGCAGGTCCGGGGGCCGCAATCACTTTCGTCGCATCTGGAGGGGTGCGTTTGGTCCCTATAGCAGTGCCCGGCATACGTGAACTCTCACCGGCGGCAGCAGTATCAGACGGGGTCGAGGGGCGAGAGTACTGGGTGCCCGCATCTACCGTCTGCCGCTTGAACGTCGTCCGCAGCTGCTCGATCTCGGGCGAGGAGCAGGAGCCGCTGTCTGCCGGATGCTGATGCTGCTGCAGCTGGCTGGTCTCTGTCTGCCGCGGCGAGGAGCGAGGAGTGGTCGAGGCCAGGAGAGGAGACGGACGCTGCTGGAGGCTGCTGTAGCTCTGCTGATTCTGCTGGTGATTCTGGCTGGAGCTGAGGTTGTGGTTGTGGTTGTGATTGTGGTTGTGGTGAGGACGAGAGTTCGGCGAGGCGCGTAGCAGCGCGGCAGTGGTCGGCGACAGGGAGGCGGCGGAGGAGGCCATCATCGCCGCCGCTGCGAGTCTGCGTCTGCGAGTTCTTCTTCTCCGTCTCCTTCTCGCTGCTGCTGCTGGAGTCGCTGCTGGAGTCGCTGCTGGCGATGTGCATGGAGGGGCGCACGTGGGCGAGGAGCACAGGGTCTATGGCGAGGCGGCAGGGGCGAGCGTGCGGGCTGCAGCGACATCGAGCTGCGCATCGTATAGCAAGGAGGGAGGAGGAGCAGGAGGAGAAAAGGGCCCAGGGACACAGAGAGAGAGAGGAGAGTCAGGGCAGGCTGGGCGCAGGTCAAGAGGATATCAGAAAAGAAACGAGACGAGGCCAGCAAAAGCGCGAAGGGAAAAGACGAAGACGAAGAAGACAACGAAAAAGCCTTAAAAGGTCGAAGACTTGAAGTTGCAAAAAAGAAAAAAGGAAGTTTTTGCGGTGTTTATTTTTTTATTTTTATTTTTATTTTTATTTTTTGCAAAAAATAAAACTGCAAAAAAAGGGAAGGCGGTGGCGGGCGGCAGAAAAGACAAAAGGGGAAACGCCCTTCCTTTTAGGGTTCAATCACGTGAGAAGAGTATAGAGTCATGTGATCTGGAGATGTGATGACTAAGGAGGTAAGCAGCGGCGACGGTGATTGGCTAGAGATTGCCGGGCCAGACCGAGTCCTGATTAGATAAGATGATCGGCGCTAGGCTGCTTTGGGACAGCATTTCGCTTAGATAATTAGGTTACCTAAGCAGTCCTCTTTCGGGCAAGACGACGACGGGCGTCCTTTTCTTGGGCGGCCAAAGAGAAAGAACAAACATCTCTCTTGGAGCGCAGAAGAAGAGACACAAGACGCCAGCCAGACTCAAAGGAGAGCGAGAAAGCGTGAGTGGGTGCCGACATGGACAGTTGTGGGCTCCTCGCTGGCAGGGGTCAACTTCGAGAGCTAACTAACTACTTACTCTTAACTTCCTAGTTGTCTATTCGGGTCTTTAACTTCTTAACTCACCGAATCCTCTCCTGCCAAAACGCCGGAGTCGAGCTCCCTCGCTCGATATCCTACCCTACCTACCGCAGGCCGTGTGGAATAACTACCTGCGTGACGATCTCCGCTGCATCTGCTTTGTTTCTTCTTCTCCCTGTTTGCCTCCCCGGCCCTCCTGTTCTCGGCTGTCCTACACCGTTTTCTCGTCCCGCCTGCCTCAGACACCAAAACACAAGAGCCAGGCAAAGAATCGAGAGAAGCTGTTCATTCCTCCGTCTTTTTCCATCCGGTAGTACTGCGGGCTGGCCTCACGTCGTCAGTCTGCCTGCCTTGATACTTCTTGCAGGATGACGAAAGTCGTTAGCCCGCACCTCCTCGACGATGTTCGCAACGCGGACTCAACCGCTGGTCGGATTGCCGCCCTCCGCGCGCTCAAGAACGATATCATCGGCCATGACCAGAAGAAACAGGCCTGGACAGAGCTAGGCGTCCTGCCACTCCTCTCAGATGTCCTGTTGAGCCGCCGTGGCGTGGCCAGGAAGGCCGACTTTCAGAGCCCGAAACAGCACACGACAGAGGAGGATGAGATGTGCTTCCAGGCCATTACCATTATCGGCAGCCTCACCCTTGGTATGCGCCTTTTTTTTTTTTTTTTTTTTTTTTTCCCCTTATTGCTATTCTTCTGTTTGATCTGTATCAGGCATGCTAATTCTTACTTTCTTGCTAGGTGGACCGGCGTATACCGCGCCTATTTTAGCTGGAGAGACCATACCCTCGTTGCTCTCCGTACTATCATCGCCCTCCTGTCCTCGATCCCTCGCCCTCGCTGTCCTTCGAACCCTCAACACCATTGCGGATCAGCTTGCCTTGGTATATCAAAATGTAGATAACCAGACACAACCCATGGGCGCCCTGCTCTTCACCCGCAAGTATATCCCTACTTTCCGTGGCATTCTACAGCAACCAGCCAACTCTCCCGGTGCACAACCTTGCATAGAGCTTGTAGCAGACCTCATCTCGAAGACATGCTCCGGAGAGCAGCAGAAGAGCCTTCTAGCTGAGTGCGGCATTTTGGATGTCCTAGGTTTAAGGCTGGCAGCTTTCGTCGTTGCGGGAGGGTTTGTTCTTCCCGGAGCAGAGAACTCCTGTACCAACTCCGGCGCATTGGGATACATACCGGATCCTGCTCCGGCCGATGCCAAACTAACTCCCATTCTCCATGCGATTGCCGTCATCATCGAACAGTCCGCGGCTCGTGCAGAACATCTCTTGACATGTCCCGCTTTGGTCACCGTCTTTCCCCGGTCATTCTATGACCTCTACCTCGGCCAGGCTAAGAAAGGCCCATGGAAATCTCCCTATTCATCCGGTTATGGCTTTACCAAACGCAACGTCTTGAATCCCATTGATTCCCTTCTCCCGTCAGTGCAGCCAATGCAAAACAATGGCTCATCCAATTTCCCCCCATTGGGCTCGCAACCTCAGTATGACAAGCGAGGGCAGTTCTTTGGCCCTCAACCGCCTTGTACCGACAGTCCTGCTCCAGAAGAGCCAGAGAGCGTGTTGGTATCCTGGTTGCTTTATGTTGCCCGAGCAGACCGTGGTTACGTCCGTCTCATGGCAGCTCGAATACTTGCCACCCTATTCCGCCATCATCTCCTGAAAAAGAGCCGCGTCCCGATGCTCGGATTTCTCTTGGTTCCGCTCCTAGTTAGAATGCTCGACAGTGCTCACCATGCTGAAGACTCGTCCACTTTCGATGGTTGCGTGAACTCAATCACTCTGCGTGTTAAAGAGGAAGCTCCCGCTGTGCTAGCCTCCCTGGTCATGGATAGCCGAGAGCTGCAAAAATTTGCCGTCGATAGCGGTGCTATCAAGAAACTCACCCAAATGCTGAAAGAGTCGTTCGCGCCAACTTCAGAAGCCGGCACTCCCATGTGGAGTACAACAAAGAGACCTGCCACAGTTCTAGTTCAGTCAACAGACTCAGACACGTCTTTGGGACCCCCAGGATTCACCCGCCAGGCCCTCTCCAAGATAAAATACCGAGAAGCCATTCTCAAAACCCTGGCAGCACTCTCCTTGGTTAATGATGATTACAGAAAGGCTATATGCGATACTGGTGTTGTTCAGCATATCATTGACTCGATGAAACCCTGGAATCCAGAGACAACAGTTCTAGGAAACAAGACTTGCATTACCGAATTGGAAGGGAATACAACGCCAGTCATACTTGCAGCTTGTGCCGCTGCTAGATCGTTGACTCGATCAGTCAGTGTGCTTAGAACCAGCTTGATTGATGCCGGCATTGCTGCGCCAATATGTGACTTGGTTAAATCCAGCAATGTCGAAATACAGATTGCGGCCACTTCAGTAATGTGTAATTTGGCCCTTGATTTCAGCCCAATGAAGGAGGTATGTATATAAATATATATATATATATTTCGTAAAAATTATCCCTTTCATGATTGAATCACTCTTCAAGCTAACCTACTTGCAGGCTCTTCTTGAGGCAAACATGGTCCCGCTACTGTGCGAAAATTCCCATTCACCAAATGCAAACCTTAGAATAGAATCCCTCTGGTCTCTCAAGCACATTTCCTATAATGTACCGAACAAGATGAAGAAAGATATCCTAGAGGCTCTTGGTATCGAGTGGATCAAACAGGTTCTCTCTCACGACCCTAACGATCCTCTCAATGCCAGGAGACGACAGGACGACATTGCAAGCGAGTTGCCATCCTCACTCATAGAGATGGGCACCTCAAATTCATTTGGCGAACAAGTAGACATCCTCAACCCGGTGATACCCAGCAGCTTGGAATCAGAGTCTCCTATGATGGACTTCGATGGCCATATTCCAGATAGTTCGATAACCTCGAAACCTGACGTTGATACTCATTCCGCCGAGAAGGTTCGGAAGCGCAGATTGGCGCTGAATGGAGATTTGGACCAGACCAAGAAACTACGCCAAGACGATACGCTAGCACAGGAGGAGCTTTTCGACTTGCTTCGAAACATCATGTGTGGCCCGGGAGCGCCCGATATGATCGACTATCTTCTCCAGAAGTTCGGCCAGACCGACTTCCTAGATATCCTTGCAAGCAAACTCCGTCCTAGACCCCTTCCCACCGCCAACGCCTCTATAGCTTCCTTCAAGGACAAATCAACCACCTCACAGCAAAAATCAATACTCCACCCTACCGAAATAATCCGCGCAGTGACTTATGTCCTGATCCACATTGCCGCTGGCGTCTCGCGACATCGCCACCTGCTAGTCTTCCACCAAGACCTGCTCAAACTAACCATGGCCTTGTTAAGCCACTCGAACTGGCAGATTCGGGCCAATTGCGTCTGGATAGTGATTAATCTCACTCTTGATGATGACAAGACCGATAGAGCTAGCCGGGTTGAGCGTGCCATGAGGCTGAAGAGCCTAGGGGTTATGGAACGTCTGAGCAGTTTGGAAATTGATAGCGAATCCGACGTTAGAGAACGGACAAAAACGGCTTTGGATTGGATGAAGACGCTCTTGGGCCAATAAAATGCCGTCTAACCTGTTAGTTTCTCATGATGATGTATCTATTTTAGCCACTCCTTATGCTTCATAATGTGTAGAATATATTTTACAAAAGAAACATCTTCATTTCACGCTGCTGTCCTCATGATATTCAGGGGTGGTATTCGAAGTGAGTGAAACACGTGATGGGCCAGGCCTGCGCGATGAGCTCATAGTCAACGACTTCCAGGGATGACAAACAGGGCCAGAAGCCGGATAAAACAACATTCTTCATCAGAATATCAGTATAAAGCGACTATCGTCTCTCCAACACAGATAAGCGCAGAAAAGATGCCTCGTCCAGCTGGTAAAGCTCCTAGATCTGTCCTCAAGGCTCTCTCTCTGCCCCTAGATGGGGCTGGGACGTCCTTTACGCCACTTCATGGAGGGTCGGGCTTCGCTCAAACAGCCCACCTTAAGGCCTCAATTTCCAGCACAGGCAAGGATGAAAACAAATCCAACCAAGAGAAAGATTTCTTCGTGAAAATATCATCATCCACCTCGTCGTCATCTCTCCCAGAAGAAGGAGCCATGTTTAGAGGTGAATATACAAGCCTTAATGCAATCTCCGGTGCGGTTCCAGATATGTGCCCTCGGGCAATTGCATGGGGTGAAGTCAAAGATGACGACGATGATAAGAATGGTGGAGCAATACCCAAGGCATCGTCAAGCTGGTTTCTTGTCACGGAATTTTTGCAGCTGGGTGGCACTCTCGGCCGCAGACCAGCTTCAGACCCAGCCAGCTTAGCAGCTAGATTGGGCAAATTACATTCCATCCCGGCACCGGCCCCACCATCCAGTGAGGAGGTCAGGCAGGCAGCAACTACAAATCTCAAGTTGAATGGTGCAGAAGGTGATGATGGAAACGTGGAAGATGCGAGAGTGCCTCAATTTGGGTTTCCAGTCCCGACTTTCTGTGGGGATGTAAGGCAACCCAATCAATTTAGACGTTCGTGGGCAGATTTTTACGCAAATCAACGGTTGAGAACCGTCCTTGAGGAATCTGAAAGAAGGAACGGGAAAGATAAACGTTTACGAGATCTGGTGGAAAGGACTGCCCAGGAAGTCGTTCCTCGCATATTGGGCGATGACCACCTTGGGTTCGACAAGGCAGGGAATGGGAAACCGGTAACTCCTGTTATTGTCCATGGGGATCTCTGGAGCGGCAACACTGATGTAGGGAAGATACGCCGCGCGTCTGCGGGACAAGCTAGTGAAGAAGCTGTGGTAGGTGACGTGGTCTACGACCCATCCTCATGCTACGCCCACAGTGAATTTGAACTGGGTATCATGAAGATGTTTGGCGGGTTTGGGAGCCAGTTCTTCAAAGAATATCACCGGATTGTGCCAAAAACCGAACCGGTAGAAGAATACGAAGACCGGATTGATCTATACGAATTGTAGGTTTTTTTCACTCTCAGAATTACAAATCAAAAATCCGACAAGGAACGCTGACGTCTTGGTATATTTCCTAGATATCATCAACTCAATCATAATGCCATTTTTGGTGGGGGGTATGGCCTATCTGCCATGTCCACAATGCAAAGGCTGTTAAAAAAATATGGAAAATGATAATCTAGACATTTCCTCTTTTTGAGGGCGCAAAAGGGGGTATTTCATTCTACCTATGACGAAGAAGTTCAAGGTACACCCTTTCCAACCCTTGTTGCTTTTGCCAATTCACTCTGAGCAACATCATCTGCATAGCGTTTATAAATAGGCATAGAGTGTTCTTTATCACTCATAGTCGAAGCCACACTTTCCCTTGTCTCAACTGCTGCCAACCACATTCTCCACCTATTCCAAACCACCTCATCATTCCCTCCTTCGCCTGGAGCCGGTATACCTAGCCCACCTTTCTTGAATTGATCAATAATCCAGAATCTAATCGCCAAAGGTGCGAGCATTATATCCGGCATCATAAAATTGCTTCCGTGAAAGAAAGGACCAATCTCATCCATCGCCAGGATGAACTCCTTTAAATGACCAAGGAACTCTTCTCTGGCTTTGTTCAATCCCTCCTCTTCACCCTGATATTGGAGAAAACGGTAGAAAGAAGGGGTGATTCGCGAGGTCACATAGTCGATCCAGATACGTCCCCTTGCCTTTTGGTATGGATCTGCCGGGTGCAATGGCTGTTCCGGATTGGGGAATGCATCTTCAAGATACTCATTGATCACTGTGGATTCATATAATGGCTTAACGGCGGTCGACCCATCTGGCCGGATAGTTGGACAGGCAAGCGTCGGTACTAAACCCCGTGGATTAAGGGCAAGAAGAGAGTCCGGTTTTTTATAAGGATTCACTTCGATATATTGATATGGGATCTTTTTCTCCTCAAGGACGATCCATACTCGCTGGACTATAACTCGTGTGTTAGGGCCACCTTTTATCAAGGTATGTTCTTTGTTTATATGGAGAGATTCGAGAGTAGTATCATACCGAACCTATTTCCTGGTTAATAATTGTCAAAGAAACTTGTTATGAGAAGATGGCATCCTTTTATGTCCATCTGTTAGAGAATGAAATTTGAAACATACGGGCAAAACCAGCCTGAGTATAACTTGAGTGGCTGCTCTTTGGAGTGCTTGTCAACAACCTCCTTCGCTCGACCGGTTGCAGTTGGGTGGATATCAGCATCAGGGGGAAGTCCCATTGTTTCTAGATATTTTCTCCTCTTTTCCTTTGAGGGAATTGAATTACCAATCCGTGTATTTCAAGTGCTTTGACGGCTTTTTATAGAGCAAACTACAATATTATGCATTATTAATCATGAGGTCATTGCTAAGCTAAGTAGGCTTGGAAGTACAAGTTTAAGGTACATGTGTCTACTACTAGCTAAAGTTTCTTATCTGTTTATGGTGGAACTATCAAAGATAGTATTGTATTGCTTTATCGGTAAATAGAGATTGTATCTTAGAATATCAAATTTGTCGTAAGGTGGTTCAACTTTCCGTTCTATTTACATCTGTGGAATATTTAAGCAGAAGACAAGTCAAATTTGATAGGGCTCCTATAACGCTAAGGTGCCGTAGAGCTACATGATAGAACAAACAAGCACCATTTAGAAGTTTAAAAGTATAGTAACATTAATAGATGCCTCCTTATAGGAGTATCTTATTGCTGTGCTGCCACTCTCCTTGATTGTCCGCCTTCATCTATGTCTCCTTTTCTATGAAAATTGAACCTTAGATTAGGCTCGTTAGAGGTGGGAAACAAAGGCCATTTGTGTTCCAAGTTGCTGTTCATATAAACATAGTGTTTCTATCATATATATAAGAACAGCAAGCATTATTCTATCCATTGTAGGTTTATGGGACTAAATCTGTCTGCCTATGGTTTCTAGCACATCAGCAATATTATTACGTGCCTGATATAGGGTATATAACAGGCTAAACTGCATATCTCTGAAATGTTCCATTGCGAAAGCTGTGGGGTATTAATGGCCTCAGAAGAGGCCTACCGAGCACATACATGCGAAGGAAATGCTATAACATGTCCAAAATGCCACCTGGGATTTGGTAGTTGGTATACTTTTCAAGAGCATGAAAGATACAATCATTCGTGGTATGAAGAAGTGTCCATTATGATGACCTAAAAGTCAAAACTAACATAGACATAGGAATGTCCAGGGCCATATCGGACCTCAAGTCTCCCCTACGAAAGAATTTCCCGACATGAGCCAGGATTGCAGCGTCAACACGTCAATTCATAACAGATTGCCACGTCGCCTTGGTGGTCATGACACGCTGATGGAGTCTTCGCATTGGAATACAGGGCAACACAACGTAATCCGCCCAACCCTGGGAAGCCTTCTTGATCTGCAAGATGATGAGACGAGCGGGGTTCAGGTTGCCAACATGAAGAGCAAACAGGGCATCACATCCGAGTCCTTGAAGACTTTTCTTAGAAACCGTGACTTCGACCATGCAATTCTAGACAGGAAGCCAGGCCAAGCTCTCAATAAAACGGCACTACCCGAAAAAGCTTGTAATTTAGGGCCACCATCGCCTAGTAGGCAGGCCCATCTATCCGAGAGAGGATGCTGGTGTAGTCCTGATAGTTCACCATCACAGCCAGTCTCGACAACCAGCTATAGAATCATCTGCTTCCAATGCGAAGCGGGCTTCAACACCTTAATAGGGCTTCAGCATCACCAGATGACCGAAAACCACAATTATTGCGGCCTTTGCCACGCTTATTTTGCGGATGGGACATTCCTGGACAAGCACGTAGATGTGGCACATAATTTCAAATGCCCAACATGTGCTTCGGTATCTGCAAGTGTTGATGAGCTGTGGGCTCACCAGCAAGCAACAAACCACAGTTTTTGCGGTGCGTGTTGTTGCTACTTCCGAGACGAGAGTGTCCAACGCAAACACAATCTTGTATACCATATGCGCATGCCATGCCCGACTTGCAAACAGGTGTTCCAAACCCAAAAGGAATTAGAGCAGCACCAACGAACAATTCAACACTGCTACTGTGATCAGTGTGACGAGATCATGAGTAGCCAGTCCGGCTTCGAAAGGCATGTGGCAACGTCGCATATTTATAAGTGCATGGCAGCCCAATGTCTCTTTTCGGCAGCGAAGTTGAATTCCCTGAAGGACCATCAAAAGCAGGAGAAACATAACTTCTGCTCGCCATGTAATCGCTCTTTTACGGATGGTCTTGCCCTTACCAACCATTCCAAGACGGAAAAGCATCTGAGAAAGGCACGTAGTGAACAGAGTGGGAATAATCAGGTATCCGGATGAAATGCTCATGGAGCGGTTGGTCTACATCGCTGCCGGGGTATTTTGTAGGAAAAATCGTTAGCTTTCATGTAGCTCTCGTTGGAGTATCCTAAATAACCAGACGAGAAAATCCACACTAAACGACAGATCATTCTTGTAAAAACGATAGAGATCATTGTTTTCGAGAAAGGAGAACTCTAGATGATATGTATGTTAAGAGTCGGGTTTGGCGCGGCAGGACTGCCTTTTCCGGAAATACATTTTGCCGCGCGCCAACCGTCCATAGGTGCCGGCCGCGAGCTTTCAACCGCGCTTTTCTGGAAAGCTAGTCTATCCTGCTGGATATATTTCAACACCGCTACAGCTGACTTGAATGCACCAGACGACCGGCATTGAAATATGTCGCCGACGGCGAAGGAGAGTACCCCAGAGGCGCAGCCGGCAGATGTAGCACCGGTGGCACCTCACCCATCCTTTATACAGGTCGCCAATCCCTATATATTTGAAAAAACAGTGCAAGATTGCTTTGCTGCGACGGGGGTTAATCCTCTCCGGGAAGACAGCAATCGACTCCAGGGAATTACCTGGATAGATAATGTTCGCAAAGCCCTTCACCTGTATGTGTGATTCTGCTATTTGTCTTTGGCCCTATCTCTGGTTTCTTTACTCAACTCGCTAATCAATACCTCCAGGCCGGTCAGGACGTTCAACACAGCGTCAATCTACTATCACAAATTCCGGCTGGTCCACCCGGACAATGAGTATAACTACATAGTATGTATCACGACTATGTTATTACCTGCTAGCAGCTGTTTCTAGAGGTTCTTTTTACTCACAAGTTTACGGTTACAGGAAGCGGCTGCTGCTGCTCTATTTACCGCGTGCAAGATCGAGGACACGTTAAAGAAATCTAGAGATATCCTATGTTGCTCGTATAATCTTAAACTACCTCCAACAGAACAATTATCTGCCGATGACCCGGTATTTACAGACTGCATTAGACATTCATACGTCCCACGAAACGTTTATTGTGCCGCCTTTCTAACTATGGCATTCGCAGATTTTTGAAACCCATTCTCGGTCTATTATCGGTCTTGAGAGACTGATGCTGGAATCCTCTGGGTTTGATTTCCGAAATCGTCACCCTCAGAAGATCCTGATGAAACTTACAAGGCAGTGCGGCCTTGATAAGGATTCCAAAGTTGGTCGAGTCGCATACACTATAAGTTTGGATCTGTACAGAACTTTTGCCCCTCTAAAGCAAACATCTGCTACCATGGCCTTTGCCTGTCTCGAGCTAGCAGCCAGGCTTCTCGAGGAGCCGGTAGACAAGATACACTCGGAGGAAGAATATAAATTATGGGAAACATCCAGAGCTGAAGTCATGGGTATGAAGTTTCCTAATTTCCCGCCTTATCATCGTTTATTATTCTGACCAGGTAAATTCTAGAAACCATACTCGATCTGCTTGAACTATACACGCATAATCGATCATCAACTTCAGTTGGCCCTGACTTTAGCCTCGACGTATTCTTAAATATCCGCATCCCGTTAAACGAAGAAGCGGACTCCTATAAGATTCCACGGTTCGCTTACTGGAAGAAGAGGAAGGCAGACAGCAATGGCGTATCGAACGGGACTTCTTCAAAGAAATCTAAAAATAGCCATCACCGACACAGCAAAGACCGCCCCGAAACACCTCCCGCACCGCCCATAAACCCAATGATGCCTACTGCGGCTCATGATTCTGTTGCTAAAGCCCACGAACGCAGCCGAGACACAGCGATTCGGTTTATGTTGGATCCTGAACAGGCGCAGGCTGAACGTGAGACCGTGTCAGCGTACTTCAAGGTCGAAATGGAAGAATATGAAGTTGAGGAGTGAGTGCTGTAAGATACACTATAGTGGAATTCAGCTCTCAACCGAGGGCTAGGCGAGAAGACTGCTGCGTTATCTGGCACACAGCATTGTTGTGATTGATATCGACAGCCTCTTCCAGTGTGGATGTGAAGAGAGACACTCCACATATGGCCATCCTGGGTACATGCTGTCACAGCTGCGCTGTGGCCAAAGCTTTCTTGACCCAGAAGCTGAGCCATTTTGAGACCTGGCCGAATATCTGATGATTTGGACGAGAACTAGCCGTCTTGCCTCGATTCTACGTCCTGCTTGTAATGTTTCATGGGAATAGGTATGGTTGGAAGAATTCCTGATGAACCATCCCCCTTATGGCAAACTTGTGTTCTATTCCCCAACGGAGAGACATAATGAGCTACTAACTAAGAAATGCCCACTATTTCGGAGAGCTACAAGGGAGTTAGTTTTGGTTGTACAAAGATAGCTATGGCAGATGGAAGCAGAAACTATTAGCGACGATACCAGGAAGCAATGCAGAACAAGCCATTTATCAAAAGCAGAGATATTTTCATTTCATAAGAGGTAAAAGGAGTTGCCGTTAAGCTCCTGGCAGGAAAGAATTGCTGTAAGAGATGATATGAGAAGGTGATCCACGTTCGAATGAGAAGCCTATACAATTATGATGTAATGCACCGGTTATCTTTTTGGGGTTCGGAGTGAAGGAGAATAAAATGATGCAATAAAACAGGATTAGGAGAAGGCCCAAAATATTCATCAAGTGATATGTTGAATGATACAAGTCGAAGTAGAAAGACGAGAAAAACCAGCGGGTAAAAGAACATGACATAATAAGGGCAAGCAGCCTGATAGCAGCATCAAGGGCGGCAACCCATTCTAGGACCAAGAAAAACAATCATCGGCGGAGTCGTCTATAATCTCCGTTCAAACATTCCACGAGCTATAGGTATGTTAGCAAGGCTGTATATCTACTGTTCTGGCCGAGATACTTACTGATTCAGAGACAACACCCTGGTTGTACAGGTACTTGCTCAGCCCCTTGATAAGTTCTATCTGTTCATCAACCGTTAAGCCGGTGATAGCGTTCTCGATGACCCCTCCAACGCTAGCCTTGTGAACGGCAATGAAGCTGTGGTAGTACATGTAGGCGAATAGGCCCATGATGAACTGGCAGTCCATTCGGTCAGTAATACCACCATGGCCGGGAATGGATTCTCCGAAGTCCTTGATTTTGAACGTTCGCTTCAGCCCAGAGGCGAAGAAGCCGCCGAACGGAGCAATAAGAGAGGCAAAGGTAGAAAGGACAAAAACGTGGAATTGGACCGGGGCAATGTGGAAGGTCTTGTTGATGTGAGTCCATTCTGGCATGGTGTATGGCTGTGCTTTGAAGCAAGGATTGGGAGTGCACTCGAGACCGGTCAGGAGGTTGGAGCCCAAATCATTGACTGGGCAAGTGAAATATTTGTACTGCTTCAGGAGGATTGTTGCGCCGTAGCCGAATATAACTGTGCATACCCAAGCGCCGACAAAGCCCTCGACGGTTTTCTTAGGGGAGAGCTTGATCAACTGGGTCCGGCCGAATGTGATTCCACAGATGTAGGCAAAGATATCATTTGTAATCACAAGAGAGACGGGGATACAGAACCAGATCAGCCCTTCGAAGATGTTGTTTAGGACAAAGTGAGCCTGGACAACAATGAGATATAGGGCCATGTGAGTCCACGCAAACTGGGTAAACTGGAATTTGTAGTGTCCCTTTTGCAGTGTTGCAACAAAGAAGACAAACCCTATAGATACCTGTTAGTTTATTTCAGACAGATATATATATGTGTATGTGGGTGTGTTGCATGGGTCCGGACTCACCTATAAGGTAGAGCATAAAGCTGATAAACCGATGATGTGTTGCAAAAGGGAGCAGGATCCTGTCAACCAGGAGGATGTGCTTGAAGTAATAGAGCACACTCTCTCCATACAAGAAGTACATTGTTGTCACGAGGAAGTACCAGTTGAGAGACTTTGTGAACTTGAGGTTTCTGGCCTTGCTGGGGACGTTGGCAATGGCGATGACCTCCTTGAAGGAGACGATCTGAATGGCGGTGACAACGATGATCAGGTAGAGGTGGCCGGCGAAGATGATGACGAAGAAGCCGGCAATCATGACAAAGGTCCATATCGTCCGGGTGATGAACGTCTGTCTCTTCTTCTCAAAGTCGGAGAGCGGCTGCTGCGGCTGCGGCTGCTGCTCTTTCTCGGATGTCGTCTGCTACCAAAATCCACCGCCAGCGTCAGCACAGGAACAAACGGCAAGGGGCCAAACAAGAACTGCAGGTGAATCCGCATACGGTGGCCTCCATTTTCTGAGGTATCACGCTGGTATCCTCTCTGCTGGGGCTCTGGACGTCCGAGGCGTCGCTGTCTTCGGACGACGGGTAGTTTGTAGTCTCGGGGCTCGTAGCGAGCGATTCCTGCGCGCGGAGATTCCTCCTGCTTTTGCCCATAGTTCAGACCTCGCGGCTCGTCGGTATCATCAACCTGTGGGAGTCTGCCAAAGAAGTTAGCCTGGACGGAGTATCGTTCGACAGTCTGCGGGCGGCCTCTGCTTGCTCTCCGGGGGGATTTGTAGCACGCGAGGGCCCTTCAGGGGCCAGCGGAGGGCCGGAGAGAGCGTACCTGGACAGCGCAACTCCCTCTTCGTGGCAGCGGCAGGCGAGGAACGGGGGCGAGTCTAGCTGGAGACGCGGACAGGACGGCGAAGCTGTGCTTGCTTCACGGCAAACCGACTGGGAGATTTTGGATGTCTTTTTTTTTTTTTTTTTACTAACTAGTTGGTTGGTTGTTAGTGAGATCGCTGGTGGACCTTTTGGCGGCGGCTCCCAGGGATGATATTTTCTGCGGGCGAGAGATTGGTCAGCCCGCCAGCAACAACAGCAACGTCTGCGGCGACAGCTTGAGGGACGCTGGACTCATCGAAGCAGAGTAAGAAGGCTCTCCAGGCATCAGGGGCCGTGTCGACTGTCTGTCAGAGTGCCCAAGGACGTAGCAGAGCTCCAATCAGAAGGGCCGGCCAGGGTCTGAGCTGAAGCTGGCTGCGCCTCCGATCCTCCTCGACTCGCGCAAGTCGCATCCTATCGCCTGGGATGAAGCAGCAGACGAGGGCGGTTCTGATGGGATGGAGGACGATAACTTCTGGGACGACGGGGTCGACGATTCCGCGTACGATGCGCTGCTCGAGCTGGAGCAGGATGCATACCGAACAACGCAGCAAGGGGCCGTGGTGCCGCCATCTATAGAGACACAGCAGCAGCAACTTCAACAGCTTCAAGAGCTTCAACAACATGATCAGCCTGCCTCACGGCCTGTCCGGCCTTCACTAATTCGCCATTCGACGAGCAATACCTCGAGCAGCACTGTCGAGCAGAGGAGGAGACGGCGGAACCCCACTCAGCATCTCCGGCCGGCGCTGAGCTTTGGGGATACGGATTATCAGCAGTGGGATGCCAGCGTTCTCGACAAGGACGACGGCCTGGATCTGGTGGACGAACAGGATGCTCTACTGGAAACTCCGGGAGAATCTGGCGAAGGAGGCGGCCAACAACTGGGCTATACCAGCACTTCTCTTGCGCCGGGACAATGGCGTCGAATTACGGCAGACGAGCCCGGTGTGATGGTAGAGCCTATGCAAACAGACGGGCTGCAAGGAAGCCATGCGGATACCTCGTTCCATACCCATCCACTCGCGGCTGCCCATGTTGAAGAGCTGAAGGACCAGATTGAACAGGTATGGGCTTTTATCTATACCTACCGATTGCTGAAGATACAGGAAGCTAATTGTATACATGTTAAAAAAAATAAAGCTGACTCGAGAGCGAGAAAGGCTTGCTCAAGAACTAGCAGCAGCAACGGCTTCAGAGGAAGCACGAGCTGGCGAGATTGCCATTATTCGGGCTAATCAGTTAAAACTTGAAAAGAATCACAACCGCCAAATCTCTGCTCTGAAAAGCGCCATGGAAGAGGAAACCAGGAAATACCGAGCAGAGATTGAAGCGGCTCTGATGGAGAGCAAGCGGCTGGCTGCTGAAAACGGATTTCTCAAGCATGATTTGCAAGAAGAGGCCTACCGCGCTTCTAAACTGCAGCATAACTTCCGGAACAAGCCCAAGGATGATAAGCCGCATCCTGCAACCCCAAGGAAGACCAAGTCCCTGCCTCTCAGGGACGGATTTGATGACGATGAGCTCATGGTGTCTCCTTCAAAGTCTGCCGGAAGGAGATCCAAGCGAGGGACCCCAATGACGTCGAACAAGCGGAAACGCGCAGTTGATGATTCCCCAATACCTCTTGCGCTTCAGCTGAGCCAGTCTCTCGGGGGTACTGCTGATGATAATGGGAACGCTGAAACTCCTGGAGGAGGAAAAGAAGAGACCCTTGCAGAGAGCCAACAAAAGCAGCAGCAGCAGCAGCCCAAGCGAGAGGACCGCAACATGCGGTACATGCGGCTTATCCTTAACCACCGTACATACCCAAGGAATGCTCCTGATATGGAAGTGTTTTCGAGCATGTATTTCCCGTCCGAGCCGGACCGCAAGTTCTCGTCGATTGTCATACAATCGATTACCGCGCAAAGCAGCAGCAACTATGCGGTGGACTATACCAAGGCCATAGCGTCGTTATGGTCACGCTCTTTGAAAGAGCATTTCCACAGCCCTATTGCCATGTTCATGTCAATAGTGAAATTCATACTTCACCTAGATCTGCATAAGCTGGCTCCCTGCGTCATCGAGTCTATTGTGCCAGTGCTCCAGAACTCCGGATACATCAATGGCGTGCCTCGGTTCACCAGTTCTCCTGTATCGCACGAAAACCTGGGGAAGGTCAAGAGGACGCCTCAGAAAAAGCTGGACCACCGTGTCAGCTCCACAGAGGCACTCGAGATACTCTACCTGATTGTCAGCGGCTGCCAGCAGAACAGACAGGCCCTGGAGCTGTTCTGGCGATGCGTGGGATACGACTTTATCCTGATCATGTTGAATTCCTACCAGCAGCTCAACGATATTATTCTGACGTTGAAGATTCTAGCCTGTGGCCAGCTGGCCAACACCTTTGGACCAATCTGTGACTCGGAGTCGCAGCAGCTAGAACATGAAAAGTACATCATTGACAGGGCAGCCAACCTGCTTAGCGAGCTGCCATCTTCCGATGAGGGAGAGAAACCGTACACGGCCTGGGAAATCACCACTCTGCGGGTTGAGGTGATGCTGTTCCTGAACGAGATTGCCTTTTCAATACCAAATCCAGAACGGAACCGGCTTGGTAAAATGATTGCCTCACATCCGAGTGCTCTAGCCCGTGCCTTTCGGTCTATGCATGATGAGCTTGATGCTATGTATTCGAACCCCCCAGAGCGGGACTTACACGCCACTTTGGTCAACGGTCTGACCCGCTTTGTATATGGTATTATCAAGTTGTTCCCTGGCCAGGTCGACCTACCTTCACGGCTCCGTGCTGTACCAGGGGCGGTACAGAAACACCTTGTTGTTCTGACCCGTTTGGCATTCAGTGAAGGATTGCTGCTAGAAGCCGGAATATCTGATCAGACTGTTGAGATGGCCCATGAGTTGCTAGAGGAGGCTATCAACCCACAGGAAGCAGAGGCACTGGTAGAGGCATTTCGATCAAGCAAGGCAGATGAATGATACGGTGCCAGCCATTTTAAGGTGATGACCTTCCGTGAGGTTCTAGTCTTCCTTTCTACTGTGCTACATATCTTAATGTAGCGCAGTGGACAGACATTCAAAAAGAAGACCTATCATGTCCCGCTCATCTAAAGGGAGCCTCCATTGAATGTCCTTCAGAAGCGGGTTCCGGATGGTTATATATATGTCCTTTACTAAAGGAGGCAGCTCACTTTGAGCCTTTTTTTTTTTTTTTAAAAAAAAAAAAAAAAAAGTCCTCCTGCTCTCCTTCTCTCTGCTTTGGCCAGTCAAGGTATCATCAACCCTCAGCTTCTCTGTCAACCACAAACAGTAAGTTGTCTGTTTGACCATATCCATCTTGTGAATGCTTGCTAACTTGTATCTGTTAGAAGCAAGCAAGCAAGCACAAACAAACCTACCTGCTCTTCTATCCTTTGAATATAAAAAAACAAGTGAAGAGTAAGTCCTTTCTTCCATGTATCATCAAAGACCAGAGACCTGACACGATGGATAGGAAAATGTCCTGCGAACAGTGGTCGGTCTTGTACTCCTGTGGCTGCGAGGTCACTTTGAGACGAGATAGCCCCGATTGCGATGGAACCTGCGGCGACGACGACACCCTCGTCTTCCTCCCTGATGAAAACTCCTTGGACGTCTGCGGAGACTGTAGTTGCCGCCCGGCGTACATGTCGCCCCCTAAAAGCAGCTCTGAGGAGGAAGATGACGACGAGGAGCAGGAGGAGGCTGAAGCTGGAGACGAGGACAAGGACGAGAACGAAGATGGCGAAGACGAGGACGACGATGAGGACGAGGAGTAGCTGTGCAGTAATTGCCCCGTACGCCGCCATGTTGGAATTGAGGCGCATGGAATTGGATCCTTCGACTCGGGTTCACTAAGCAAGGGTATCCGCGACTCCCCCGATGGCTGCCAGACAGGATAATAATACGGAGTAGCTGAATATCAGATGTCATCGCTGCCCCTGAGTAGCAGCCGTACAGCACATACTCCGTAATCTTAACACTCCGTAAATCTAACAACATCCCCATCTCCATCTCCATCTTATATCTTCTTCCATCTTCCTAATACAGTGGAATGACCCCCTGATGCGCTCAGGGCCCGCCTCTCTAGCGATGCCCACCACAGCCTCCATTGGCCCTCCCCCCTGAATCCGCTTTCAATAACCCGCAGAAGCAAATAAAGTAAAACAGCGAATAATGCACATTATTATTACTATATTATCCATGGGGGCTCTCCAGCAAATAAAACAAATCCAGCTAGCTCGCCCGCCCGCTGGGTAGAAGGAAGAAAAGAAAGCAGGGCCAAAAAAATGACGTTTTAATCAGGAGATTCTTCCTTTTGCTGCTGCCTGAAAAGCCGGAGAAGAAAAAGGGGGCATCCTCCATCCATCTCGACGCTGCGTCTTCGTGAAAAACGTCGTCTCTCCCCCAGGCGCTGTCTGCCATTAACTACAGCTACTACCACCCCCCTGCTGATCAGGTCGAGTTCGAGCCGTGGCACCCAAGAAGATGATGGATCCAGCGTCGTATGTTGATCCGAACCTGACGCAGCCCGACCTGCTGGTGCTCAAGTGCCTGCTGCGAGACGCGGAGGGCCAGCCGGAGACGCAGACGCAGACGCAGACGAGCAACGGACTCGCCAGCAGTGATAATGGAGCGAGCGGCCGCAGGACGAGGACGGGAAGAAGCAACGGTAGGGCAGTTAAGGCAGACGTCGCATTTATTCTTCTTATTCTGCTTCGGCTGCTAACTAGCTAGTCAGGTACCTACTCGCGAGCTTCAGACGACGCGGAAGACGAGCAAAAGACCATCGAGCACCTGCGGAACCTGAACGACCCGGCGCATGCGGACTTCGATCCGACCGTCTTCGTCTCGTGGGACACGCAGAAGCTGCCCTTCCCGGCGGCGGTGCAGCAATGGCTGATCCGGCCGTACATCGCCAGGGCGCGGCGGCTTGTCCGGGTCGAGACAGACGTGGCGATGCTCACACACCTGCTGCTGTACTTCAGCACCTCCGTGCCGAGCGCGGTGCTGCTCTTCTACCGCTTCAGCTGGCTGCACGGCGTGCTGCACTTGCTGATGCAGGGGTGGTACATGGGCACGTACACGCTGATGATGCACCAGCACATCCACATGGGCGGCATTCTGAACCGCAAGTACTGGCTGTTCGACATGCTGTTCCCTTACATCACGAACCCGCTGATGGGCCATACGTGGAACTCCTACTACTACCATCACGTCAAGCACCACCATGTCGAAGGGAACGGGCCCGAGGACCTGTCGTCGACGATACGCTACCAGCGAGACGAGCTGCGTGATTTCCTGGCGTACGTGGGCCGGTTCCTGTTTCTGGTCTGGATTGAGCTGCCGCTTTACTTTACGCAGAAGGGCAAGTACGGGATGGCGGCGAAGGCTGCGGGCTGGGAGCTGAGCACGTACGCTGTGCTGGCGGTGCTGTTTGTGCGTGCGGATGCGCGGGCGACGGCGTTTGTCTTTTTGCTGCCGCTGCTGCTGATGCGGATTGCGATGATGGTGGGCAATTGGGGCCAGCATGCGTTGGTGGACGAGGTCGATCCTACGTCTGACTTTCGCTCCAGCATCACTCTGATTGACGTCCCGGTGAGTGTGCCTTTGAATGTAAATAAACGTTGATAATGTGTAATTACTGACCATTGGCAGAGCAACCGGTTCTGCTTCAATGATGGATATCATACGTCGCATCATCTGAACCCGCGACGGCACTGGCGAGAGCATCCAGTGGCCTTCCTGACGCAGCGGCAGCGGTACTCGCAGGAACAGGCACTTGTGTTCCGCAACATCGACTACATCATGATGACGGTGAAGCTGCTGCAAAAGGACTACGACTACCTGGCCCGATGTCTGGTGCCCATTGGAGAGAAGCAGATCAGCATGACGATGGAAGAGCGGGCAGCGATGCTGAGAACCAAGACCAGACGGTTCAGCGAGGAGGAGATTGCTCGTTTGTTCAAGTAGATAATAATATTAAACAAAAGTACGTACATAAGGGCATGCATGCATAGACGGGACATATATCACATAGAGGTCTTTCAAAAAGAAAATCAGATAGATATATTACTTATATACAAAAAAACATTAGATTATCTCATGTACGTCTATAAACGTCAGCAGCGGGAAAAGCGGATAGAGTGGGGAGCTACAAGTTGAAGCAGTTGGCGTAGAAGGAGACGGTGGCAGGCCAGTCCGAGAAGATGCCGGCAACGCCGACCTGCTGGGCCAGGACATCGACGACACGGTAGATGTCGCCGTCGTCCTTGATAGCAGCGGCAATGGACGAGTAGTAGAAGTCGCCAGAGGACCTGACCTTGTTCAGGGGCCCCGAACGCTCGAGGGACCAAGTGGTGAGCTTGATGCCGGCCTTCTTTGCGGCCACGGCGTAGTCCGAGGGGACGATGTTGTTGTTTGCATCGAGCCTGAGCAGGGCATGGAAGGCAGGGGAGAGCGTACGGATGCCGGACTGCTTCAGCTGGGCCATGGTGGCCGCGGCCTGGCGGGCGCCCTCAGGGGTATCCGGGCGCGAGTCGAGGAACATGGCCTGGCGGGCGTAGTCGGCATCGTGGCTGTTCCAGAAGTAGATGTCGTTGATGGAGAAGGACTGGAGGAAGACCCTTTCGGGGCTGATGCGGGCGGCGCGGTACTCGTCGATGAGCTGCTGGGCGTACTGCTCCTGCGAGTACTTGCCCATGAAGGGCATGGGCACCTCGGGGGCCTTGAGCTCCGGGGTGAACTTGAGCCCGTACATGTCGACGACGCGCATGTACTCCTTGTGCGAGAGCAGCTGGCCGCAGGTGGAGGCGTACAGGTCGGTGCGGAACTTGGGGGTGCCGTCCATGTACTCGGCGGCGGTGGTGGCCCTGGGGTTGAAGCCGTCCATCTTGCCGCAGAGGCTCTTGAACTCGGCCAGGGTGATGTCGCTGGTGCAGCACTTGGCCGTGGCGGGCCTGCCGCCGGCCGCGGGCCTGAAGGGGACGCTGCACTTGGCCGCCAGCTGGGGGACGGCGAGGATGTTGGTCGTCGTGTGCAGGTCGCACTGCGAGTGGCGGCAGACGAGCTGGAGGTCGCGGGTGAAGGCGACGTCGCACTCGAGGATGCCGGCGCCCATGCGAGCGGCCGCCGTCAGCCCGGCCAGCGTGTGCTCGGGGAACTGCAGCGGCGCGCCGCGATGGCTGATGGAGAAGTCGGAGGAGCGCAGCCGGCCCTGCTTCTTCTCGTACAGGCTCGCGCAGGCGGCGAGCTTCTCCTTGAGCGGGCTGGCGGGCATCAGGTCGACGAGGAAGCCCGGCCGCACGCCGACGTCGACGTTGGCGATGCGCGAGGCGCCGTGGCCGTGGGTGGTGCTGCTGCCGGGCGCGGCGGCCACGGCGGCGGCCATCAACAGGACGCTCAGCTTCATCGTCTATATCTCTGTATCTCTATATCTCTGTATCTCTATATCTCTGTATCTCTATATCTCTGTATCTCTATATCTCTGTATCTCTGTATCTCTGTATCTCTGGTATCTCTTTGGTCTTGTCTTTGGGTATCTCTGGTCTTTCTGTAGGCCTGAGGCGGCCTATTTATCGGCAGCGACGACAGTCCCAGTCCGCCCTCGACGCTGCCTCCGGCCCTGCAATCCTTCACACATGGACCAGGCCGCCGCCGTGATTGGGAGAGACCGTCCAGCTCGTATCACCGCATGTTACTTAAATGACGCTCTCGAGGCCGCTTTTGGCGCTTTTTGGTTGAGATAAAGACGAGCCACGCAGCGCCAGCAGACTTAAGAGGCATAAGATATAAAAGACAAAAAGAAAGATATAAAGACAAAAAGAAAGATAGATGCACCAGCCGGGACTCGAACCCGGGTCCTAACATTGGGAATGTTAGATCTTACCCTTAGACTACTAGTGCTGCAGCAGCTCTTCTCGGCAGAGATGCTAGAAGGGCGAGCAGTGGAGGTAGGAGTCAATCTCGCCCGTTTCGATGACATCTGCGCTTTCATCTCTGGTATCAATAGAAAGGTGTCATCCCCTATTCGTGCGCTGGTCTTGAACGCAGCTTTGTGCTGCGATTTAAGTGGTATCCGGTTCACAGACCAAACGGGGAGAAGCAGCACCCGCCAATCCAGACGAACTTCGCTGTCGACCTTCTTGCCAATGTCCTCCTTTCAATCCAGCTCCTCGAGCCCATGCACAAACAGCACGGCCGTATCGTCTATACATCCAGCTGCACAAACGATCCCCATCGGCCAGAGAACGAGTATTACAAGCCAGGCAAGCTCTACGACCCCCAGGCATGCCCTGAGGAAACGTCTAGATAAAACTCCAGACCTGAACAATATAAGCATCGCGGGTGTGGATCCCGGCGCAGTGCTACACGAGAACATAGTGCAAAGGGCTTCATGGGCGAACCGAAACTTCATATTCCCGTTGATGCAGCTGTACGCCCCGATGGCTGGCTCAGTACCTGTGGCCGAACGGGCTCTTCCGCACTGCCGAGAAGTCTGCACAGGACCTGCTGCCAGCAGCGCTGGAACCCAAGCACGCCTGGGCACGTCCTACAGAAGCATACTTTAATGGGAGCGAGCAAGCTGAGGCAGCGGTAGAGGCAAAAGGCGAGAAGAAGCAACAGGAGCTGTGGGGGTTGAGTTTGCATTATGTAGGTCTGGACGATGAAAGCCAGACAGTGGATGCCTCCTGATCGAACACTTTTTGAGTGGAGACGGGAGCTTAGAACTCCAGATTGTTTCTGGAGCAACTCTATGGGATGAAACTCCCCGTAGCTCCGACATTCTTATTCAGATTAATGGGAGCTTGATACACAAACCCCTCCGGTTCGTGTCTGCGTTTTGAACTCAACTTTTGAATTAATCGGCACACTCCGAGATCCACTGTTTTTCTAGAACAGATTGTTCCCTCGCGGAAAAGGATACAAAGGACGCAAAGCAGGCAGCCTATGCAGCGAGGGGCATTATACAAATGCAATACACCCAGCTAATTTGCAGCTAACATGCAGTCAAACACCGCAATAGTAATAACAATGATAATCATAATAAGTTAATAACACTTCAACTTGATGTCAAAAGAACCTTAAAAACTTTAACTTTATTTAGTCATGTGACCTAGCTAATTAGGTTACACGTGCGTTGCTGACATAATCCCAAGTGTTGTCATTATATAAAAAAAGCCTCGTGCGGGTTGAGAGAATCATCGTCGTTGTTTACGGAGTAGAGCTGTTGGACAAGCGGCTAAGAAATAAGGGGGTGAGGGATAGAAAAGAAGAGACAAAGAAAAACCACAGAGAGAGAGAGTGAGGAAGAAAGGAGAAAATCACAGAAAGCAAAGAGCGCGCGCCTATTAATCGATGTTCTCGAAGACGCCACCACATGGAGGGACCGACAAGGTCAAAACATCCAAGGAAATGCACATCCTTTCCCGCAGATGAGAGATGCAAGATGCTTGCAGATACGATGAAACAACGGACTTGGTCGCCTCTTCTGCCCGCCCGCGCGATGTCCACCTTCATAGCGGCCTTTATTGGCCTGCGAGAAGAGCGGGTCAACCCGCCCGGAGTGGGAATGCACTCGTATCGAACTCGACCAGAGCCGTCTTGGAGCTCTCGACCTGGGCAAGCTTGCAGCCAGGACAGCGTACTGGCGCAGGGATGCCTCTCAATTCTTCCTGGTTGATATAATTAATAAGTGCATAATAATAATTAAGATAAACGACCAACGGCGCACTCGCTCTTTCTCTCGTTTCTCCTCATTTTTCTCTCAAATCGCCCAATGAGTTTCTGTTCCTCGTCTTCTCCCCGAGCGATTGATGCCGATACTTCTGCTGTCTGACTGCCTGCCGCTGCCATGTCCAAGGAGAACGTCGTCGTTGATATCGAGGCGGGTGTGCGAGACGGGGACAGCAGTGACGGTGTCATCCTTGATGTCGCTGTCGCCCGCCCAGGCGCTGCTGACAGCCTCAAGACTGCGCCAGACGGCCATACAATTCTCGTTCCCCAGCCTTCAGATTCTACAGAAGACCCTCTAAACTGGTCCTCAACGAAGAAGTGGATAGTCCTTCTCATCATCTCCTTCGCGGCCTTCTTGCCCGATTACGGCTCCGCTGTTGGCGCTGTCACCCTCCTCCCACAGGCCGAGTATGTCAACCCCATATGCTTTCTATCTTTCAATATCATAAATGCCAATTAGATACACTTGCTGACGGTAATAGAATATGGCATATGACACCGGATGAGGTCAACCACTCTCAGGCTGGTAATGTCTTTATGCTTGGAGTCGGAGGTATCGTCACAGTCATTTGCTCGGCCTACTTCGGTCGCCTTCCGGTACTCTTCTGGTTCATGGTCGGTGCCGTCGCTACCGCCATCTGGTGCACTGCTGCCCAGTCATTCGAATCTTTCATGGTACGATTCCCTTCCAATTTACGGACTCACTCGATTACATGTATACTGATTTAATTGTGCAGGCTGCGCGCATTCTCAATGGTTTCTTCTCTACAGTCGCCCAGGGGGTAAGTTTCTCTCGGATGTATATGTCTCGTTGCACGTACCCAGCTAACAAAACAGGGCGGCCTCATGTTCATAAACGACATTTTCTTCTTCCACGAACACGCCAGGAAGATTAACGTCTGGTCCAGCTTTATTATAGTCTCGCCCTATCTCGGCCCCCTGCTCACTGCCTTTATCATCAACACCCAAATTTGGCAGTGGGCATTCGGCGTGTACTCCATTGAGACTGGCCTCTGCTTCATCGCTATCATTCTATTCATGGATGAGACCTACTATGACAGGAAGCTCCCTGTAGACCAACGGCCAGTCCTGGTTTCCCGCTGGAAACGCCTCGTTGGCATCGAACAATGGCAGTCCCGTCACCAGCGCAATGGCTTCAAGGATGCATTCATGCGACCCTTCATCGTCATTGCGAAACCAGCCATGTTAATCTCCTGCATCGTCTACCTTCTCACTTTCGCCTGGGTCGTCGGCATCAACACCACCCTTGCCATCTTCCTCGTACCCGTCTACAAATTTAGCCCCAAACAAATCGGATTTTTCTATTTCACTCCCGTCGTTGCTGCTATTTTGGGTGAGATTGTCGGTCACTGGTTGCACGACCGCGTGGCTAGCCTCGCCGCCTCCCGCAATCAAGGCCGGTTTGAGCCTGAAGCCCGATACCTCGTTACCTGGATAAGCACTCCCTGCATCTGCGCCGGTCTCATCTTGCTTGGCTTTGCCCTTGAGCGTGAATATCACTACATGCTCGCCTCTTTGGGTTGGGGTCTCTACGTCTTCGGCATTATGATTACTACCGTCGCAACCAGCGCATACGTTCTCGACAGCTACCCGGAGGCCAGCGGTGAGGTCGCTGCCTGGCTCAACTTCTCCCGTTCCACGGCTGGTTTCATCGTGAGCTACTTCATGGTTCGCTGGGCCGGAGACCAGGGGCCTATCCGTCAATTTAGTGCCATGACAGGCATCTGTGGATTTGCCTTCGTGATGCTATTGATATTCCAGTTTTTCGGCAAGAGAATCAGACGCTGGGCCGGTCCAGTCAACTTTAAGACTCTCTAATGACTAAAAGTTTTTTACTTCTTTCTTCTTCTTCCATTCTACACTTGTCTATAGTAAATTATTGTGTATATGTATATAATTTTGGGGGTAGGCCGGCGGCTAGTGTCAACATCTTATGGATGAACGGAGGTTGTCATGTTTATATGTTACAATTGCACAAACACTTTGGTGATCCATTCAATTTCTCCTGACAAGCAAGAAAAAGCAGAGTAAGATTCGCCCCACGCTGAACTTGGTTACTGGGAAACTGGTTTGTTGAATTAGTTTGATATAGACAACCGACTTATAGACAGGGGTAGAGAGCTCTCTTCGCGTTTGGCGAGGCAGTGAGTGGAACCCTGTCTGAAAGGCTCAACATTTTCTTCCTCAGTTTTGATTATCTGTCTCTACCTACAGGATACAATACGTTTGTCCTTCCTTGACTCTATTTTCCTGGGATATAACTATGGGCACTTCTGTAAAAATTGGCTCTGCCAACTGACTACTTGCGGAGAGGAACAAACCTAGTGCTGAAACCACACTGCTTCAAGTATTCAGAATACCCATCAAATCTGTGAGAGCTTCGCCATAGCACCGCAAACTGCATAGAAGCAGCTTGGCTGAAATCATTTTATTCCACTGGATCCTTGTTACTTTCAATATGAACCTCCGTGGTTTTCATGATGCCACTAAGTTGTGATGCTCGAACTTCACGAAAGTCAAGGTCCACCATGCCTTCACTACCATCTCCCCATATCCGTGAGCGTCCCTTATACTCCCGTAGGGGATAACATCTTGATTCGTTAGTAGACAGCAACGAATCCTTCGGTATAAATACGGGGTGCTTAATTTGCTGCTCTCCCGAGTAGTGTTTGGATGCATATTTGTTGGAACTAGACTGCTGCGCAGTAGGGGTTTTCCCCATGGCAATCTTCAGAAGCGGGCCAAGCGGAGGTATACAGGCCGCTATTATGATCAGATATTGTTCTGTATTCGTCCAGATGGTAAGGGAGATAGTATCATAGGTATAATCGCTTCGGGCCGTTAGACTAGCGAGGAATATGGTCTTAATTATAGCCGCGATCATTGCCCTTATTGATTGTTAGTGTACGCACTGGAATATGGCTACTATAGGTTTTGTTTGCTTTGAATATAGACGGAGACTTACACTATGCCCAGAGCCAAAACGCACCCAAGGCAGGCTTTAGTTCTTCTTGACATCTGCAATTTCCATATGACGAAGATAGGATATATGGCAAGGAGGCCATCCGAGAGAGCTGAAAAGGCTGCACATATGTCTATCAGTAAACTAGCATATTTCTCAGCTGTGGATGCTTGATGGGGATGAATATACGTACAACCCTGAAAGAATGCATAGTCCCTTTGGTAGTGCGGTGGCCAGCAATATCCTGTTATATCCTGATCCCACAGCCGCGAAGTCGGTGTACACTGGCCGAAGATGGTAAAGACGCAAACGGAGTTGATGACCATTAACATGGCCATTACCGTGTATAGAAATACCCTCTGTGACCGAGAATTCACGACAATCCGTAACAGGAACAATATGACGGACACTTTACCAAAGTTCGTCGACATAACATGGCAACCCTGCGAGATCCAATTGTATCTATTTGCATTGGTATACTCAGCTTCTGTGAGACTCGTGGCATGCTTTCCCAGTCCATGACGAACACTGGCTGTTAGTAGAGACGTGTCCATGATAGCCAGTACCTAGAAAATGGTTAATATCAGCCGTTCTACTCGCTTCCGTCCCTCTCCTTCTATCTCTCCCGCCAAGTAGAGGAGGAATACCATCGAAAGGCAAATGCTCATATCATCCCATCCCCAACTTGAAATAACCAGAGTACGAGTGAGGATTCGAGCTGTCAGTATAACTGCTGCAACGCTGAACTCAGACCACATCACCGAAAGGAGCATGATGCTGTCATTCGGCTGGTTCGATAACTGGCCATCCATTGAAAACATGGCCACGACTGGTAAAGATGTGATGATGCTCGTAAATTCACAAACTCGGGGCCGACAGGGGCATTATAATTCCTCCTGTACGCATAGGAAGTACAGAGATCGCCGTGTAGCCTCGGGATTTTCACTGTGATGGCGTGTGAATGGGGAATATCAAACAACAACGAGAGTGATGGGTGTAAGTAGCCGCGGACTGGCGACGATGGTTTTTTAAGAAGGACGAGGAAGCCTGGGAGGATGCAGTACGGGTTGGATGGAAATGAAACCGACAACTTCCTGTCCCAAACGACGGCCGACCCGCCCTGCGAGCAGGTAACCTGCTTTAGGTCCAGCTGCATTGCGAAGTGTGAGGCCGTCGCTCATAGGCGGCGCGGGTATAGAGTGACACCGTATTCCATCCCCGACGGCGCTGTGACAGGGCGTATCACCGCATGTATAGTGGCATTATATTTGGCACCGTTCAGAAAAGGGGAAGAATGGGACGGCTAATGCATAAGGCCATTCATGACAGGCAGTTCATCCAAGGGCCATTTGCTGTCACTGTGATTTCTTTCTCTCTGGATATTTGGATAGTGGTTGACCAGGCATAATTGCTTCTGCCAGGCCAGGGGCTCGCTCCCGCGGCGCTAGTTAGTTAAGGAATGCCGAATACATTTGATATTTTGATTGTCGGATCAAAGTAATAATCAGACGAATGGCAGAAGCATCATCGCATCCATTATTGATGGTTTAAATCTGCAAATATAATCCCAAATAGACCAGAATGAAGACTGTTTGCTAGCTGGCTATCCCGTCGATCGATGCCACGGATCCCCTACTCGCTTTTCCTGCGCGCGCATCGCATCGATCCTCTGCTGCCGCCGCTGCTTCGAGAATGCCGAGATCTTTGCTCCGCACGGAACGAGCTTCGTTGGCTCACTGAGTATGCACGGAGTAGGGATACAGGTTGTGAAAGCTGGAGGTGGAGGCAGAGGTTGCAGTTGCTCGTCCGGCAGAGAGCAGCTGGGAAGCCTTTGCAGTATATCCTTGGGGACCAGCCGTTCGGAGACTTGACAATACTCTGCAGAGAAGGAGTGCTGATTCCACGGTTAGACGAACGCTCTCTGATTTTAATTCTGTTGATATTATCCTAAGACGGCGCTGACACTGCTGAATTCCTTTTAATAGTCCAGATACGGAGTCCTATACCACGCGGATAGCACAGCGACTGCTGGCTGAGAACCGTCTTAACCCTACGAGAAGCGTTCGAATTATCGACGTATGCACCGGCACAGGCTGCATACCACTGCTGCTTCACTCCCTTCTTGCGTCCTTGATTCCGACCATTTCGATCATTGGGGTCGATATCAGTGCTGCGGCTCTCTCTCTTGCAAAGAAGAACCTCGAATATAACATTAGAAATGGAGCCTTACTCTCCCGCGCGCGAGATGAAATCCACTTCGTGCATGCTGATATCCTAGACCCTTGTTATCTGGAACCGGATGGCTCAGAGCTAGGCAAGATGCTCTCCCGGTCAAACCAGGGTCTCAGCAGAGGATTGGATCTACTGATATCAAACCCTCCATACATATCACCCAGGGATTTCACAAATGGAACGACAAGACGTAGTGTACGTTTGTACGAGCCTACATTGGCATTGGTACCTCCGGCAATTCGGCATCCGAAGGTAGCGTCAGACTCGGCCAGGGCTGATTCCTTCTACCCTCATCTATTAGCCGCCTCAGCACAGCTTGATGCCCGTTTCACCGTTTTAGAATGCGGTGATCCAGGTCAGGCCCGAAGAGTGGCTGCCATGGCTGATGATACAAGGCAAAATCTACCTTGGAGATCTCAGAAAAACATGAAGACGGAGATCTGGCGTTGCGACTGGGACGCTTACTTACACGAAACTACTGAGGATGTTTCTTTTGGCGATCAAGAAGAATCAGCAACTTTGGATGTCACAGCCAAGCCTGATCAAGGGGCTCGAGCGGTTGTGCTTTCGAGATGCTGATCAGGAGTTTTTTATGTTGGATTGGAAACAATCTTGACGTAAAAGGAAAAACAGAGGGACGGGTTTTTCTATGCTGAGGCATTTGCGTGCATTCTACTTTGAAGGGTCATACATAGTCCCGTCAACAATCAAATACGTACAGTTCTCACCAAACGAAACTGAGGCTCTGTCTGGTGAGCCTCACAAGGAGAGTAAGGAGATAAGTTAAAAAAAAAAAAAAAAAAAAAAAAAAAATGAAAAGAAAATGTGGCGTCAGCTTTGAGCCATGATAACCCGGGAAAGTCTTGGTCGCAGTATGAAATGTACCTGGCGAAATACCCGATGCGGTGCTATTGTGGCGTTTTATCTAACTCCATGGCATCCTCTTACATATCCAGGGAGTCTGAGTCGAATCTCCAGTCTCAGTCCAAGGATGGGGAGAAATATCAGCTTTGTATTGAGAAGGGAGATTATCTCCAGCGCCGGGATCGATTCGTGATAATTTAATGCTTATGAACAAGTTACGAGGGCCGAATACTCGTAGTATTAGGCAAAACAGGCGCGTTACCAACATTCTAGAGCCAATGCAACTAAACACAGCGAGATTGAGCAGTGGAATCGATTTATTAGTATTGTTATATTTCGTACTGGCCGAAATACTGACGGATGCGAGTTTTATAAAATCAGTGGATATACACATTCCAAGCCTTATAATGTCTTCAAACAGCACTCCGCGCGGAATGGCCCTTCGTCCCCGGGATGACAGTCAAAATATGCAACAGTAAAACCATCTAATGTCACGAAAGGATCGTTCTGCAGCCGCAGGTGCTGCGGAGCTGTTCTAGTTCACACAAGAGAGAAAGAATGAGGTTGATTATGTACGTAATTTTGGGCTATCCTTATGATACCACTTATTAACAAGTCAGGTCAATCCGGCGCCGAGCAACAGAGCAAGATTGTATATGCAAGGTCTTAAAGAAACGAAAGGTAAAACAGCAGGAAATAGAAATGGAGATATGTGCGTGGAGGTCATGAACAACCCTGCTCTATACAGAGAAGAAGGTATAAAACACAAAGGTGAAAAGGGGGAAATATACAACAAAGCTCTAGTCACCTAGGCATGAGGGATATCAATATGCAGAAAATGAGCCAACCAAAAGATTTGAAAGATCCAAAGCTGGTGTGCATGAGCGAATTACATGGCAGCAAAGAGCATGCCGGCACCCGCCAGTCCAACGGCAGCAACGCCGAGGACGAAATCGGGTCTCTTTGCTTGACCTGCAGCCTTGGAGCTAGGTGGTCTTGAGCCAGGGACACCAGTCTCAACTCCGGGAAGACCAGTAGCCTGGGTAACCTGGGCGCTTGTGACAGCATTTGGTACGCCGCTAGCGTCAGGCACGCTGTTTTGGCCTGTACCAATTTCCAAAATACTTGTTTCAGTGGAATTGAACCGGGTTGGAGCAATGGAGATTTCGTTGTTGTCGAGATCGTAGACAAGATAGGCGCTGCGTAGCACAGTATCGCCAAGGATGGAGATAGAGCTTCCGGCAGGGGCAATGCCGAAGACGCAGGCCTTTGAGCCGTCTCTGAAGGTAGCCTCGTTGCCATTGGCGTCTGGCCCAAGGTCAATCACTAGCTCGTCCATACCAACGGCGATCTGTGGGGATGAGAAGGTGAAAACGAGCTTTCTTTTGTCATTGGCCATAGAGCAAGGGACGAAGGCAAGATTGTTAGCCGGATCAAATACAGCACCGACAGCGTTATAGACCTTTGCTGCAAGAGCATCAGGAAGATAGCTCAAACTGCTACCGGAGTCCATGGCGACGGCAACTGGCTGGGATGGAAATGTGTCGATACTGCCGTCAGAGCCAGTCCGGATACCAACACCCGTCAGGGCTACAACCAGAGAAGTATAATCACCCCTGCTGGTATGGAGGACTGGGACGGTCTGCAGCTTGCCTTGGAACTTGCCAGTGTCGATACCACCGAAAAGTATCTGGCCACGACTGGCACTCAGGTCATTGAGCCAGAGCGAGTAGGCATTAGAGCGGATGTGGCCGGCCTTGACAAGGGCAGCAGGAAGATTGGGATATGACTTATCACCGGACCTGGTAACCTGGGCTTCACCAGCCTCATACCCAATTCCCAAAACACCGACTAGGATGGTATTAGCATTGTATGGCTCCCTCCCTCGCGATAAAGATACATCAACTTACGAGGACTGGACGAGGTGTGTCCAATGGCAAACTGGAAGTCCTTCAATTTGACCCCTCCGACGTCTATGACATCGGTAACATAGTCACCACTGGCGCCTGATCCGTCGACATACGAGATGTTAAAGTCGTTGTTGACGAGCTGGTAAGTGCTAGAGCTGGTGGAGTCGTATGTTCCGCCCTGACTGCATGGCGCACGCCTCGAGCTGCAGAACCGTGATTCTGCAGTGTTAACCCATAAATCGCTGCTGCCTGTGTCGATGTGGGCTCGAATTGTCTGAGGAGGCGTTCCAAGAGTGAGGTTGCAGAAGTATAGATTTTTCTATAGCTGTCAGCGCCACATTCTAGCAGGAGCACTGTGGCCAGCAAACGCAACTCCCAGCACTCACCTGGTTATCAAGATCCTGGCTAACGGTCTTGGTCGAGGCTCTTTTGGCGATAATATCTCTGTGGACGGGTTTTGCAGCCTGGAAGCGCTCGATATCAAATCCGAGAACCGATGGGTTATCTCGCTTGACAACCTGCAGAGACTCGACGGCAGTGGACAGCAATGAAATCGCCGTCGCCAGCGACCAGATAAAGGTGTCGCCACGCATCTTGAAATGAAATATATGAAAAAGGAGAGGCTGTAAAAGTGCTTTGTATGCGAAGAAGTCGGCAGCCAAAGAAATACGGCAGCTTTTCTCTTCTTTATACGACAACCAAAAAAACCATGCGAATCACTTTGTTCTCTTTTCTTTTTGCTCCTTGCTCTTTGTCAGACAGAGAGATATTTCCTTTTTTAATAATATTCAGAAAACGAAAACCTGATCCGGCGAGTCAGTTGGCGTATATAACCTTTTAATACCAAGGAGAGAAAGTGGTGTGCGTACATGAATGAATACATAAGGAGGCGCCGACGATCAACAGTGACAACTGCGACTTTTATAATAAATCACTGGTGAGACGAGATCATGAGCAAGAGAGAAAGAGAAGACGAGTGAATAACGCAGGAAGACCAAGACGAAGACGAAGAAAAAAGAGCCAGACTGCGGCTGAGCCTGCAGGAGCGATTGCCCCCTGACAAAGTTCGATCCTCCGCCGCCCCCCAAGCGACCCTCCAGCCTCGTCGTTTGATAGGGCGCTCTAAGGCATGGCAGCCCGGCTAAGGCGTGCCAGGGCGATGGCTGCTGGGGGGTACGATGCAAGATGTCTCCGCCCAGGCACTATATTTAGGCTGTGACTTGACGCAGCGTACACGGCGTGGAGAAGCTGGTGGCCTCAGAAGACTGGAGACTGGCTGATACAGCAACACCGCCACCAGAGCGCCCCAAATTTTTTCGCTGTGCGGCCTGTGAGCAGATTAGTCAAGCAGCTGGATGTGGATATCGTTTGGAATATTATAAGTACAGAGTAGCAACTCGGTCGGTTGCGTTAATTGTTGCAGCGTGTTTGTTGCGATCTCGAGTTTTTGTCAGTGACTGGTTAGGTTATTATTATTGGACAGTCATTGCCGGTGACGGTGAGGCCGGCTGCAAAGGCATCGTCCATCCATCCATCCTATGGAATAACACAGCAGGAACCTCAAGAGGGAAAAGGAAAAATTAAACAAGAATGGGAAGATATATCATTACATCGACGATTCATGGACCACCATGTGTACTCTGTGCTCGAAATCATGCACAGTGACCAACGCGACACTCGCATGCCGAGCAGAGCCCAGCGTTGGTACGCAAGGATTTATCGCAACTGTGCCATGCTGGGCGTTTGGGGCCGACGATCACAATCGCTGCGATGGGGTCCATGAATGTCAATGGAAGCCCCAATTATGGTCTCCTCCTTGAGCTCGGCGTCATGAGACTTGGTCGTCTTCCTGTCGGACGAAATGGTCATCATACTCGGCTCCTTTCGCTCTATCGAGCTGTTGTTACCTGTCCGCTGGCTGTCTGTGGATGCTTCGAGATCCGAGATCGTCGGTAGCGTGAGGTTCATGTTGTCCATGTTCTGGGCAGTTCGAGTTCGTCGTCGACGCCGAGACGTTCGCGTCCTGGTGTAGTATGAATAATGGGTGGGTCGCTGTTTCAGGTTGAACAGCGATTTGAACGTTGCCAGACAACACGTTATCACCGCCACGGCTGTTTCCATTGTGCTCCAGAACAAGAGCCAGGAGAGCGGCGGCTGGCTCTGATAGCCATTGCTCTTGATAATGCGGACTACCGAGATAGTGATGATACTAAAACCCAAAGCAAAGAGGATGACCAAGCCTGCTTTTTCCGGGCCTGGGAGATTGGACCGCACGATCAGGACAATCGGGAGGACCATGACTATAGCAGTTAGTAACGGGGCTTTTTCTGTTACTTCCAAGGATAATACCTCGATCGGGCCATGCGATTGGACTTACTGCACACGTCTGTCACAATGTCCATTGCAGTGTTAAACCGCAGGCTTACCAGGGTGCGGTCGATGCTTCCCTTGTCAATACAATGGACTATTATAGGCCATTCTCGTTAGCACCGCAAACGGACCTATATCATGGCCACGCTAATGCCCACTTACATGCTTCCAAGGTTGAACACCCCACGGGGAACAAAATCGCATTTATAGTCAGAGATACCGCGCAAAGCACTGCCACTGCCCACCAAGCTTTCCGATAGTCGCTCAAATCCCGAATCAGTCTCCAGTAGAGCGCCATGAAACTTGCTTTGATGCAGTATAAACTTGCAGTAAATACTACATTATGTGCGTATACCAGGCGGATCATTTTGGTGATTCCTATTCCATACTCTGGTGGTGGGCGAGTGCCAGAAAACCCCTGGAGATGGATATATATCAATGGTGATACAATCGTGACCATCACCATTTGGGCCACCTGTCCAAAGTAGCCAGCTATTGCAAAGGCATCATCCCAAAATAGTCGTCGTTGAAGCCATAGTCGGATGGCTAGCCGAAAGATCATAACAACCGTCGTGAGTGCAAAGAAAGACCAAAGTATTGTCTAAATAAAAGACCCACTGTTAGCAAAGGACATACTAGGTTCAGATGATCAGATTATCATGAGATCTACGCACAAGAAGGGGGATCCTGGGTATATGCGTCAGGGCGACGGGCCGTTGGTTCGTGTCAAGAGGCTCGTTTGCAAATACTTTCCCCATTTCGACTGTTCAACGGTTGAATATCATATAAACCCTTCAAAGTGAGTATAAATCAAAAATTGCCTGGGTATCAATGTGCTATCATTTTACACCGGTAGAAAAATCAAGTGCGAAGAAGGTCCAAGTTATTTCGTTTGATAATAACGAATAAACAAAATGTTGCACCTTAAACATGCATCGGCCACAGGCCTGAGAAATTGTTGTTTTCTGTATTGGTTGTCCAGTCCTCTCGGTTCCAGGAAGAGGGAGAGAATAAGCTGACAGCAATCCCGTACTCCGTACCTCCTCTTAATACCAGCCGCATGAACACCAAGTTGACCTGAGAAGTGCTTTTTCAAGCCCGGTCTGTCTTTATGGTGTAGTCCGGAATTTTTTTTTTTGACAAACTGAGAATCATAAAAGAAAGCCTCCTCGGAAGAATTTAAAAGTAGCGAGGGAAACAAAATGCAAAGCAGACATCTGATTTGGATCCCACGGCCTTAACTAATGCAGGCTTGAACCATAAGATGCGGCAAATGCATGAGTGGCTCAAGGTGTCTTGTACCTAGTACTGCCAGGAACACACAGACCTCGTCTTTTCGTGTTCAAAATAGCTAACCCATGGAAACGCTGCTAGCAAGGGTGGCATGGATATCCATCTTTAGTGATGTTTTTCATGGAAAGGCGCATCGAGACCATGTCTTGGATTACATGTAATGTGTAGGGCTCTCCGTAGTTTGCAAGCTATCGGAGAGCGTGGGCATTACGATATTGATGGTATCGTACGGAGAAATGTTTTCAGAGAGCTCCCTAGGTGCTGTGGGAGTCTTTGGGCAGAACCGCGAAAAATAATTATATATAATTTCTAAAATTCCACCCTTGCCACCTCAACTGACTCCAGAGAGACGAAGGGTAATAGAATATTTGTTTTGTTGTTGTTGTTTTTTTCGTTACTGTTCTCCTTTTTGGCGTACAGACTGTCTACATTCAGACAGATGAAACATATCGTACAAAGTTACTTGTTAGTTAACTAGTCAATGAGAGGTGGTAACCCTGGAAGCGCCACCGCCAACAGTGAAGCCATACGGAGGTGGCAGCACTAGCGTGAGGAATGAGCCAAAGTCCAGGGCAAGTTTTGACAGGGTCGAGACCAGTTGAGCTCAGGCTCAGGCTGTATGACTGCTTCGAACTCGATTCTCGGGATGATGGCGCCGGCTAAATTACCCTGGTCGAGCTAGTCGGCTGTCAGGATTGAGATCAGAGGAAGCTAGCCTGGCCTGCGAACCTCATAATAGGGATCAAGCGAGCCTTGAATATGTGCGTCTAGCAATTACTGGGACAACCAGGCTCACCTTCGAGCCAGCAAGGCGTCAACAGCCTGATGAAGTCAAGTAGACGCTCTATAGAACGTCTGGATGGCTCACGATACGATCATTTAACGCCGATCGTGCATCGTGGCCAAGTGGCTTGTGATCAATATAGTTGAAAGGGATGAAGAGGTTCCATTCCGTTCTAGCTTGAGAGCTTTGCTGACATTGGCTCGTATACCCTTAAAAAGGAAAGGAACATTCTTTGCTAAAGGCGAATCGGCAGTGATTTTCTCCGAGCAAAGGCTACCTTTGCCTTTGACCACCCAGAAATATCCTGGCTAGTGATCATTGCTTTTTCCCTCTGTTACCCCTTTTGATGGGATGCCTTTCGCGTCAAGTCAAGCCCAGCTGCTTGTCCCTTTGACGGTTCTGGATACTCATTGGTTCTGAAGCTGGTGGCAGACACATTTGTGAAGCATTAGTCTCGAGAAGTGCGCAGTGAACCGCATTGATGACGAAACATTGCCGGAGGGGTTTACGTGGGAGGGCTGTGGTGGGTGGTATATGCACGTTCACGAGCCGAAGCAAATTTCTCCATCATACCCAGACGAGCAAGGATTCTTCAATATTTTGCCCTGTCATAAGTCGAGAAAAATGTATCAAGGATGACAAGATGCTGGTAGAATCCTGCGAGCACATTCTCCTAGGTTGTGCATTTTTAGGGCATATTTCAGTATCGTTAGTGCAGCATGACCTACGTCTGAAATAAATCGCAGTGGTTCTAAGTTGCTGTCAGCGCGGAAAATGGTGGCTCTCCCATATCTCCCAAAGGAGAGTGAAATTGGCAACTGGGCTGGGTTTATCATGCACGGTAAAGTTATAGGGTTGACAACTTCTCCTTTGTCAAAGGACTCCTCTATACGTAATAGCGGAAGGTCCGGATCATCCGAGCAATTAGGCCGATGTATGGTTTCAGCCTTCCTCTATTGTGGTTGATTGATTAAACTTGATACTCCGTATCTTGCCCTGCATTGACATGAGGCTTGTGAAGTTTCCCAGACCACTAAGATGACAAATGGATGAGAATTTCGAACCCTATAAAGAGGAAATAACATAGTATACCCTCTCCTGCATATTCGTTGGATCTATACTCCGTAGGGAGGGATAAACTCGTCATTGGTGTTTTCTAGTGAAAGGGATTCGCAGTGCGAGAATGCTCCGGAGCACAGTACGAGATAGTTTCCACAGAGAATTGAATGCAATTTACATATCAGGCATGTAGACCATACTCCATCCCTGGAGATTCATTCTTATCCATGAAATGCAAGTCCTGGTTAATCCTTTCAGGCGTGAGGCACGACTCCACCCCCTTTAAACCCTGTCAAAGGGTATAATTGGCTCCGTAAATCGATGGTTCGTTTCACTGAGAAGAAATATGTCGAGATGCTGTATTCACGACTGTAGTCGGTGTGCTTGCTTCTGTTTGGGGTATCCTCTGCTCCGTACGGATAAACTGATCTTCAACGGCAATTGCTCGACGAAATGGAATCTTGTCGCACAAGATATGATTCGCCCATAATAGGCGAACACGGGTACTAACTCAGACGTGGCTTCGAATGTAACTCAGGTAAGCCACAATATTCACAGCATGCGAGCCTCACGCGGGATATAATGGTATTGTAAGAAATACCCTATGCAGGTGCGAACCAATTTAATTAAAAAAAAAAGGGATGAACAGTGTATCATTCGGCGTCCATGGACCTTATTACGGAGTATGCGCGAATCTAAGAAGACTATGATTTGTCCTTTCGCAATTTTTGATGGCCGGTCATGGTGCGTACCAAAGGTGTGTAGGATAAACAGGGGTGTCCTCGAGACTACCGGTATGTCATTCGGTGCAAGATGTAGGTTCCATGCAATCCCATCCCATCTGGTTGGCAACCGTTGAGATCGACGCGGGGAGCCTCCACCAACTATGCGGAGACGATCCTGGTGTAAAGGCCATACTACAAGTGCAAGATGTTCGGAGTAAGTATGACCTTTCTCAATGTATCCTCACTCCGGTAACCCAACTTTAGTCCCTTCCAAACCCACGTGTGATTGACGGTAAGGGACCGGAAGAGGAGAAAGTGAAGAGAGGGGAAATTAAGTAGAGTGGTTCCCTGGGTGGAAAGGCATAAAGCTACCAGTAACCATATGAATAACGTGGCCACAGACTGGTTGTGCCACAGGGGTGGCAATGGCATTTCTGTATCGACATTGGTGGAACGGGATCCTTCAGCAACCAACTCCACCAGTTAAGCGGAGAGTCAAACCCAGCCACGAGTTGGTTAAAGATGTCAGGTTATTGAGTTGATACCGAAACTGGTGCCGAGAGGCACGGGAATCGAGTGCCCTGAGCGGTTCAAAAAGTAGGAGCGTTGGCAAATCAAAGTTACCGATAGACGACTTTGGAGAAGGCGCTCAAAAAGGCCTGGCTTTCCATGCAGCAAACCAACCACTCTGAGCCCATAATAGTTGCTGGTGTATGGATTATTGACTTTCCGAGTTAGACCCAGGCTATCTTACTCCATGCTTCAACTGCAGTGGCACTTTGAGGAGAACAGGTCAATTTGCGGAGACGAAGCCCTCCCCTATTTCGCCTCGGAGCTCAGGAGATGATGGACCGGTTGGTGAACAAAGTGACGATTACCCATATAGGACATCGTCATCGATACGAGATTCAGCAACTTACTCCGTACTAGTGCACTCGACCAAGCATCCATGGCAAGAATACGAGCAGATTGACGCTGCTAAGAACGCCTCTGTGTATCGACGGCTGAAGCGGAACTCTGTCAATTCTCTCAAAAGAGCCAGAACTCTTTGAACGCTGCCTTGGTTCCCGCACGAGCTATGTCAGACACGCACCTCTTCTGCCGGAGATATGGCCCAATTGCTGCTGGTGCTGCTGCTGCCGCTGGTGCTGGTGCTATGGTTGACGTTATCGTTCGTCGTTCATCGTCCTTTAATTTGCGGCTTTTTGATATTGGAGAAGCTCTGCTTATGTAATTGACATGCCAAGCCATCTTACCCTGTGTTGGAGTAGCGATTGTACAGGACCAAAGTGCAAATGCCGGGCGTTTAGTTTAGTGGTAAAACACCCCATTCGCAGGATAACATTGGGGAGCTGGGGGTTCGATTCCCCCATCGTCCAGATTTATCATTTTCCATTTCTTTTTTTTTTTTTCTCTTTTCTCATTTGTTGTTTGTATTTTTTTTTTTTGTTGTTTTTTATTCCTTTGCCATTTTGCTTATTCTCGTAGGGCTGGGGTTGGCGGTGTTAGGGAAATCCCTCGTATGATGTCATCGCCCTGTCAATGTTGGTGGGCAGTGATTATCACGACAGGTTGTAACTTCTACCTTTCTGTCTAGTATCAAGAAGCAACAGGCCAGCTCTCCAGTATTCACCATTGAATTGGTTCAGCAGGTTGCGTCCTCCTAGGCACTGCAGGCCCAGCTCAAGACCTTTCAACCGGCACCAATTTACGGATACACGGAGCAGATTGCGTGATAGGCCACACTTCCTCGCAATGACTGGTCTTTCGGAGATCCCTACGCCCTCCCACTGCATTGCGGATGTCTGCATGATTCCTGTATGTGATATACCCATTCCATTCCCTAGCTATCCCTGTCCCTTGTCCGTTTTACACAGATGTCTAGTATAGTATTTTAGCCCTTTCATGTCTAGTCTCTCAAATCCGCATGCGTTGGGAGCAAGATTTGGCCTTCTCTTGTGCATAACTAGTTTGAACATGGAAGATCCATGTTAAGAAGAGGCCCAGCAGTGAAGTGACAGCAAAAGATACTAACGGTGATTGAAACCCGCAACCGTTTGTCCATGGAAGATCGGAACATCCTCGCCTTCTGTTTCCCAGGAGGTAGCCGAAGTACAGTGTCTGATCGAGAAATCCGGGCTGACATTCCATATGCACTCTGCTGGTACTACGATCGGTAAGAAGCAGCCACTTCCCTGACACAGCAACGCCCTTGACAGAAAAAGGAAACAAAAGGCTAACAACTCCGCTCCGGCTTGCTCACTGCAGAGGGTCCATGGGACAAAGTCCTGACATTAATCGGCCAGGCGCATACAGTGTTGCACGATAAGGGCTTAATGCGGGTCCATTCTGATATCCGTGTTGGATCGAGGTGAGTTTGGGCATTCTGTTTCAGCTTTTTGAGGAACATGTGGAAACCGAAAGCCAGTTTGACTAAGTTGATCGACAATCTAGAACTGACAAGAAGGAGACAATGGAGGGCAAAGTTGCTTCAGTTCAGAGGGTACTTGCTAAGAACAAGTAAGCAGCAGCCCTCAGACTTGGCTCGAGCAGTTATGACATTCGGCATATCAACTTGGCCCAAAAGTGGACTATGCAGGAGCAGGAAGATAAAAAAGAAAAAAAAAGTCCATAGCAAAAGAAGTATTGAGAATAGTGATAGGGTTATCCGTGAATAACTAGTTATAAGTTACACATATTTTACAGCTAAGATATCACCCACAATTCCATGGTTTCTATGCGGCTGCGGGCCCAACGCCTTTGCGTAAGTTGGCTAGTATAAATCTCTGAGCTCACCGAGTGACAGACATCATTGCTGGCTAGGCTAGGAGTGGACTATTTCCGTCTCTGGTTGAACTCAAGCGGCCGCTTGTATCCAGTAACCGCTATCAAGATTTGGGGTATCATGGCCCCCTCTCTAATCACCTTATTATGTCTCGCAAATCAAAAGTAAACGGCGAATCATTCCACGACCCACGCAGTTTTGCGGCCAATTCAAGGTAGTCTGAACTTTTCTCCGCAATTTGCAGATATTTCAATCCTTCTTCCCCTTTGTTCTGCTGCCGTAGCAACCCAGCCATAGCAAGTGCTGCCCGTGCATGGCCGCCCGCAACAGCGATCTCGTACCATTCGGCAGCCAATTGCCGACTTTCATTCTTTCCATACCGTGATACAAGCAGCATCTCCTCTTTGTTTTGGGCAGACTTACCCCCTTCATTACCTTCGTGCATTAGGTGCAGGGTAAGGAATAGATTTCCGAGTTGGTAACAAGCTAGTACGTCATTGCCCATTGCTACTTTTGTAAGATATTCCTCATACTTGACCAAGTCGCCCGATTTTAGGAGATCTGGGAGAAGTAGTTTGTACGCCCGTGGATGGTCATACTCTGTAGAACCAATGGTATAAGCTTCCTTTGCTTCCTCGTGTTTACCTAATGTCTCCATTAATGAACCGTAGGCCTCCCAAGGTTGACGGACCTTGGCAGGAAACAGAGCATCAAAGCTATACGGTGCTTCAACGGGCTTTGAAATATCCATTGATTCCTTAAACCGCTGTGCTGCAGTCTCCAGATCTCCATTATCTAGTAGCATTTGACCGTGAATGACAATCTGAAGGGGTTCTTTCGCTTGATCCGAAGAAGGGAGCGGACGAGCCGATTTTGACTTGATGTGGGATAAGTAATATAACGATCTCTTGTCTCCCTGCGCAGCTAAGTGTGGTAAGAACCAAAGTGCTAGGGGTGCAAAGAATGGGGATCGAAGGAGGAGAAAAAGGACCTGAGAGATCTCGTCAAGATCTAAATAACCCATTAATATCGCTGAAAAATATACACGAGAAGCGATTATGGATCACTCTACCATAATGTATTGCTTGGGAAACTTGAACTTGCTGTTTTATAGAAGACAGCCCTCCGGCAAGCTTGATGCATTCCTGTGTAATCCGGGTGGCGTCCTGCACCCTGACCGTCGTCACCTTTTCCTTAAATGCAGATTGAAAAAGCTCCAGCGGTATCCGTCGAACCGCATTGTCCAGATCTCCCGGGCCAAATTGTCCTGGCAAAGGTGACACGGGCCGATTTTTATGGGTTGAGGGCGAAAGGGGTGGAGGTGAATGTTGTTTTCGCGTCTTTCTCAGAGTTGAAGGCGCTTTCCTGGGGCGAGATGAGGCAAGTCTTACAGTGCCAGGCGTTGTGAGGTTTAATTGGGTGGGTAAGGCTAGGCGTCTGAATGGAACAAAACGATGCATTTTTGTGTGTGTAAATCTCACAAGGGGAGCTATATAGCATACTTAACGTGATATATGACGATGGGAGCTCGTACTGCCAGCATAAACCCGGGATGTCGCCGCCCAAATTGCGTAAGTCGACTTCGGCACACTGCCCGTTGTGAGATGCCTCGGCGGTGGACCACACAAGGCTGGCTAGGAGGTATGGTCTTGTCGCGTTTCCAGGGTCTGACGGGTTGACGGTGGATGCAAGAGTCTCGAATTCACGACGACAGAGAAAAATAATAATTTGGCAAACGGCCAAGTAAGCTCTTATTTCTTTTTCCTTTGTCGATATTTCCCACGCGTACCACGTGGAAAGTACGGCACAATAAAACAGCAAATTGTAGACGAGCTGCTTCTTCAAGTTATTGTAGGGAAATCGCGAATATTGGCCAGGGAGGTCAGCTTAGCATTTGTTCATGGTTTTGATAAAAGTTGGCGTTATTTCAAGGACAAACCAGTTAAAGATGAGAAACCATGTTGCCTCCAGGACTCGACTTTAGCTTCGGCCCCCCTGCGCTTGCTCGTACCGAAGAAACTGATAGATCGCAATATGCTTTTTGTATCAGCTTTGCCAGCGTATCGGTGTACGGTGTGGATGTTCACTCGTTACAGGCGTCTTCGATGTAACGTTTAGACCTTTAGTGTCATGATGAAGAGACAAGATAGGCATCAGCGGGAGGGGAGGGGATGGACGTATGTACAACTCATGCAATGGCCGGCAGTGTCTGTGAATATAAATGCCACGAGTAACCGGGAGAAACTGGTTGACGTGCAAGGGGGAGAAGCCGTGGCCCATGGTTGCTTAACTAAGGCGCGGAATCACAAGCTGGTGAAAAATGGCTTTTTTGCTCCCCCCTTTCGCTCCTTCGGGTTCCCTTCCCTGGCGCAGGAACAAAAGCGGGCCTGAGCAACCGATCCATGGGAAATAAAAACGCTTCTCTCGTTCCGTAACCGTAAACTGCATCATAATGCTTGAAGATTTGTTCTCTTAGCGGATGTATAAACGTACCTCGGGTCATTAGCTCCAGGTATCTGCACAGTCAGTACAGAGTACCTATATCACTCCTCCATTCAACATGCAAAGAAACATGAAGCCAGGGTGATCTCGTCACCTTTGTAAGTACTCCGTAAGGGAAGGGAAAAACTCTTCCTCCGTGGCAGCAGGGAGAAAAAAAAAAGAGGAGTCAAAACCTTTGCCCCCGGTGGACGAACCGGCACACACAGAAAGCGGATCTTGGGACATACTTTGAACGGCGTATCAGGTGCCTGTCGCTTAATCCACCAAGTAGCCACTTCTGCAGACAAGCAAAGTGCTGGGTCCACGCTAAATATTTCTGCGGTTCCGCACATGCTAAAAGTAGGGGGAAAAGTTACCTGCATAGCCAGTACGGAGTAGTGCCTGGTTGGAAGGGTGGAATACGGCGCCAGGTCGACCCAGAGGAACTGAAAAAGGGCCTTCGCAAATCTGGTCCTGGTCCTGGTTGAACTGGTGCTGATGCTGGAGAACGGACCTTCCCCCCCTCTGGTGGCTTTCCCTAGTCATGTACGGAGTACGGAGTAGTCCTGTAAGTAGATAGCATACGTTTGCTTTCTCCTTCGTGGGGAAAGCAAGGTGAGAACCACATTTCGTTTGCTCCGAACGGCATTGAGCATGGTTCTGGGGTGATCGAATGCTCTTTTTGGTCCCCTTGCCATCAGGAGCTATAAAGTGGTAAAATCGATCCGACCGCAGGTAACCCTTCGCAAGGCCCGTCGTCCGTTGATCTGCTCGCCCGTTTTAGGCCCTTCTTCAAGTGATTCTTTGCTCTCTCCCGGGTGTATCTCAGCGGATCTTTCATATAACCACTGAACTAATTGTCCGGATTCCCATTTCTTTTTCTTCAGCCGGGTAAGCCAATTATACGGCCGTCCTACCCAGCTCATAACGGGCTTCTGACGAAGAACGAAGAAAAATCACGGCTCCTTGACAGAAGGTCACTTTTTCCTTTTAATTCCTGTCATCTTTTCTTTTGCGAACAGTTTTTGGCTGCCTTCTCATCGAAACTCCAACATATCTTGCTTGACTCAAGAATAACTCTGGACCTCAGACTTCATCCCCGAGCACCAGCGACCCCTGTGAGTGCCCAGGAGCCTTTTAGTGTATGCAGCCAGCACGGAGTAGTCCTATTCGACTGTGTTTCTGTTACCTGATTGCCCACGCTGCCTGCGATTTTATGCGCCCGGGCTATTTTGCTGTTATCACTATCACTGTCATTGCACCGTCGTGGGTGAGAACTGCTTAAGGCCTGCGAAAGGAATAGCAACTAGCCAGCATCCTTCTTCCTTACTGTCGCTCGACCACTTTCGTCATCTTCCATTCTCATGCGGAGGCATCGCTCTTCGCTCCAGCCTGATCCCGACCCCCAAGGCAGGTCGTCCTCCTTTAGCCTGTTTCGCTCTCGGCCATCATCTCGTGGTATGTCAAGAAGCCTACCCTCTCTGAGTCTTGCTATTTTAGTGCTTCAAAGCCCAAACAAGCCACCAGTGGAGCTCTCACCGTATCAGTCAAGTTTGTTCCATAACGCTGCAGCTAGCCTTTCTCCTGGGTTTACCCTTTTGTTTTCGCTGTTAATTCACTGCACCTGGCGCTGCGCCAACATTTTGGTGACCAAAAACGACTGACTTGATTTTCTCTTCCTCCCCTTTCATTCCTTCTGAATAGCCGATTTATCAACTCGGCCAGGTTCTTCAGCAGGCCGCTATCCGTTTAACCGACTGCATAGAGCAACCCCTAACAGTACAGCCAATAAAATTATTAGCAGCTCCAACACTTCCTCCACCAATCGCTCGAATTCCACCGTCACTTCGCTGTTTAGCAGCTCTGGCGGGGGCACAATGGATGTCGACCGGTCCCGGAACAGGAGAGATCGAACCTTTGCTGGTAGCGCATGCGCCGTTTGTGAAGAACCATTAGAACATACCCTCCGTGGCGAGCGTATTCTGCAGTTTTCTTGCGCTCACGTTGCCCATGAGGCATGCTTTTACGAATTTATTCGGGATGTCGAGCCACAGTATTGTCCGATATGCTCTGCGCCCCTAGGACTAGATGCCAGCAGAAGTGGAAATGTCCTCGACCTAGGTAAGCTTCCAACAATGATTGTTCGTTGCTTGATCGTGAATGTTGACGTGCTGGAAACAGAAAAAATAAGCAACCTCGTACGGTCTGTGTCTGTAGCCGAGTCTCAGACGAATCGCAGCGGCCATGCACCAGCAGCGTCGTGGGATAATGCGAGCAACAGAGCTGGTTCGATGAACCAGGACTATTCCAATCGGCCTTTCAGCAACAGCCGTGATGTTAGAGAACATTCTCGTCTTGACAGTAGGGACACCAACAGCCACCGTGAGAGGCTCGAGAGGCTGACGCTGGGCTCGCGAAATGAAATTCTCCGTCCTGAGACCGGGACCGTTGGAGGCCAAACTGCGTCAGAGTACCAGCACGATGCCCACCAGTCATCAGTGTCGAGACGCCACGACTACGATGTACAGGCTATGGAGGCTGAAGTTGGCCTTCGTCCAGGCATCAGCAAGAACCTCATTCCGGCACCTATAGTGACAGTCCGCAGCGAATTCCCGTCCCTGAATCGTTCCCGCCAACAGCAGCCCCTCACTTGTTTGGTCACAGTCGAAGTTCCTGGAGAGAAATGGTCGCCAGACTCGGAGCAGATACGCCAGAGCCCCGGTACCATCCTTCCCGCAGAAGATGCTCAGTCTTTGGCGGTAAAAGGACAGGGTCTCTCCAGCTCCGATGCGCATGCGCAGGAGCATCCCCTGACCGAGTCTGAAGATATGCTCAGCACCATTGCAGAAGACCTTCGTCTTCGGGTTGATAACTGGCACGGTTTGGAATTCTCAAGGTATGTGTTGATGATGTTGACCTCGCCGTCGTCGTTTCTCTTGTGGTGTCGTCGATACAAGCTCGTACTTTCTGCTAGTTCTGACCGCATTCCAGATTCGGCAAGCTCAACCTCCACGGAACAATCCGCGTGGGCAAAGACAAAAACTCATGGCAAGAGCTGGAGTGCTACCTTTTCTCCGACATGCTCATCTGCGTGAAGGAGAAAAAGACCCGACAGCCCAGCCAGAACCAGAACATGTTTGAGGACTCAGTAACGCAGCGCACAAGCACGAGATTCACTCTGAAGGGATCGATTCTCATCAAGAAGCATCTTAAAGATCTGGAGACCGTCCCTGGTAAGTATTAGTTTTCGGCCTGCTTTAAGAAAGCTGAAGGGAAGCTGATTCATGTATAGATGATCTTGTTTTGACTCTAAACCTATCCGTGAACGAACTACCCAGGTTCCACCTGAGATTCCCAACCCTTCACCAGCTAGATATCTGGAAGAGGGCTTTAGGGGAGTTACGGAACGGGGGCGTGGTAACTCGTACTGATCCCGAGGTAGAAGTTCCCGCATCAGAAGAGGATGACTACCGAATCTCAAAGACACCCAGTAAACGGGAGTCGTCCGGCTATTCGTCTTCTTACGGCGCTGGGAAGTCTAGCAATACTGCAATGACGGATTATACTAGCCCAGGGCGGGAGCCTATGCCTGTATCCGCATTTCATGTACCACTCGACATTGTCGTTGTCATACCCGTTTCTTCCTCTATGCAAGGCCTCAAAATCTCCTTGCTTCGTGACACTCTACGTTTCCTCGTCCAGAACCTTGGACCTCGAGATCGCATGGGTCTGGTTACTTTTGGTTCATCTGGTGGAGGCGTCCCCGTTGTTGGAATGACTTCAAAGACGTGGAACGGTTGGGGAAAGATATTCAATTCAATCCGGCCCGTAGGTCAAAAGAGCTTACGTGCGGATGTTGTTGAGGGTGCAAACGTAGCCATGGATTTGCTTATGCAACGCAAATAGTTCAATCCTGTGTCTACGATATTGCTGATTAGCGATTCTCAAACAACTGACCCAGAAAGTGGTGACTTTGTCGTCTCTCGCGCTGAGGCAGCAAAGTAAGTATTAGGTCTTATTAACACCCGATATACATGGGTACTAATGTTCCTTCCAATGATAGGGTTGGCATTCACACCTTTGGCCTCGGACTTACCCATAAACCAGATGTTATGATTGAACTCTCAAGCCGAACCAAAGCATCTTACACATACGTCAAAGATTGGATGATGCTACGAGAGTGCATTGCCGGGTGTCTTGGAGCATTACAGTCAACATCACATCAAAACGTCAAGTTGAAGCTGCGTTTGCCAGAAGGCTCTCCGGCACGATTTGTTAAGATCAGCGGTGCCATGCATACTACTAAGCGTGCAACGGGAAGAGATGCAGAAGCTATCTTGGGTGACTTGAGGTTCGGAGACAAACGAGGTAAGTACTTTGTACATCAGCTATAACTGCCTGCCATCGCTAGATTCTATTTCACTAATTTACTCCACCGATTGTAGATGTTCTTATTCAGCTCGCAATTACTCCAGACACCTCTGCCCCTGAGCATGTCCCCCAAGATCCTTGGGAAAGCATAGTTTCTGGGTTAGAAGCACTTGGTGGGCCAATTGATGGTGATGACCAGCGGGTAGCGAGTATAGAAGAGGTACCATTAATTCAAGCTGACGTTACATACGGCGACATTTTACGTGAAGGCCACCTAACCCACTCACCCAGGCCATCCCTTTTGGCTATCACAATGTTCCCACAAAACCAGAAATTAAAGAATGTCGGACGGCCCATCAGCCCTCCAATCCCGCCTCATCCTTCGATTGTTCAACGTCGCATGGAATTGCTTACATCCGATATGTTGATGAGGTCGCTTACTTTAGTGACTCGCGGTCAGCATGACCGCGCTCACCACCTTCTCACCGAAACTAGGAGTATTCTCAAGGGTCTCGGGAAGGGAGGTTTGCCGCCGCTACCCCCGGGGGCTATCCCAACACCAAACCCGCGAGCCACTCTCACCCCCACGCTCACTCCAGCATCCGAAGCACACTCACCTGGAAACTACTCTCCTCATTTCCCTGATGCTCTTGATTGTCGTGCTTCCTCCCACTCACCTGAAGCGCCAACCATTACCCCTGTGGCTGCTGTTGATTCTGCAATTATATCAGCATTGGATGCCGATCTTGAGGCTGCTCTAAAATGGATCACCCACCCTGCTGTTTTCAGCCGCGATTCACGCAAGGCAGTTCTTCAAGCTATTGGTGTCATTTCCTCCCAACGAGGATACACTTTCCGAACCCCCTCTGAATCACTATGGGCAGAGCGCATCCCAGGTGTGAAGCGCCTGACTGAGAAGTCTCGAGAGTGGCGTGAGGTTGGTGATGAATCCTTGGCCGAAGAATAAGCAGGAAGCGGATTATACCTACCAACTCCGAAATAGGTGCGGAGCACCACTATATCCTCACTGCCCTTTACGTTATATACAACACATACACTTCCCACTATCTAATGCGTAATGTTGCCCTGAGAGCTTGCTCTTTACGCTCGGTCAAGAAGCAGAGTAGGAAACAAAGAGAGAGTAGTGCAAAGTAGAGGCACAGCGAAAGGAGGATAAGGAGCCACGATAACGTTTATTCTGGATATATCTGACGGTGATGCCCCTTGATTTTATGTTTTCTATCTTTCGTTCTTAATGTCGAGAACTGGTTAATTGTCTTTCGGGTCTTGAGGTTGAATGTGGCTTTTTGTCTATAGCTCGTTATTCATTATATATATTTGCATGGTTTTGGGGTATAGCTTATGTGGCGTTGGTTTGCAATCTGCTTATAGAACGAATCAATTCTGATACTTTAGATTTGGCCCCATTTTCATACGTTAATTGGTCTAGTGAAAAGTTCACTCTGGCAGCCGATTTCTATTTCAGTGCTACAAGTGTAAATTCTAACGTAGATTATAAGGATTCTTGCCAATGTCATATTGTACATAAGAAGAGACTTCGAAACAACCAACTGCCTCTTAGCCCTGTCTTCTTAGAACACCTGCTTCCCATACTCTACATAACAACTTGGGAAAGCAAAGCAAATAAATAAAAACACGGTGGGCCTAGTAATACAAGCAGCGAGCCAGCCTAAAGCAAAGGTATAGGAAGCCACCTGTCCTGCTTTTACTCCATGGAAGCAACGGCACCCAGAGCCTTCAACGAAGCAACAATCTTCTCAGCCTCCTCCTTGGGGACAGACTCCTTGATAACTTTGGGAACACTTTCGACAAACTTCTTGCTCTCCACGAGGGAGAGTCCAAGCATGGACTTGACTTCCTTGATAATCTTGGCCTTGGAGGCAGCATCAAAGGACTCGAGCTTGAGGTTGAACAAGGTCTTCTCTTGCGCGGCTGGGGCAGCCTCTTCTTCTTCTGCGGCAGCAGCCGGAGCAGCGGCTCCTCCAGGGGCGGCAGCAGCGAAACCTCCAACGGGAAGGTCAGGAATGTTAAGGCGGGTCTAATAAAGGGAAAGCTTGAGTTAGCAGGTAGAATTTCGGAGTGGGAGTGCCTTCTATCATTTTCCATTCTAATAGGTAAAAATAGCACCAGTGGGTGAAAAATGCGCATATATGACCGAGCAATCTCACCTTCAAGCTTGAAACTAAATCAGCGGTCTCAAGGAGTGTCAATTGGCTTATTTGGTCGACGATTTTGGTTATTTTTTCACTGGTTGGTGCCGCTGGCTCGGTGGTCGTGGACTCATATCTTCTTCGCTGTGAGATGTATGATGTGCTAGCGTTCAATCGAGTAATCTGAGAGGAAGAGCGAACAGAGGCAGAGGCAGAGGAGGAGAGGCGGGCCGCGTTTCGGCAGCATCGAGTTGCGAAAGACATTTTTGGAGGAGTTTGTCGAAACTTGAAGAGTGAAAGAAAAAAATTCTACTGAAGGCGGAAGAGAGTCAAGTGTCCGAACCGGGCAAAAACAAGAGCTTGATGATATGGGAATGGCTCCAATAGACGGGTTGGATGTGAGTAGAGGCGCCGCAAGAAGGCTGTGTAGCTCAATTGCCGTTTTCTGCGTCTTCAGGATAGAGAATATTTGACCTTTCTTGATAATAATTTGATGCTGCGAGCGAAAGTCTGCTAAAGTGTCACGTGACTGAGTTCGAGCTCTTATGGCTGTTAGACCTAAAAAAGTAACATTAGAACCAACCTACAACTGACAACATTCGAGGTAGATTGCTGGATTCAAGGAATTAGAGGTTTACAAGTTTACAGGTTTTTATCTACACAGGGGCATAGGTCCCAGGGAGTCACTGTACAAATTCTCATTTCTGCATCATACGAATCATAGACTTTTTATTCGTGAATGGCCAATTAACTAAGGTGAGGAAGAGGGCCATTCGATTAATTAAGATATCTATTGGACGCAAACATTGCCCGCCTTGGCGAAGATGCTCGCTCTATTTTCAACGAGCGATACTGCACCATATGCCTCGTATGTCAGTAGTTTAATCTTCATCCCAGTTAGGGTTTTGGCCCGGTGGCTTGGGACCACCGGCCTGTCTGGCGACAATAATCTGGTCCACGCTGAGAATTGTTCGAGCAGACTCAGAACCTAGCCGGATTGCCCATGACTTGGAAACAAGAAGGTCAAGAATCTCCTCCTCCACGGCATCAATGGTTCCGGATGGGGATGAGGCAAGAACGTCAACTCCAGTGGTCCAGCTGGGGTCTTCTTCTTCAGAGCTCTCATCCTCTTCCTCGTCATTCTCCTCTTCCTCCTCCTCCGATTCCTTAGCTGTCTCTTGGTGAGCGGTATACAACCTAGAGAGAACTTCAGTGGCATTGAGACCGGCTGATTCGGCGAGGGTTCGTGGGATGACCTCAAAGGCTTCAGCATACTTTCTAATGGCATGCTGGGCGAGTCCAGGGGTTCTATCCGCAAACTGCGTGAGCCGTTCAATCAGCTGCATCTCTGTGGCCCCGGCTCCAGGTACCAATCGTGGATCCTTAGCCACAGCCTTCACCGCATTCACGCCATCATCAATGGCACGCTCAACGTCTTCCAGGTAGTTTTGTGTTGCTCCTCGAAGGATGATAGTAGAGGTGCGACTAACAGATCCGGCATCTTCTTGTCTGAAAATCGTTACACGGTCACCCCCAATCTCCATAGTCTCAACAACATCAACATTTCCCATCTCATCGGGCATAGGGGCACCAAGGCGGGCCAGGGGGGTGGCTCCGATGACACGGCATAATCTGCGTAGTTCAAACTTGGACATGACCTTTATCACAGATATTGAATCGGTTCAGGTAGTGAGGGCAGTCTCATGGTGAGCAGCACGACGACGCGAGGCCTGATCGTAAAGTTC